ACCGTTAAGCAGGTCGATCCCATCAAGTCGGGTATCTACACACTCCCGCTCGTTCTCAGCCTGGTTGTTTCAAGTATAATTGCCGGTATCATCACCCAGAAAATCGGATACTATGTACCATCTATGCTCGTCGCTCCCTCACTCATGTCGGTAGGCGAGGGTCTCATGAGCACACTGAATCCAGGCAGTCCGTCTTCGCACTGGGCCGCCTTCCAGTTCCTGACAGGGTTCGGTCTCGGCTTTGGAATGCAGACTTCAGGTTTGGCCATCCAGACGGTTTTGCCGAAAGAAGATGTCAGCACAGGCATTGCCATTAACTTCTTTGTCCAACAACTGGGCGGCGCCGTTTTCACATCAGTTGGCCAGACTATCCTGAGCAACCTCCTGGTCAAGAAACTGTCCGGGATTCCTGGTATCGGCGGCCATGTCATCGTTAACGAAGGCGCCACCCAGCTCACCAACGAAGTACCACCTGAATACAAAGATCGCGTAATCGGCGCATACAACTATGCTTGCCAGCGCATCTTCCTAGCGGCCATGGGTCTTGCATTCGCCTCGCTCCTCTGCGCATTCGGAATGGAATGGAAGAGTATCAAGAAGGGAAGACAAGGGCCACCACCCTCGCAACCTCCTGAAAATGGATCTCAAGGACCCAACGAAGGTCTCCTCCGTCCCTCGTCATCTTTCTCTCCAAAAGACCCATCAGAAGGACCAACAACGAATGGATTAATCATGGCCAAGAAGGAAGCCCCCGCCGAAGGCCTCCCACGACAACACCTCAGAAGCCGAAATTCGAGGAGAGAGTCGCTCGCATCTGAGGGCAGGGCCTCGGGAGTATTGACAAAGCCACCGCCGGCGCATATGATTCCTGGATCTCCGGCCTCGGCCAAGGGCAGTCCTAGATCCAGTGATCAGAAGATAGAGCAAGATAGGGGGTCGAGTTATCACTCGGCGCCGACGAATATGGGTAGTCAAGAAATGAAGGAGCTTCCTAGTCCTGCTGCTTGAGTTGCTTGGGATGAATAACACAAGTTGGAAAATAGTTGGGTTAGAATACACGAGTTGGACATGACGATGTAGTTTTAAACAACACACCTTATGTATTCAATTTCGGGATGAGATCACGGTCAATGGTGTTACCTCATAAGCCTTATGAAAGTTTGGGTTGCGGATTGGAACAGAAGGCGAGCGAGTTAGTATGACGAACTGGAGTACCTATTTAGACAAACCTGTATTACCAACAAAGAACGTTATGTTACGAGTTTGGTTGATCAATATGTATTGGAATGGTTTAAACGGTGTTTGAGATAACACAGCAAGGTGAGGATACTGTGCTTAGGTAGATAGGAAGATGCAAATGAATGAGGTATTGAACAATGAAGTAGGCGGGCACAGTGGAGACCAAGAGCTGTGCCGGGTTGCGGGGCCGCAGCGGCAGGATCCCCGCCATGCGGGAACTTTCAATTGCGGAGCCGGCATTTGCAAGCTCAAGTGGACCTAGTCTCACGGATCCACTCACGGATTCCAGGTGGAGCCTCAGCATCAGTCAACCCTCTCCATAAAAAGGACCCCACAACTTCCAACTTGCAGTACTTCTTTCCTCTTTCCTCCCCCGTGAAGCTTCGTCCTCTTCAACGCTGCGTTTCTATGCACCAACGGAGAGTTCTGCCTCGGCATTCCTTTCATCATGGCATATGAGAAATTCGGAGAAATCGCTTCACCTTCAGCCACCCCTCTGATCGCGTCAGGGTCGGCTCACTCCGGTGGCCTGGCTTTGTCAAGATTGAGGAGCTGCTGCCGGCAACGGTCTCACGCGATACTGCGTGTGTAATTGGCATCAGAAAAGCAGGCGGCTATCCTAGGCGGGCAAGCTGACGGTGTAGTCGCCCTTTGGGAGAGCCATTACGAAGCTTGTGGGTAGAATCACTTGAGTGCAATACGCAGCGTGCGGTGTCTGTCTTCTTCTTGGTAGACCTGTACAATCCGATTCCGATTACTCTGTTGAGGACGAAGCTTCACCACCCTTTTCTTTCTTAGGTATGAAGTCCACGTGTCGACCCTGGAGGACAAGGATACTACTAACAATGCTGTCAATAATCACTCGTCGTTGGCAAGCAACCCGTGCACAGATCTCGCCAAAATTATAACCCACCATCTTTTGAAGCTGAAGTCAACACTTTTTCATTCAACCGCTCCTCCCAAGGATATCGTTATCAGACCGCAAGAACATTAACCGCAATTTGGTGAGGTACAAAACAAAGCCACCCAATGGTGACTAGGGGCGGCTTGCTGGTAATAACGGTACAAACGTGAATGTGCTCGATCGAATCTTCAGCCGCGGCGAGGTGGTCAGCAAAATACAGCATCGAGGAGGGCTGTGATATAATCTGTCTCCAGACCAAACTGACGGCTGAGGCTTGGAAGCTTCATGATGTCTTTGATCTAGGCACCGCGATTAGTTTCAATAGCAGTCACACCGTTGTTTCCGAAGACAAATGCTGGACCGAGGCAGGTAAGCTGGCAACAATCAAATCATGAAATACAGCTGGCAGGTAGTCGCCCACACAAGTCATCATGAGGCTGGTAAAACATACAGCCTGGTGTGATGTGAAACTTACAATCCGGATCCGCTTGTTTGTCTCACCTGCTGGACGCCGCCCGACCACTATTTCTCATGTTGCACATAATAAATCTTGCTTCAGAATGTGCTGAACCAACCCTTCGCGTTCATCCTCAAGATTAACAGCCCAACAGCTCTTAGATCTACAGACCATCTGGTGACGTTAAGGCTTGGTGATGGCTTTGTGGTCCACCAGTAGAGACTCGATGAGGCTGAGACCTCGGGGAGTACACAGTTTCAACATTTTCGCTCTTGGGCAACACAAGATACTGAGCAAGGTGACTGATTAACCAATGCGTCGGAAGCTTTCATATCAATATCACGTTAGAAACAGAAAGGTCGATGCTGTTTACTTGCCTTCGATGCTCTATAACCTCTCTCGGCAAAGGACCAGCAGATCACGCTTGATGGCTGCCTCCTCAGACACACAACCGTACTCGTCTTGACAACAGAACTGCCCACCCCAGACCCACAGGCACACAAAAGGGAACAAAGTAGGAGAGGGATCTGAATGTGGGTATGCGGACAGGCGCAGTACAATCAAGAATCACCAGTACTCCGCCTAGAGAAAAGACGTCTGCGCCCCAGTCCAATATGCCGGAATCTCGGTCATCAGAAAGCACGAGCGCCTATGAGCGTGAGGACATCGACACCGCACAGGATGATGAACAGTCACCGCTTATCCAAGAGGCCAAAGGTGCCATCAGCTTCGACACTATATCATCTCCAGTCCGACCAACACCAACTTCACGGCAGCAGCCGAGTCGAAATCGCAGCAGTCTTGGCACTAGCTCCAAGATATCTACCGTGGATTTTGGCTACCCATCGAAATCAGCATCTGATTCAACAAGACGCAGGACCATGTCAGAAGAAGAAGACAGGACATTGCCTTCGTCACCACCACCACCACCCATCAAATCCAGCACCGACACGGGTTCATCATCTAAAGCACCCGTTGTTAGCCCGACAATGACGCAACTTCAAGCAGCAGCCGTCCGGTCTATGACGGCCGCCGAACATGGTACTTTCAAAGCCGACAATAACTTATCCTGGGGCGATCCAGCCGGTCTACCAATGCGCAGGACCAACGATGAGAACCTGGTGATATTCCGACGGGCGATCGGTATCAACAGCGGCCTGGCTGGGGAGTCGGACACGCGAAGCCTGGAGGAGGGTCGCAGGCGGGCGGTGGGCATGTATGCGGCGACAATGAAGGCGCAGCTAGAAAAACGGGTAAAGCATGCCCTGATCGACGTTTTGCTTTATGCCAGTCATCTTGCACAGATATTGATTGGAGCTACGTTGACTGCTCTGTGAGTTTCAGTTCCGCCATCTAGACTACTTCCCCCCTCCCCTATGGTATGGTATGGTTTCCAACTACCCGGCAGAGATATGCCATTAACACTTTACCTTGCCATCTAGCGGCCCGTCAGCAGGCAAACATGCCATCCTCATCACCGTCTTAGGCGCAGTCAACACCGTCATCGCCGGTGTGTTGGCGCTCATCAAGGGCCAGGGGTTGCCCGAACGGTTGCGGCACGACCAGGCCGAATTCAGGAAATTGCAAGACTGGATCGAGCAGACCGAGGCGTTGCTGGCCGTGGGTGTGATTGGACGGGACCGTAAAGAGGTCGGGCTGTTGATCCAGGTCGCGTTTAGGAAGTACAATGCTGTCAGGCAGTCGGAGGAGAATAACAGAAACGAGAATTATGTGAGGGTTGGTGCGGCAGATCCGTTGGGGAGTGGTAGTGGAGGTGCATCGGCGCCGGTGGAACATGTTGGTCATACGGGGAAGTTGTTGAATTTGGATGATCATGAGAGGAATACAGGGGCGTATCAGAGTGCGGGTAGTGGCCGCGGGAAAGGTAGTTCACACTCGGGAAACCAATGAGGATTCAACATTGTGTGAGTAGCCCTCGATATTTGTTCAAGGTGTTTGCATTGATGTGGCTGCAGATGGGTAATCCAAGAGGGAGGTGTTTTGGCTTGAATTTTGCTATATTGTCGTATCAAATCTTTAAAGGCCATTTATGACAAAGACAATGTCCAATCAACTGATGTGAACAAGATTGAGGGAACTGTAATGTGAAGGATAGCTGAATTCTCGTGCAGACCAGAGAAAGGGTTTGCCTTTCAGGGGAAGGTGGGGGCACAGATTGGCTAACTGCGCACTAACAGGATTTGGTGTGATTAATGTGCACAGGCGTTAGCGCAAGCTAGACATGCTTGGAATGCGGTCTCTCCACTAATCCCAACTCATTCTTCAAATCATTTTCCACTTCCAACTCAATTTCGCACAATGACTGAGGACAATAAACCATCACCTTATCTCAACCTGAGTTACACGTAAAGAACATGATTAACTCATGTCCAATTCCCATCAAGCACCAAGTGCCTCCTCCACCTCGGGAAATTTCTCCCGCTTGTGCTTCGCCTTCAGTGCCTCCCGCTCCTCCCACGTATACAGCCCGTCGCCGCTCTTCTCACCCAGATCACCACGCCCAACATACGTCTTCTTCAACCACTCCAGCGGCTTCTCGCCAGACCTTGCAAGTTCCGACCGTTGCTCGATATAATGCTCCTCAACATTGGCCACCACATCCAGCCCAACCTCATCCATGCGCTCACAGGGTCCCTTCTCGGCATGGAAAAAGTCGCGAAACAATGCGTCAATCTCAGCCGGCTGTCCGACCCCTTCCTGCAGCACCGCCAGCGTCTCGCGCTTGCATGCCGCCCAGATGCGGTTGAAAATGAACCCTTGCGACTGCACGCCGGGCGGCACCACCATGGGCGTCAAGCCCATGTTCTTCATCTCCCGTGTTAGGAACGGGAAAATCCCTTCGTACGTGTGCGAGGAGGACATCACCTCCACCATGACGTTGCGCGGCGGGATGTAGTAGTGCGTGTTGATGAGATGACCGGGGTTTTGCAGGTGCGGCGCCATTTCGGAAGTCATCAGGCTGCTGCTGTTGGACGCGATGATGCAGTTTTCCGGGAGAAGGCGCTCGATCTCGGCGAGGGCGGCGATCTTGAGGGAGAGGTTTTCGGGGAGACATTCGATTACCATCCACGGTCCCTTTTTGCGTGTCGATTTGGGTTCAGTGTCGTGCGCCGCGCTGAAGTCCAACTTTAGACCGTGGCGTTTGCCAGCCGTGGTTGCTTCTCGGAGGTCGCTGGTGAAGTGGACGGGGCCGGGATGGGTCCCGTGTTCGAGACAGTACTTGGCTAGGTTGTCGGTGATGTACTCGGTCGAGGAGCGGAGCGCGTTTTTGGAGATGTCGTACACCGTCACCGGGCGCAGCGCCGAGGCCCATACCAGCGCTACCCGACGGCCGATGTGGCCTGCGCCCATGATCAGGACGGGTTGTTCCCACATGTCTTGGTCGGTGGGTGGGTGCCATTGGGTGATGGACCGCGCGACTCGTTCGGGGGCCTGGGAGGTGAATAGCTGAGTAGCATGTCGGGGGAATTGCACTGGACTGCTGCGTGTTGCGCGCCCACGTTTTTGGAAAGATCCGATTGAGAGCCGCTGGCCGGAGAAATGGACACCATATGCGCGAAGAGAGAGAAAGCTGTCCCAATTCTTTTGGAGGTTGGAAGGTCGACACAAAAACGGTCGAGTTACTACTGACAGAAGAGCCATGCTGACTTTTACATTACTTCCAGGTTAATTACTTAAACTGGAACAAGGAGTATGAATATTTCATGTGGATTGGTGTTTGATGTTTATGAATTTGGCACGCAGAAAGAGCAAAACCCCAACAAGAGCGCGTTTGCAGTAAACGACTTGGGGCTTTATCGCCTAGACGACCAAGCATCTGTGCGTCACTTTAGATGGCGGTCACTGCTCAGACCTCGGATTCCTGGCAGCTGATGAACGTCGCATTGCCTCGCTCCTGCGTCTTTCAAATAATCTCGTCACTCTCCTGTAAGGCTGTCCTGAATACTGAGTTCGAACCCCTCAAATTCGCACAAGTCTATATAACAGTAGAGGTAGGTAACGTTTCCCGATGTTGGAACCCATCTAACTGCTATGTCTAGACTCGTCAGACATCGTTGCCCCCCTCCGGCCTCTTGAATCCTTCCCTTTCTGCTTCGCTTTGTTGCGCACTATCGACACCTCCGACCTCACATGCGGGATCGTGTAATGGGGATCCATCTTCGCCCACTCTTCATAATTCCACAGCCCCGGGGTGATGGCAAGAATAACCTCTTTACCCATTTCATCCCGTTGAAGGTCTCCCAGATCTCCTGTTGAATTGTTACTCACCACATACTCATCCTCAAGGTCTCTTAAGTGCATCTTGTCGGGCACGAAGGAATACCCAAACTTTTGATCCTCAGTCCGTGGATCTGTGTATATGAGCGCCCAATTCCCCGATGACCGCAACATTCTCGAGTTGAGGTCGCTGGCGTGGCCGATGATTTGCACCGCCAGCTCCTGCATTTCCCTCTCTCGCTCAGCCCTCTCTTCGTGAAAATATCTGCCTGTGCGCGGGGGGTGTTCTTGTTCTTTCTCCCTAAGGAAATCGAGGATGCCATGACAAAAGACCTCTTCGAAAGCACGCGCCACACGAGATGGACTTTCTTTCTCGTACATTTCTTTCAAGAAAGTCGCCAGTCGAGCCCTTTGCTCGCAGAGCTCTGGCACCGCTTCTCCAAAGTCCAGTCCTGCTGCCACTAAACGATGGTCACAAACAACAGATCAGCAAATGTTGCGAGTCACTAACAAATTATCCAACAGCAACTCGGACAAAAACTTACAAGAAGTAACCCAAAATTCCAGCAGCATCGCCCTCCCATGTCCGAAAGCAAAATACTCGGACCGTTGCCGATCAAACATCAGCTTATGCAACCTCCTCCAGATCAACGCCTCTAGCAACCACTTTCGAAGCGGCCCTTCGTCCGGTTTCCAGTACGCCTTTACATACTTTGTCATTTTTTTGAGCTCCTCCCAGACATCAGGTACCCGCTTAGTCCATTCTTCAAGGGTTCGATCCGTGGGAATCATTTTCACCAATTTTTGAACCAGAATCTTGAGATGGGCAAAGTCCCGCTTGAGATCTTCCACGGTGACGGGGTCGCCGTACTCAGGCCCGGATGCCCGCGTGAAGATGCCTTGGTTGTACTTCAAGCCGTTTCGCTTGGTGCGGGCTACTCTAATGTTGTATGCCTCCTGGAGTTGGGAGAGGCGGGATGTGATGCCGGACATGATGTGTTCTTCCTGGATGTCGGGGAGGTCGCGGTAGGTGCGTTCGGAGGGTACGCTTGAGATTGAGTTTGAGGAGGTGTCCGAGGAGGAGTCTGAGGGGTCTTTGTCGGGGTCACCGCCATCAGCGCCTGCTGCCGCTGCTGCTTCGGCTACATCTTCGTTCCCTTCGTTGAGATTTTCATCTACCTCCCCCCGCTCCTCATCTACAGCCTCATCCTCGTTCTCCCTCTCATCATCTTCTCTCCGATCCTGACTCTGACCCTCACCTGGACGCCGCTCATCAACATCAAACTGCACCTCCCTTTCCTGTACCCTCCCCATTCCATTCCTCACCGAAACTCTAACAGGCGGCGACTTCTTCTTCTTCTGCTGCTGCTTCTCCAGCCCCTCTCTAGCCATTCTGCCTGCCTCGTCATCTGCCTCCCGATTACTTCTATTTCCATCTGCTCTCTCTGCCCTCCCTGCTGCGTCCGCCCGCGCCACCTCTGATGACGTTCTTGGTTGCGCTCTCGGCCCCATTGATACTGACTTTCGAGGAATTTCGAAAGAAAGGCTTCCAGCAAGTTGAAAATTTCGGTGGTTGGGGTTGGTAGCGGTCTTTGCTGCAGCGGGGGACCTGGCTTTTTTTGCTGGTGGTTGGGCTTCATCCTCGTTTTCGGCTTCTTCGTTGTTGTTATTGTCTTTGTCTTCGTTCCCTTCCATAACCTCTGCGGTTCTTTTTCTGCCTGTTGCTGGATTGTTTGCTGTTTTCGCGTTGGGTACCGCCTCTGCACGCTTCGGAACGGCGCTCTTCATGGGCGCTACTTTCTTGGGGGAAGGAACCTTTTTAGCAGCAGCCTTTTTAGGAGCAGCAGCCTTTTTAGGAGCAGCAGCCTTTTTGGGGGCAGCCTTTTTAGGAGCAGCAGCTTTTTCCTTTCCCTTTCCCTTTCCCTTGGGTTTAACAGGCGGTTGCTCGTCCTTTCCGCCGTCCTCTTCGTCGTCCGCATCCTTCTCAGCCTCTTTCGCTGCCTTTTTTGCCTGCTGTTCTGCCTTCCTTTGCGCTTCTGCCTCGGCCTTGGCTGCCGCTTCGGCTTCTTTCGCGGCTTTTTTGTCGGCGAGGGCTTTTTGTCTCGCTGCTGCTGCTGCGCGAGGCATCTCGGCGGTGCTTTTTCCTTCTTTTTTTCTTCTTCTTTTTTTCTTGAGTGTCGATTCAGGTGAGGAATTTCAATGGATTGGACAAGTGTTGTGACAGGGGATCGTGAATGTGATTGAAGGTTCTTGAGGCTTTAAAACAAGTCTCAAAATGCTCTTTCTAGCCGAAGTGGTAGTATAAAATGATAGTGCTGAAACCTCTTGTCTTTCTGGCATGAGAATTGGAACTGACGAAGTCGGAAAAGCTCTCTTGGAACTCATTTCACTTCGCGGTGTTGCGCTTCCTATGGGGGTTATCTACGTTCGCATCGCCCAACAAACAATGGCTCCCTTGATGGCCGTTTGCGGATGTTTTTCCTTGGCGTCGGGTTTCTTCCTGGTGTCCCTTCTTTGTGTCCATGCTTCATTGTCACCTTTGAGCCATTACGCCGGTGAAAGTGTTCCGGACGCATTCTCTCTTTTTTTCGACTAAATGGGAAATTACGGAGCCAGTATAGTCCTACATTTGCACGTTCTTCTTTGCGCATATCTTTTTTTCTCACTATGCCATGATCGCCTCATAGAGTAGTGCGGAGATCTCCAATTTGAGCCAGTACCGAATCTGGTGGTGTTTGGCAGTTGTTTGGCATTTTTCTTTGTTTACTTGTACCCCAAGACAGCTACAACAATGAACAGGAAGGGACCAGTGCCGTTTTTGATGCAATTCGTTACCGGCGGTCTGGCCGGCAAACAATTGGGGGTTTTCCTTTTGGAGAAGGTGTCTTACCTTTGCATCATCATAGCACCGCGGTATAGCTACCTATGAGGCCAGTGGCAGGTATTACCGGCGTGTGTATACTTGCACTTCGTGCCTGACCCCTACAATGATCAAGGGCAGGAACACCATCAGCTGAGCGGAATGTCTCAGTACCCAGTGACTACTTCTCTCGGACTAGGAGGATGATGGTAAATCTCCAGTATTGCTTCATTGTCTTGCAAGGCTCTCAACGATGGCACGACGAGATTCGCTGACCCAGGCAATCGATAGTGTCTCATCAGATTCTGGGAAGATGTCAACACTCCTGTTCAACATCTGTGCATCACTTCTTCTTACAAATACAACACCTCATCAATAAATCGAGTAGATATCATGTCTGTTGCTGAGTCATGTACTGAATTGTCTTTCGATATCCAGCATGAGCGCAATGTCCGCGGATGGTAACATGGGGCGTTTTGTACACCTCTTCCGGCGTGTAAATGGTTAGCGCGGTACCGCCACCTTCTCTTCAACGATTAGCCCCTATTCAAGTCCCCGCGCTAGCGTTTTATATGCCGGAGAAGAAGTTTAGATCTGGAAGAAGATGGGCGGGAAGGTCCCAGAGTTGAAAATGCGAATATGCACGAGTGCCCACTCAGACCAATTACATTCGAACAATTTCTAGGCAACGACATTTGTCCCAAAACTACTTTATACACGGCAGGTGCCATATGGTGCTACCGTCACATCTCCGACAAGATACATAATAAGTTCACAAATCTGAGTATGAGGAATGCATTAAAGGTGGTACTCGGTGTGGTTGGTCATTACTCATGTCCGGATGTTACGTCAATCCGGGGTAGAAAGTAAACATACAAAAGGGGCAAGTTTTCGTCCTCTTGGCCTCCATCGACAGCATTGAGTGACAGGCTTCCTTCATCGCTTCCAATCATTGCCCAAGATGTTTCCCCCAGCCCTCACCCTCCTCTTAACTCCGGGACTAGTCGCTGCGGCGATCCAACCCCAAGCCTATGCCTCCTCAGCAGATGGCAGATACAAACTCTCCTCCTACAGCGCTCCGGTCCGGGGCACTGGCACTCCGGGATCCAACTCAACATGGAAGCTCACCATAGACGACACTCCCTCTGGCCGGAAGCAAACCATCAAAGGCTTCGGCGCCGCCGTCACCGACTCCACCGTGTCCGTCTTCAACGCCCTCCCCTCCGCCCAACGTACCGCCCTGCTCAACACCCTCATGACCACCGCCGGCGCCAACTTCGCCATGATGCGACACACCATTGCCTCCTCCGACCTCTCTGCCAACCCAGCCTATTCGTACGACGACTCCAACGGCCAAACCGACCTCTCCCTTTCCAACTTCAACCTCGGCGACCGCGGCAACGCCATGGCCTCGCTGCTCGCCGAGATGAGACGTCTCCAACCCGGCCTCACCATCCTCGGCTCTCCCTGGAGTCCACCAGGTTGGATGAAGCTCAACCGCGTGATTCAAGGTACCACGGTAAACAACAACCTCGACCACGCCTACGCCTCCCAATTCGCCCAGTACTTCGTCAAATACCTCCAAGCGTACCAAGCCAAGGGCGCCAAAATCGACGCCATCACCATCCAAAACGAACCGCTCAACTCGCGCGCGCAGATGCCGACCATGTACATCTACGCTGACGAGGCCGGTGATCTCATTCAGAACAACATCGGTCCAGCTCTGCGCAACGCCGGACTGGATACCAAAATCTGGGCATACGACCACAACACCGACCAACCCTCCTACCCGGCCACCGTCCTTTCTCGGGCGGGCGGGTATGTGCCCGCAGTGGCATGGCATTGCTACGCCAGCTCGCTGGACTGGTCTGTCTTGACCACCTTTCACAACGCCCACCCGGGCGTGGAGCAGTACATGACCGAGTGCTGGACGTCAGCAAGGCAGCCGACGCCGTGGAACTGGGCCGCAAGCTTCACCATGGGACCACTGCAGAACTGGGCGAGCGGGGTGACGGCGTGGGTGCTGGGGACGGATACCAATGATGGGCCGCACTTGACGGGCAGTGATGCCTGTGATAAGTGCACGGGGCTGGTGACGGTGGATACGGCGGCGGGGACATATAATTTGAGGGGCGATTATTATATGATGGCGCAGTTTTCGAAGTTTATGAGGAAGGGCGCAGTGGTGATGAGTGGAACGGGAAGTTGGACGTATGGGGATGGGAGCGGGCTCGAGAGTGTCGCGGCGACGAATGCGGATGATGGAAGTAGGGTGGTGGTGATTGAGAATCAGTTTGGGAATGAGATCTATGTGACGGTTGAGGCGAAGAGTGGGGAGGTTTGGAGCGGGTTGGTTTATAGGAACTCGGTGGTGACTTGGGTTTTGCCGGCTGCAGGGGTGTAAATATTGGGACGTGTTTAGATGTTTGGATTCATTCTAAAAGAAAGAAAAAAAATACGGGGTTTGGTCACTAGAGATTCCATTATGTTTTCTATGTGCTTGGATGCCAGTTTGGTTCAATGTTCTAGTATACATATGGCTTTATGAAATGCAAGCGCTTATAATCCGGAAGATAGACTCTTTGTGGTGCCGAGTTGGGCACACAATGGGCGGTAGATGATGGCATGTGGCATCCCCCCTTGTTCAGAAAGATTGAAGCAACATGAAGCAACTTTGTAGAGCAAATAATGTCGGGGAGATCATCAACGGGTGTTGTAGTCAACCTTCACGCTCTTGGAGCCTTCCTTCTTCCCGCCACGATAAATAGCAAACCCGACCGACTCTCCAGAGCAGTTCATTTCGAAACGATACCTCAGTTCACTGTAGGCTCCTCCGATCCTGTTCTTGCACTTCGGCAATGTGTGAGGGTCGATGACTGTCTCCCATTTGATCGAGCACAGCTCCTTGATGACTTCCGGGTCCCATCTGGTCGGAGGAGGGAAGATGTTCGTTTCGAATATCTCCACGTCATCCGGCGTCTTCATGGGTCCATTGCAATCAAATGTTCGCTCGACGCTAAGACTCATAGGCTTTTGAGCAGCAATTTCATCTCCCTGTTCATGGTAAGCTGTTTGTCACTATAGTGATTGTGGATTTCCTCGTGGATGGTACCTATCTCTTTAAGAAGCCATGCCATTTGGTTTCGTGCGAAATATTTCTGATCGATTTCACACAAATACTTGTCCTCAGGATCGTGACGCCGAGTGTCCCAAGGCTCGCTCAAACAGATGCCATAACTCGCCCGTGCAACTCTAGTTTGAACTTGAACAGAGAGCTTCCCAATTCCAGATTGGGTCGCGGCATGGATGACGGCCCCGCGGCAGATGGCCGTCCATCTATGAGTAGAGATTCTGTCAGTGTCTCTGTACCATGGAAGTGTAGAGGTAAGAATGAAACGAAGAGCTCTTACGGTTTATCCCCCTTTGCCTGGAGGACCTCTACCTCCGCGCCGAATATCTCGTTCACTCTATCGTATAGATAGTTGCAACGACCAAAGCCACCGACCAAAATGACATACTGTATCATCCTACTAGTCAGTAAAGGCAATAACGGATATTGAGAATCTGGTTGTCTTCGTCTTACCTTTGGGCTAACCCCCTCCTTCTCTTTGACGGCGTTGATTTGGCCATTAATGAGACGGTTGATCTTTTCAACGACGGGATTAAACGCTTCTCTAACGTCTTCAGGTGTAATAGTGATGGTCGGCAGGGACGCGGATGCTCCTATAGCGCGTCTCTCTTTTACCAACAAGCATTCCATGGGGATACGAATGTTGTAGGATTTTTTGGAGCTCATCTTGAAGTTCCTCTTGATGCCAGTCTCCCATTGAGTGCGAACCATGTCGCGCCGATTTGACTCGTCCATCTTCACCCACTTCTTGCCAAACTTGCTCTTGAGGACATTCGTGAAGGCTTCATCGAGGAAAACTGCGCCGCACAACCCACCTGTCACTGTATCAGTATCTGGGTATGCTTGTATGATACGCATGGAAAGGGCTGTAGATGCTTACCACTTCCTTTCACACACTCCTTGACGATCATGGGTTCGGCTTGAATCAGTTTGTACGATATTAGATCCACAGTTCCACCGCCGCAATCCGCCACGACGAATGTGTCTCCATCCTGCTCCAACATTCAAATTAGCGTCCTCTGATGTCGTCTGGCAATTTAATTGGGGGCTGCCTAGAAGATTGCTGACGTGCATTCCTCAAGGGGAGTTGACCTACCTTCACGTCAAAACGCCCTTCCATGTCCGCAAGAGTGGCTATGGCAGCCGCCTCAGGCTCAGAGATAAAAGTGAGTTGGGTCTCAACCCCCATCCTTTTGTCCAGCATACCAGCCTGCTCGGCCGCAAGTCTCATTTTCTCGCGTGCGTAGCTCGGCCAAATGGCCGGAAGCGTGATTACGATATGGAACTGAGCATAGTTGACCATGCCTTTGCTGATTGATCTGGTGATACAATCGATCGAGTGCTCCCAAAGATGACGCAGAAACGTCGTGACCGCTTCTTCTGCTGTCTTTTTGTGCTTTTGGAGGTACTCAAGAGCCTTCTTGATCTTGTCTGAAGTTCTGACTTCTTCCGGGATATCCTCATCGTTGAGGAGCAGAAGCTTAACCCATTTAAGCTGTTCCGATTCCGGCTCGATAGAATAACCCCAGGTCACCTTATTTCCAGGACCGTAGGTAATAGCGGTGGGTGCCTTGCACTCATCAGTGTTGTCACTCGTGTCAGCATCCCAACTGGTTATGATCTCGATTTTGTCAACTTGGTTGGACCAGGTGAAAGCGACACCGGAGAAAGTGGTTCCGAAATCAATCCCGACGATGACAGTTCCTTGAGAATTTGCCGATTTGCGGGGAGATTTCGGCGGGGTTGAAGGCATTTTGATCTCAGTGAAACTAAAAAGAGTAGATCTGTGTGGAATCTCTGGAACCGTGATAATCTTGTACTTGGAATGAATAGAGGTAATTATTAGTAATGTTCTGCGTTATTTTTATGATAATTGCTCAAGATCCGTGTTTGACATGATGACTAGATCAAGAAACACTCATGAGTCGGGGTGCCAGAGGGTAGCTGACCGTGATGTTGAAAGAATAAGGTAAGGGCTGGATCATAACAAAGTTATCATAACAGCTTCAATAGTCCAGCAGCTTACCCTGTGATTTGAGAGGGAGGGTGGCAGCTTCGTGGAAGCTAGGGAATACCAGCAGAGTGTTATCTGCCTTTATTACTTGCAGGGAGATGTATTGTGAGTGAACGAGTTGTTAGATGTATCGTGTGAGAACAAATTGGAATGGTTTGACGGAAGTTAGATGTGCCGTTTATGAAAGATATGATATTGGGGAGGGACTGAAGGAGACTTTCGGTCTAGCCGTACCATCGGAGAGGAAGTGTGAGTGGGGTATTCCACGAACTCATGGTTTGGGAGGAAGTCCTCAGGAAAAAATACAGAAGTAGGATGGAGGTAGTGGTCCCATCTATTCGCCGAGAAGGGTGGGATGACGAGAGATATGGCTGTTTCAGATTGATCTGGGCTTCAAGATTTCTGTTTATGTCTCCAAGAAGTAACTCGCTGCCCGTTTGATAAGGAGGAAGAGACGAAATAACGTCCTTGTAATCAAGCATGTACAAGGCTGTCTCTCCGAAGTGGAGGTAACTTCATCTTGCCTGTGACCACCAGGTACTTCTGGATGTACTCGGTTTTCTATTCCTGCCAGCGAGAGTTACTTATGGGCAGTACTTCGAACGAGTGCTTGTAGATGTATACAAATTCCATACGAGATAAGGGTAAGTAAGGTAGGTACGTACCTACAGGTACCTCTGTGCCAACGGTCCTCTTCGAAGGAGGGAATACTCCGAGTCAAAGATAACAAGATCAGACCGCAGTCGGTCAAATCTGAACTTCTGCGATTGGATGGGGGAGGCTGGTACTGCTGATCTTAGTTCTATTGCTTTTCAAATCTGTTCATAAATCTGATATTCAACGGCAGGCCTTTGGGTCCTCCTTCGACAATTCTGGATCACTACCCGGCTGTCTAGCGAGGGGGTTCACTCCGTCGATATTCATAAACGATATTGATTGAGTTTGATTTGGAACACGTTTCTCTCCTCGCCTCACTATACAGCTTCGCACCTTGTGCTTGAAGAGTATCAACATCTACTTACTATCGTGCTAGCTGCGTACTTTCTGCAACAGATTTCGGAACTTTGTTCTCAACGAATTCTTCCCTTGTCATCACAAGCGCTGCTGGACGAACGCGCTCTTCTACCAAGGAGAAGTTGCCTCCGAGGGGGCTTTCGAAGGACATCCCTAAGCCATCAGCAATCGGTGAGCCTTATCCCACTTTTTCGCCGCTGCGCATCCAAGTAATTACAAAAAAAAAACACAACAACAACATTATCAAAGTCCGATATCACTGAACACACGCTTTATCAAGCGCTGTGGCCCAGTGAGCATTTCTCGTGCTCTCAACTCACCAAGCCTACATAAGCACTCGTCACCTACGGACCACATATCAATCATGGATCTCAACCACGGTCTATCGCCCGCTCATAACCCCGGCAACTCAGCTGGTGAAATGACCGATGATCAAAAAAGTAACATGAAGGTAGCTTCTCATCATGCAAGACTGCATCGGTCAACCGGACAACAAGCGAGCCGTGTCGCCCAAAACATTGACAAGGGAAATTCCGGGCCAGTTGAAACCGAGTCTGCCATCTCCAGCATCGAACATCAGACACTGCGTCAACAGATGAAGATCAAGCAAAAAGGCCATGGTCAATTCATCTCGAATTCCACGAAGCACTCTCAGGAGTCCGAAGAGAATCGCAATGGAATCCTGAATCACTTTCACAGTCATAGCAACGGCGAGCGTTACAGGAAAGAGCATGCCACCAGGTCTAAGAAGATCAAACGTAAGAGAGATGACACGGAGGAGCAGAGAGAATCCATTGCCCGAAGTTTACCAGTGTCCATTGTCCGACTCTCACCGGGAATCGTAATGCAAGAAAGGGAAGAAGGGCCAAAGAAGACGTACTTCAACACACAAGAGACTGCGGATGCAGCTCGCATCCGAAGCCTGGAAGCCGAGAACGACCTCCTCAAATCCGAGATAAACGAACTTGAGAGAGACTTAGATAAGACACGGACGGAGCTTCTTGAGGAACTTTCCGAGCTGCGATCCAAGAACTACGTTAACCCCACCAAGGACGCCGATTCAGAGATTGGAAAAGACTGGGAACATTTGGTCTTCTTGATTGAACAGTTTGTCAGCAACCACTTTCCCACTATGCTTCTCTGGGAAGACATTCAGCGAGCTGGCACCGTCAAGCAGTACTCGCCCATTAGCAACGTATGTGCAGAGCCGGAGTCAGTCCTCCAAAGCGGATACATATATCCATACCTTGTGGAGAGCATGGTGTGGCGTTTTGTCAAGAAAGAAGTTTTTGACCCTAAGTCAAAGCTGTGGGCAGGAAAGATTGGTGAGAAATTCGATGATATCTGCGGCAAAATCACAGGTAAGCTGATCCGCCCGAAATGTATCACCTGCCATTCAGCTTCGGTCAAAACACTAACAAAGATTTATCAGGATGCGTCAAGAAATTTCCCGTCAACGAGACGACAAAATTCAACACAGCTTTTCATGAATGGAGATCACGATCTGTGAGCTTCCTTGTTGACCTGGGTTTGGACAGGAAGTCGAGAGATCATTCAACTGCCAGGGAAATGATGGAAGAGTTACGGCAGTTCATCTCACCAAAGCCATCGAGGCGTCGGTTTTCCAAAGAAACTTTGGTAGACGCTGCCGAGATTATCAGAAAAGCTGTTGACATCGACATTCAGCTCAGAAAGTCAAAAGCTTACTTCCCTATCATTTTCTCTGGTGCCGTACAGTCGAATCAATCTCGGTTCTTTGGGTTTTCTTTTAATGCAGGAATCATGGGTAAAATTTCCCTTGGGCTGAGCAGCGATCAACTGGACCAAACAAGCCCTCCCATCGTTGACATGGCGATATCACCAGGCTTGATGAAGCGCGGCAATGCTGATGGCACAAACTACGAATCCACGAAAGTATTGGCCAAAATGAGAGTTATTTGCGACCTAGATGCCTTCTTCAATGATGTCGATGATGAGGAAGACGACGAGGAAGTTGACAATTCAGACGCTTCAGTGCACATGGCTCCGGAATATGCGAATGATTCTGAGGGATCCGATCTAACGTGCACGGAGAGTCCATTGGCTCAAAATGGAGAGCATGGGAACAAAGAGGAGACAGAGGAGTCGAACATCATTGTGGCCGCACATGCGTTCGCCAAAGCTGAGCTTGAAGAGCAGGAAGGTGGCGCGTGTGATGTCGCAGAGTCGAAGCCCAACTCGCCGGATTCATCTCCATTGACCGTGAAGGGGGAGGTCGTCAGTGCGGAGATGGTCTATCCTCATGCAGAGAATGCTGCAGGAAGCTCGGAAGCCATGGATCTTGACGGAGGTGCCGATCTTGCCAATCAACCACCGGCCCCGAAGGTTGACCACGACGGAGACCTGCAAATGGAATCAGTCTAGGTCAGGCTCCGCACAGAACAGAACACATCTGACGCCATTCTTGCCTACCGGCCTTGAGATGATACCTACTTATCATCTGGTCAAACGCCTTGTTTTCTCAATTTGCTAGAGCTAAGAGAAAAAAAAAAAAAGAAAAAAAAACCAAAAAAAAAGAAAACAAAGCCAAAAAAAAAAAGAAAAAAAAAGGGAAACAGTCCAGGGTTCGTGCAGACGGCTGCCTGCTCCTTAAATGGAGGGATTAAAAAGAACGTTTAGCATTGAGTACCGAAGCGAGGAGTGATTGGAGGAAGGAACGAAGCAATTCACCTTGTACGAGTTTTCAATCTCGAGTAGGTAGCTAGAAAAGACTTGCTGAAGAGATTCGGGTTCATCATGGAAAGAACGGATAGTAAAGCTCGAGAATTAGAGGATTAGAGGACAAAGGTACCAGCTTTTAGAGCTATGGTAACCACACATGACGCATACAGTCTCGTGTTGGTTTCCACTTGGTTGTCAGCTTGATACTTCCTCCTGGCATGCTGGACGTGATCGCTGCCGAATGGACCTTATAGGGATTGAATGGAAAGTACTAAAAAGATTCGACCAAGTGTATTTTACGATAAAAAGCTTAGGAAAATTGACCCAAGGTCTCGAGCTAACAAACGGACCAGTATTGGACCGCATATTCCACGACCATCAATGACCTGTTGTCCTGGAGAGTGTGGTTCTTTGGGTCTTCAGTTTAGGCAATACGGGCTTGGGAACGGACCATGACGACCTTGACCGGTGGACTTGACTCGCTGTTCCAGCTCCTAATCCCGCTCTTTAGCTTCATCGCCTCTTTTTCTTATCGTCGCAGACCGCGCGATAGTTTTGCAGCAGGCCTGAATAACGAGTGTTGTGTTTAAACTTTACGCTCTTGTGAGCCTGATGGCGGCAGAATGGATGCCCTAACAATTCAACAGACTGGCTAATATTTACGATGAACAGCCTTTCCGTTGTTTGGAGGATCGTAAACGAGCAACCTAAGAGTTTTCTGTCTCTTTTTGGTGGCCTATGAATTGAAGAAATACACCTTCTAATCGATTGTTCTTACCTACTTCCCGACTCAGAACCCCTTTGTGTCCCTTCAAGCCTGACGCCCAAAACTCCATGCTCCAGCGATTACACAACCGAAATTCAAATGGGTGCCAAAGACAATGGGAAAGAAAACCGGTTTAAGTGGAGTTATCAGTCTTGGCCTTCTTCTTGGGACGCAGTTCATGGCTATACATGCGGAAGAATTCGGAGGGCTGGGTAGGCTGCTCGCCAGTAACGTCGTGGAAGGCCGTAGTGACGACGTAGTTGGTCTTGCCCTCGCGGACCAAGCTGTAGTACTCGAGGAGATACTCCTTCTCGGAGTCGTCGATGTCGGCTTGGGCCTTGAGGATTCTCTTGGCCTCGCGTCTGTGTTTGATGCGATGTTGTTAGCAATCATTGGGGAAAATAGCGTGAGTTGAATGGTGACAAAGGATAGAGAAGAAGAAAAAAAACGTACTCGGAGATGTTCTCAAACTCCATCTTCTGACCGACAGCCTGGCTAGCAGCCTCAGCCAGCTCCTTTCCAGCGCAAAGCATGGGACCAGTGACAATCATCATCTGGCCGCGGTGGCGATCATCGAAGCCATGCTTGCCCTTACCAGCGAGGACACAAGCAGCGACGTACGCAATATCACCCAGAGCAACGGGAGCAAACTTGTGGTTCTCGCCAATGGGCAGAGGGAGGATACCGTTCAACTGTGCTTGCTGAGAGTACAACAACAAGTTCTCGGCGTAGAAACCAGCGCGGATGACACAGGGCGAGTGGCCTAGATCGACGCTCGGGTCGCCCTTGGAGCTCAAGACAATGTTCTCAATGTCGATGAACTCGCGCAAACGGGGCTGCTTGCGTCTCTCGGCATAGTCGCAGCCGGCAGCAGAGATGAGCAGCACGTTCTGGACGCCGGCCTTCTTGGCGGCCTCGCACAGCTCGATGGTGATGTCGACCTTGTCCTTGTGGGCGGGAGGGATCACGCAGATGGTGTCGCAGCCAACCTCCTTAAGAGTCTTAACCATCTGGCGCTCGCGGCCAGGGTGGTGCGGGACGATCTTGGCTCCGAGGGACTCGAGCTCCGTGCACTTTGGGTTGGTAGGGTCGAGAACCAGGCCGGTGATGCTATCGATTCGCTTGGCGAACTTGCTCTCCTTGAGGAGTAGCTCGGCAATGAGAAAGCCGGTCTGGCCTTCGCTGGCGGTGATGCAGATGTTGCGAGTCATGGTAGATTATCGGGGTGTGTGAGATGGTCTGATATCTTGTGATTTCTTGGGCTTGTTGTGGTGGGTTCAAGTCTTGAGAGGAGGCGACCGCGGCTGGAGTAAAAACGGGGAAGTAAACTTGAGATGGGCGCACATCTTGTGATTATCTGTCTGCCAGATGTCAGTCAACGTCATTATCATCCATTCGGCACAAGCACAGTCCAGCTGCGCGTTCTGTTGCTGCGCGTTTGCTTCCAGATTCAATCCAATCTGGCTTTGGAGAATGATGCAGTTGACGTCACGGCTAGGAAGGAGCGCGCCTGAGGGGCCTTTAAGGTTCCCGTTACCCCGGAGATTCTGCTCCTAGACCACCTGTCACTGTCTTTGTTTTGGACGATTTTTCATAACTATCGTCATCGTTGTCGCTGTTTGCCGCAATAGAGGGGGACCCCGGCCTTGCTGAAAAGGGTCCGTTCTTGTCGTTCAATGCAAACAACCACGTGCCATCACCACAAACCGGTGTCGCAATCCTTAACTACAAGAGAAGAAATTTGAACCCATTAGCGACACATTGCCGCAGCTATGATGAAGGATCACGGTCTTTGTGTCATTGTTGAGGAGAAACTGTCTTCCGATGAAGCGATATAGGATAATGGCAAGGATTTGTGACGCCATAGAAACCTCTGAGAGGTATCCCCTAATACCTCTCTCTATCGCCTTAGAGGTCCTTAAGACTAGAAGAAAGCCTTCAAGACTAGGTAAAACACTAAATACAAAGACAAAATCTATAACTAGTGGACTTTGGATTTTTGTACTGGACTAACACACAAACCAGGACTGGATTGTATGTGTGTTTTTTTCTTCTTGTCTCGCTACCCTCTTTCTCACTCGTGTTACCAAGGTTCGAAGGGCGACATTGGTTCATCATAGAGTCCACGATCATAGACTATAGACACTCGAAACTCTGGCCAAGAGGGCTGCCCGTAGACTTTGATTGGCGACCTTAAATCACTTCACTGCTCATCACTCGTTTTTATTCTTCAAGCACAAGAAGTTCTCACGCCTTTGCAATCCACGATGGCTGAGCTATTCCAATACACCCATCACAACTTAATCTCCTCCGTACGTCCAAAGAAAACTAACACCTCACCTCCCCTCTCACTCAACCTCAGCAACCTCACAAATCGTCTTCCAAAGCTGTCCCTCCTCATGCGCAAATCTCCCCAAGAACAATCCATCCACTCCATCATCCTCTTTCAGTTGTCCAAACAAACCCGGCCCCGCGCTGCCTCCATACAAAATCCTCGTCACCCCGCCCCTTTCCTCCCTCCCCCTCATCACCTCACTTTTTCGTATAGTCCTCACCACCCCCCTCACATGTCCCACCCCCGCAGGCTCCTTCGCACCAATAGCCCAAACAGGTTCGTAAGCTAGCCAAACTTCTTTTGTAGGGTCAACACCCTCCAGACATCGCTCCACCTGGCCGACTACCTCCTCCGCCGCTTTTCTGATCGCTACCTCGCCCGGGGCAGGTATTTGACCAGGGGAGCCTTCACCAACGCAGATGAGGGGAATCATTCCGTTTCGTATGACTGCCTGAGCTTTGAGGCTGGTGATGGCATCTGTTTCGGCAAAGTGGCGGCGCCGTTCGGCATGGTTGAGTTCGACTATTCTGCACCCTATCTCGGCCAGGACGGCGGGGGATACCTCGCCTGTGAACGGACCGGAATCTTCCCAGTGGCAGTTTTGCGCGCCGAAGAGGATTTTGGGATCAGTTGGGTCAGATTGACTTGGGTGGTTCGCGGTGCGGTTGATGGCAGACTGCAAAGAGAGGTGGTCGGGGATGATGAATATGTCGATCTTGGAGGCGAGGGCGGCAGCCAGATTGTTTCTGTTGTTGGACTGCTCGGTTTTGGTGGAGGTGTGGTGCTGCATGAGGTCGAGGAAGGAGGTGATGAAGTTGGTGGTGCGGGCGTGGGAGAAGTACATTTTTGTTGAAACGCCTACAAGACGCCGGCGCTCACGGGAAGGTGGTGAGGAGGACATCGTCCGAGATTCTTGCTTGACTTCTCTTTCAAGGGTGTTTTGTTGAAGTCTGCGATGGTTGTTGACGTGGTTTGGTGGTGGTACTTAGTCTAGGTATGGTTAGAGAGGATTATAGTTCCTAAGCTGATGGAGAGCGTTCAGTTAGAATTCAGTTTGTCTGTGATTTTTTCCGTGCAAAGAATCGTCACCCATACCACTATTTGCTACTACCTCAATCTTGATCTGATCTCAATACCAACAATGACTTACAACGAAGAGACACTATCTGTTTTCTTGACATAGGTTGATGACAATCCGAGGAAAGGAACATTCACTGTTTGGAAGCTAACCTGAATCCTTGCGTACCCCGCGGATAAGCGCATCCTATACCCGTATCTAAGCTATCTCTTTTCTCGGGCCCGGGTAAATTGCAACATCACCTTTCCCCCCCCCCCCCCCCCCTCCCCCTCGTCCGCCAATTTTCTCCCAAAGTCGTGTGTATTGTCCCAAACCGCGCGGATGCCCCTTCTCGGTTAAGTCTGATTTTACAGAAATCCGGGGGATCTACACAAATCCACAAACCCACAAACCCACAAACCCCCCACAATCTATTGCGACCAACAAATTGTCAATCTGTCATGTGTGAAGCTCGTGGTCGCGTTGGATATGTGACGCTCTTGGCGTTTGTGCTAACGTTATTTCCGTCCCAAGCTCGGGGGAATGCTACCCGAGCCCACTTACACTGCACCATTCAGTCAGGGCATCTTCGCCGTTGGGGGGTCGGATTACGATATCCGAAAAAAGAATCACAAGAACAGGACAGGACAGGACTTGCAAAGCTTTCAGGGTCAAGGGTTTTCCCCAGGTTTTCCCCACGATTAACATGGCGGATCCGGGCTCTGGAGTCTGGACTCGTGGGGAGATGGAGAATGGATTGACATTGCATTCAAACAGAAACTGGGGAAAGACTTGACACTCGAAGCAACAACAACAACAACAACAACAACAACAAAAACAACAACAACAACAACTTCACTTTCATCTTCTTCGTTCTACATAGTTACTATTCCGCTGACCTGTGTCGAAACAAACCGCAAACTGCCCGAAATCAAAATGCCCACACCTACCCAAATTCATGACGAGTGAAAGAAAAGGAAGGCATTGCAAACAACGAGAAAAAAAAAAATGTCCAGTCTAACTAACACCCCTTCACCCACTCCGCCTCTCTACCCCCTTCCCTCCCCTCATACTCATGAATAGCCCTCACCTTCTCCGCACTAGCACTACTCTCATCAAACACATACCCCAACCACTCTTTCGCCAGTCTCCGCGCAAGTTCCAGCCCGACCACTCGCTCACCCATACACAGCACCTGGGCATTATTGCTCAACACGGCTCTTTCCACAGAAAAGCTGTCGTGGGCCGTAACCGCCCGGATACCCTTGATTTTGTTGGCCGCGATGGCCACCCCTAATCCGGTGCCGCAGATGAGTAGGGCGCGGTCGCATTCGCCCGACGCCACCAGCTTGGCGGCTGCGGCGGCGATGTGTGGGTAGGCGGTGGACTTGTCTTGAGAGTCGTGGGCGACGCCGACGTCGACGACGGAAATTACGCGAGGGTCAGAGGAGAGGTCGGATTTGATTTTGTTCTTGTAGTTGATGCCGGCGTCCTTTTAATTGGAAAGGAAGGGGTTGGTTAGTAATAGATCCTGTTGAGGCCTACTATACAACTTTGATAGAGAGAAGGGGGTTCGAAGAGGGAAGACTACTGTACTGACATCGCAGCCGACGGCGATGCGCCATCGTGGTTGTGGTGTTGTTGTTGTAGACATTTTTGCTGGTGATATTAGTCTAAACGTAAAAACTTGTCCGAAAGAACAACCGAAGACCGCCTTCTTTGTTCTTAATAACCTTACAAGCACCCATAACGTCGAGATCACAAGGTTGGTATGTCATGACTAATGACCGGCAACAGCTCGTCGAGTGAAGCCAAGCTATCAGGCGAGGGGACTCGGATTTAGCCAGGACGTGATGCCCTTCTGGGTAAACCGGAAGAATTGGGGGTCACTCCCGCCCCAATATTGACGCCACCACTCCCCGGAGCCCGATTTGATTGCCCCTCTCTGACACACGTCTGAATATTGAGGAAGCCGCTTACGCTACGGCAATTGAATGGTCTGGGACGGAAATCATGCAAACGGCACGGTGGGTTGAGGAGGGGGAAGCGAGTAACACACGAGTGTCCCAGGCTCATACCGGACGATATGACCCATGCTGGATTGGAGGAATTCTACATGGTCAATATCTCTGAGGACTTTCCGATATCACAAGACCTGATACATCCTCATAAGCATACATTCTTCTTGTATCTTCTTTGTGTCTTTTCTTACGCCTCATCATCATCTCTACACCATGTCGAAGCGTCACCTTTTCCCATCCCTGGACGGGCTCGTCCCCAAGGCTCTTCGCGGCATCGTTGCTTCGAACGCCCGACTCAACCTGGACGAAGCCAACAAAGTCGTATACGACTCCGAAGCACCTCGGTCCAATGTCAGCATTGTTAGCGGCGGAGGATCTGGACATGAACCTGCCTGGGCCGGCTATGTTGGAACCAACTTACTTGCGGCAGCCGTAATGGGTGACGTCTTTGCCTCACCAAGCACCAAGCAAATTCTAGCCGCGGTCGAATCAGTACCTTCCGACAAGGGCACTCTCCTGGTAATTACGAACTACACGGGCGACTGTCTTCATTTTGGACTCGCGGCCGAGAAGACGAAGGCAAAGGGCAATCCGTGTAAGATGCTCATCTGCGGCGACGATGTCTCCATCGGGAAGAAGGGCGGCTCCCTAGTCGGAAGACGTGGGTTGGCCGGGCAAATTGGAGTGCTCAAGGTTCTTGGTGCGGCAGCTGCTCAGGGGGCGACTCTCGATGAGCTTTACGATTTCGGTTCTGCATTTGCCAACTCGATTGTCAGCATTTCTGCTACTCTCGATCATTGCCACGTCCCGGGGAGGACTGAGCACGGAGCCCTAGCCGAGGACGAGCTGGAACTGGGAACTGGACCACACAACGAGCCAGGTTACTGGAAGCTATCGCCAGCACCTTCAGCCGAGGGACTCGTCCAGCAGATTCTCAAGTACTGCCTGGACGAGACTGACCCCGAAAGAAGCTACGTCAAGTTCAACCCCGGTGATGAGACGGTTCTTTTGGTCAGCAACTTTGGCGGCATCTCGAATCTTGAGCTAGGCGGGCTCGTAGACGAGATCCTGCAACAACTGCTCAAGGACTGGAATATGGAGCCGGTTCGAGTGTACTCGGGATGCCTGGAGACATCACTCAATGCTCCAGCATTCTCGGTATCCATTATCAACATCACCGCTGCTGCAGCCAACAGCACCTACACCGTCGACCAAATCAAGGGCTTCTTTGACACTCGAACGGACACCGCCTGGGAAGCCGTTGCTGGATACCAGAGTTATCCGCGACGACGTAAGCGGTCTGAGCAGGTCGTTCCACCCCCGAAAGAAATCAGGAGAACAGTCGATGACTCCACTGACCTGAAGATTGACCCAGCGCTGCTCGAGAGCATGATCAAGAGCGCCTGCAACGCAGTGTCAGCCGCAGAGCCGGATCTCACAAAGTGGGACACCGTCATGGGCGACGGCGATTGCGGCCTGACTCTGCAGACCGGAGCCAACGCGCTGTTAGATGCTCTGACGACCAAGCAGGTTGCCGCCAACGGCTCGGTGGTCGAGGTCCTGAACGAGCTGGAAGATATTGTCGAGGGTAAGATGGGCGGAACATTGGGTGGCATTCTGGGTATTTTCTTCGTGGCGTTGCGGACGGCACTTCAGGAGAACATCGGACTCGCAAAGGAAGTGGGAGTTCCCGCTCTATGGGGAAAAGCTTTGTCAAAAGCCATCAGTCATTTGCGTCAGTACACCTCGGCCAAAGTTGGTGATCGTACAGTGATGGATACCTTGATTCCCTTCGCCATGGCTATGGAAGAAGGGAAAAGCTTTGAACAGAGCGTCGCTGCGGCTGTTAAGGGATCCGAAGGGACCAAGAAGTTGAAGCCAAAACTGGGCAGGGCTACTTACGTTGGTGTTGGTGCGGATAACAACAAGGAGCTGCCGCCCGATCCAGGTGCATGGGGAGCCATGGTCGGACTCCAGGGCCTCTTGTCTGCCGTCTAATTCCGTGGTGAAACTAGATTGAAGACGGTGTGTTCATCATAAATTGGAGATGGAGGGTGAAATGATGGGGCGGGGTATCATATCATATCATTGAGTTTTTGTTGTTTGGGAAAGAGCAGTTTCGTTTATCGCTGCCACTTTTCCAGTTCTGCACGGCATTGTTTCCTGCGTAGTTTTAGAGTGGCAGCCCAACCACTACCAACCTCGATTTATGTTGATTTTTCACTAAAATGTGAGAACAATTTCGATCATGCCCCCCTCAAAGGAAAGAAAGGAAAATGACAATTGAAAGTGGGGAAAAAAAAGTTTAAAAAAAGGACTCCGAAAAAAAAAAAAAAAAAGAAAAAAAGAAAAAAAAAAAGAAAAAAAAAGACGTTCCCGGTGCGGTAGAGCGTTTACCGCATAGATGCCCTTTCTTGTTTTTCTCAATGGTGTACTACCCTTCGTTGTCGATTTCTTTCTTGAGGTATGGGACGCCCTTTTAATACTTTGGAACAGTTGACATGTGTGGGTGTTTGATTCACCGTTCGGCCTCTTTTTTATGATTATAACACATTCGAATTAGGAGTGGTGGATAGTTAACCGCTGCGCCATTTGGCCAACGCCCCGAATCGGCTGACTTGTCGAACTGAGGCTTGGAATAAGTGATATATGTACTTGAGGCTACGGGTTGAAGAATCATAAAAGTTGAGGCCATTCAGGGATTTAGAGCGCAGGCATGACCCTAACCCTTCGTTGTTGAGGAGATGTTTTGGGGATGATGGGATGACACTGGTCTTCAATGGAGCGTGCAAGATTGACACAAAGCTACAACAGCCTGGCTCCGGCTTTATCTAGCACGTAAAGTATCTATAGGCATTCTCAAGCCTTCCCGGCACTTCCCAGCCAGTGCATATACTGCTCAATAGCTTCCTGCATCGCCTTCGTCCCGGCCTCAATCACGCTCGTCAACGGCTTCCCCTTCATCTCATCCTGCACCCTCGCATAGTGATTGTTCATCCCTTTGTTGATGTTGACCTTGGTCACACCACCAGCCATGCACTTCCTAAAGATCTCCTCGTCGAATGGGTCCGCACCATGCAACACCAGCCTGACCCTCTCACCCACCCGCTCATTGATGGCTTGCAGACGATCATACTCCAGCTGGATTCCCCTAGGACCATACTCTCCATGCACGTTTCCAAACGCGGGAGCCAACATGTCAATCCCGGTATTGACAAACTCCTCAGCCTCCTCGGGCGTAGTCAGCAGTCCTTCCAAGTCCGCCGTCTCCGCCACGCCATCCTCTCCGCCCTCGATACGTCCAGGCTCCGCTTCGGCAGCAATCTCGCGCTCGTGGCAGTACTGCACCAACTCGGCCGTGAGCTTCAGGTTCTCTTCCTTTTCGTAGTGGCTCATGTCGCACATGATGCTGTCGAAGCCGTCGGGAATATCGGCGGCGCGGCGCACCAGCTCGGGTGTTTGCGCGTGGTCCAGGTGCAGCGACACAGGCACGCTGGCGCTGTGGGCGGCGTCGGCGGCGGCTTTCACGAGTGAGTCACCCGCGTACTGGATGGCCCAGGGGAAGAGGAGGACCATGGCTGGCGAGCGGGCGGCCTCGGCGGCCTTGACGGTGGCGATGATGGACTCGATGTTGTAGCAGCACATTCCCGGAACGGCGTAGCCGCCGGCTTTGGCCTTGTTGAGGATGGACATGGTCCGGTTCTCGGAGAGGGGTGGGCGGCCCATTGTAGCTGTTGTTTGTTGGTGTTGACTTTGGTATGGTGATCTAGGAGGGAAAAGAGGAAAGGAGCAACCGAAAAGAAACAGAATCCGGCTGGCAGGTAGGGTTGGAGAGTTGTGGTTTGCCTGGTTATGCTGAGACGGATGGGATGTGCTTCTGCCACTGATAGAGGTTGCCTCTCCTGTACTAACAGAAAGGGTCAACTGCAAAAATAGGCAGTACTTGCAAAGAGCCGTGATTATCCAGCAGCCGAGTATCGGGAACAGCTTATCCTTCAACGTGTTGCCGAGTTGGAGGATGTCATCAGCAAGTTTCCGGATTGGGCAAACCGGGGTAACCACTATAGATGCAATGACCCCCAAATTCTCCCCCAACTTTACCCCCAACTTTACCCCAAACTTCCAAGCCGAAATCCCGACTCAACCAGTTTGGATGTTATGCATCTCTTTTAGCCTAATGCTGACCCAGTACGTACCTAGCGGGATACTTTCCTTGAAGAGGAACTACCCCAGCTGCTAATTAGTTTCCCGTCCAAGACCATGGAGAAAGGGGAAGTCATCTGGTTGAACATCACTTCGTGGCTCAAGCCTTTTTAATATTTAGGCGGGGGTGGGGGTGCCGAGGAGGAGGAGGTGGAGGCGGAGGAGCGGCTTATAGCCAGGTTTTGGTGTAAGATTTGGTGGATCACGCCATGTTGATGTTCAAAACGTTCTGTTCGGCTTACAGGAAAACGAAAATGACGTTCTCGCCGTGGGGAAAGGTTGGCTTTCCCTCAAGTATGGGGAATCGAATTTCCGCAAAAGAGGGACCGTTGCTTAGACGACAAACTCGCCATACTCAGCTTCACGGGATACATCGAATCTGACTGGGTCTTAGACTTGCACAGTGACTCCCCTACCTAAGACGACTCAACGCTCACTCATCACTGTTCACTTACTGGGACTTTGTCCATTCACCGAGTCGAACCCATAACATCATGTCAGACACCAAGCAACCTGTAGCCTTCATCGGCCTCGGGGCCATGGGCTTCGGCATGGCCACTCACCTCATCAAGCAAGGCTACCCTGTAACCGGCTTTGACGTCTGGCCCCCAACCCTAGAGAAGTTCACCTCCGCCGGCGGTCTCACAGCGTCCACACCAGCATCCGCCGTGGCCGACAAGCCACTCTGTGTCTGCATGGTAGCCACTGCGCAACAAGCCCAATCTGTGCTCATCGACGGGCCGGACGCCGCCGCTCCAGCTCTGCCCCAAGGGGCGGTCCTCCTCCTCTGCTCCACCGTCCCCTGTGACTATGTTCAATCTCTTGCGAAGCAGCTCTCCGCCATTGGCCGTCCGGACATCCATCTGATCGACTGCCCTGTCTCTGGCGGTGCCGCCCGCGCCGCCGACGGTACCCTTTCCATCATGGCGGGCGTGCCGTCTGAGAAGGCCCTGGGCAAATCCAAGCCGCTCCTGGAAGAGCTTGCCGATCCAGCCAAGTTGTACATTGTCCAAGGCGGCATCGGCGCCGGCAGCAACATGAAAATGGTGCACCAGGTGCTTGCGGCTGTGCAAATTCTCGCAGCGAGCGAGGCCATGGGGTTGGCCACTCATTTGGGACTGGACCTGGCAAGAACGAATGAGGCCGTGCTCAAATCGGACGCGTGGAACTGGATGTTTGAACACCGGACGCCGAGGATGTTGACGGGCTATCAGCCCATTGCGAGTGCGACGGTGATCATCGTCAAAGACACAAGCATCATCACTGCCGAGGCCAGGAGGAGCGGATTCCCCACGCTGATGACGAGCGTGGCCGAGCAGGTGTATTTTTCTGCCGTAGGAAGGGGGTACGGGGCGGACGACGACAGTGGGCTGGTAAGGCTGTATGCAGAAGGCAAGGGCAAGGTTGGACCGGTTCAAGGAACTGCTGCGAGTGGCGAGGAGAAGCTAGCACTAGTGATCGGACTCTTGAAGGGGATATTGCTCTGCTCAGCGGCGGAGGCCCTGGCTTTCGCGGATAGGGTTGGGCTGGACCTCGATCAGGTGTTTGATCTGTGTATCAACGCGGCCGGAGGAAGTCAGATGCTGAAGAAGTATGGGCCCAGTATCATCAAGGCTTTCCGGGAGGGCACGGCGAGGCAGGGATGGGCTGCTGCCGAAAGCGAGACGAGTCTCAAGGAGATTGCCGATGGTCTTTCTGCGGCTGTTGAAGAGGCTCAAAGACTCAAGGCGCCCGTTTTCTTGGGCAGCCAGGCGTTGAATGTCGTCCGGGTCGCGCTGCAGTCGAGCCCAGATGGAGTTGCGGCGGGGGCTGTTGTGAAGGTGTGGAACTCGACAAGCGTTTGAGGTATGTAGAGAGTTTGTTTGTCGGTTGTACCCAATTATCGTAGTAAAGTCGAAACGTTTTGCTCCAACTGCCCGTTTTGTGACTATCAAAGCCGGTCGTCGTCATCAATCTTCCCGTCTTCAGTCCCGTCTCGCTTTTTCTCCTGCGCTCTGCAAGGCCAATCCTTCATCTTCGTATCCTGATATCGATGGTCACAAGTTGTTCATGTTCACCCTTCTCAGCCGGGTACGATCCGCTCAGAGCAACGTTAAATAATGTCTTTGCCAATTTTGGTGTTGAAAGGTGGAAGTGAAGGAGCTTGATTCCATTCCGTTGACACCCGACTTCCTCCTCTTTTTGGCTGCTGTGACGGTTTCCTTACAGGCGGAGTTTAGGGGAGGGAGGGGGGGGTGTTCGCGCCCCAAATCCACAGCGGCATCTGCCACTGAGTGAGCCACTGTAGCCACTACCTGTGCAGCCACTCCCCGCACTCCCCGCAACAATGCTCAGCGCCTGCCCGCCTTCTTCTCACGGGAATTCGCGTCTTGGTCACTTACGCTAAGCCATCTTTCTCTCTCAACGCGTAAAGCTTCCAGGAGCGCGACCAGAAGTCCAACAACCCAACCCAGGAGTGGCGCCTTTGGTTGACTTCCACTTCAAAGTTTGAAGAAAGAAATCTCCTGTACAAGTCAAAGTCGATTTGAGCTGATTTACGCCAAGATGGAGAAAGCGTTCCGCCCTCACTTCTTCAACCACGGGAAGCCAGATGTAAGTCATCCAGCTGCATCCCACATCCAAACAAAAGTCGAGGCCAGCTTGAATCCTGCTGACTTACATGTCTTTGATAAACTAGGCCAACCCAAAAGAGAAAAAGAATTGCCACTGGTGCCAGATCCGATCCTTCGCAACCCATGCGCAGCTGCCCATCTCCATCGTCAACCGCGAAGACGACGCCTTTCTCAACCCCAACTTCCGTTTTATCGACCACTCCATCATAGGCAAAAACGTTCCTGTGGCCGACCAGTCTTTCCGAGTAGGCTGCTCCTGCGCTAGCGATGAAGAGTGCATGTACTCGACATGCCAGTGTCTCGACGAGATGGCGCCAGATAGCGACGAGGAAGCTGATCCCTACACCCGGAAGAAGCGATTTGCCTACTACTCTCAAGGAGCGAAAAAGGGACTATTGCGTGATAGGGTCTTGCAATCCCAGGAGCCCATCTACGAGTGCCACCAAGGTTGCGCCTGTTCCAAGGACTGCCCAAACCGGGTGGTAGAGCGTGGCCGGACCGTGCCCTTACAGATCTTTAGAACCAAAGACAGGGGCTGGGGCGTCAAATGTCCCGTCAATATCAAGAGGGGGCAATTCGTGGACCGGTACTTGGGCGAAATCATTACCAGCGAGGAGGCCGACCGGCGACGAGCTGAATCGACCATTGCTAGACGAAAGGATGTCTACTTGTTTGCCCTCGACAAGTTTTCCGATCCGGACTCACTAGACCCCTTGCTGGCCGGACAGCCGCTAGAGGTTGACGGCGAGTATATGAGTGGCCCTACCAGGTTCATCAACCACAGCTGCGACCCAAATATGGCCATCTTTGCGCGGGTGGGCGATCACGCTGACAAGCATATTCACGACCTTGCCCTGTTCGCCATCAAGGATATCCCCAAGGGGACCGAGTTGACATTCGACTATGTCAACGGATTGACAGGGCTCGAAAGCGACGCGCATGACCCATCAAAGATCTCGGAGATGACCAAATGTCTCTGCGGAACTGCCAAGTGCAGAGGCTATCTGTGGTAAAGGGGGAAGATGTTAACTCACAAAAACCCTGTGGTGTCCCCAAAGATCACTTGACGATGCGTTCCCCGCAAACCCATATTTTATCCGGTGGCCTGACTTGCCGTTCGTATGCCCTAGACTACCACTTGCAGAGCTAATGCAACCGTTGCAGTGAGGCGACTGCAACACCAAGCATCCTTCGCTCTAAAGAACTTGTGTAAGTCGGCGTGATCAAGTCTGTACTTCAACAGCACCCTGTAGACATCGTGCGGGACACGGCAATACTGGTCTTTTTACTGCGCCCTACACTAATCGTTGGGCTGAGCCATAATTGTAATGAATGGATGATGCTCAACTCGGGTGCGCTGCTAGGACGGCTCAGCCTTCATGTCGATGCAGGAAAAGACGGATTGAGTTAAGGGGGTCTGCGCCATCTACACTAGATCGGTAGTCAGATCAGGGAATTGGAGGCGGATGAAGGGGAGGGAGCTCGGGCTCTTAGGTAACGAACGACAGAGCTTCCCCCCTGGCTAGGTTGCCATGATCTTACCGGGCCGACAGTGTAACGGGGCGGGATCGCATCACAATGACAAAGTCCCCCCTCAAACGTCATTCTCTCATGTCATGAACTTGTCTTGAGGCTCTTATCTGTGGTCGTCATGAAGTTTGTTAGTCCTGGTCTAGTACATTTCATGAATCTATCCATCTGCCCATTTCGCCATCGATCCCCGCTCCTTACCCCGACATCGCAAAGGGATGGTAGAAATCTAGAATTTCAATCTTCTCCAATTTCCATTAACGCCTCCCAATATTATCGAAAGCTTGAACTCGTTCAACCAGTCAACGGCCGAGGTACAACCTCAGACATCGCCAACCACCAACCACCATCCCCGGCCACTTCAAGGGTGTGAAACGAAGCCCTCTTCACCGCGACATCGCCCAGAAACGCCTTAGCAAGGACTTATGGTAGCAGCCCCAGACTTGGCCGGACCACGCTAGCAGGCCGCGCATCAGCAACTTTAGTCAGGGACGGGGACCCCTACAGTGCATATGTAAACCCCGCGCAACAGATCTGCCTGCGGGGGTTCACCTTAGCATCAAACACACCACAAGTGCCTGCCTGCCGAGAGCGAGACGTGCAGCATCGGAGGAGCTTTTCAACGGGCGAACAGGGGGAGCTTGCCAGAGTCGAAGCTCATCTTCCAACAGTTCAAAAGGAAAGGAGAGAAAAAGTCGTCAACTTGAAAACTATACGTCGACTTGGGCACCACGTTCAACCTTACCTTTGTTGCCTCATTTTGTTCGCCCTTGAAATATCCAGCGAGGCTCCCGATCTCCAACATAAGGGGCCAAGGGCAGATCCGAAGGTAACTGGCCGAGACCCGACAAGTAAGACATTCGAGAAGGACGGGACGGGACGGTACTGCGCCCATTCAGGGGAAACATCCACTCCCGGCACTGCCAGGTGCATACCGCCTCGTGCTTATTTATCCATTGTTTCAACCGGCGCAAAACTCTCAAACGGCCTACTGCGCGTTGCGAAACGACAACATTCGCTGGCGCCTTCAAGGCCAATCGCCGGCTCGGGCCGTCATGAACTGGCTATCCAGGCGGCTGGTATAACCCGAGCGAGCGGTGGCACTTAGGCAGGAGAGTGAAAACGGTTAAAGGTTGTTGAAGGGTCTGGTCAGTCAGGCAAAGACAAAGAAAGAAAAAAGGGGAGAAAGGTAAACAGAGTTAATTCAGATATCCAATATCCGAAAGAGAGAGAGAGAGGAAGAGCAAGAAGTGAACATTGTTGGATTTAGCGGCGTATCCGGTTCATCCATCCAATCTCAAACGGTAAAAAAAAAAAGAAAATGGTGTGTATCACGACAATCTACCTACCTATCCTACCTATTAATCCAATCCAATCTCCACTGTTATCCCAACATCTTTATTCAAAAGTTTCTAACTCGTACTTCTGTCTCTTCCTTTTTGATTTGTGTAGGGTTGCTGCATATCCAGGTCCTCCGAGGAAGAGGGCGTAATAGCCCCATACCCAGCCGGCAGCCGCACCTCTAGGATTTCAGGTTCTTCTCGAGCAATCAACCGCCGTGAGTTAGATGCTGGAGGCTCGCCAGCTCCCACAACAGCAGGGTCACAACTCCGCGGCATAGGAGGCGGTTCGTCAGTAACCAGTGATGATCGACAACCCCTTACTTCTCACCCTCCTTCAGGGGCAACATCATTCTCTCACCAACCACGACAAGAACAACAACAACAACAACAACAACAGCAACAACCAAGAGAACAACGAGAACAACGACGACGGAGTCATCGTCGCCGTTCTTCTCAGCACCGTGGTGACAGTGGAGATGATCGTGGAGATCGAGACCGAGGCCGCCGCCGCCACTCCCGAAACCTCTCCCATCATATCAACAAACCCCTAAAGCGGCACGAGTGGACAAGTGATGGCACAGTATGGACGCGCGCCGCTTTGGACCGCGAGCGGGTCGAGTTCTTTGATACTAGAGTCACGGGCAGGCAGGAGGTGTGGCTGGCCATTCACGCCGCGCTGGAGATTTTGTGGCATCAGGAGCAGGTGGACGCGGCTGCGGCTGCGCAGCATGGTGATGGGACGCTTGCGGCAGCAAGTGACTACGAAGGCGAAGAAGGCCAAGGTGAAGGACGTGGCAGCGGTGCAGAGGAGGAGGAGGAGGACGACGACAACGGCAGGGAAATAGCCCTTGCAACCGCTCAAACCATCCTCAACGCCGCCGAGATCACGCTTCCCACCGGCAACTTGGCACAGGGAGGAGCGTACGATTTACTAGGAAATCATTACTCGCTTCCGGAACACATTGTTTCAGATCCTACGAATATTTCGACGAGTCGACCACCTTCCTCCATGGAAGCCGATGAAGATGAGGAAGGATACGCGGATACAGATACCAAGGGTGCTGTGTCAGTAGCCAATGAAGAAGTTACCGAGGGCGCCAGCCAGGAGGCTTTGGAAAATGGTGATGAGGTCTGTTCCTCCTCAGAGCGTCATCACAGGGGGAAGAAAGGCAAAACGGTGGTGAATGTTAAGGATCTGATCACTGTCAGGGTGAGGTTGAGTGATGGGAGCAGGGATGTTATTGTGCAAGTCGACAAAGGGGATTCGGTACGGGTTCTTGGGAGGAAGGTTGCTGAGAACGCAAAGGTACTATTTCTTTCTTTTTTTTTTTTCTTTGCTATGCAGCACAACAGCTAACAGACTCTTGTTTTTGTGTTTCTTTGCCACAGCTCTCCTCAGACAAAAAGATCCGCATAGCCTACATGGGCAAGGTCCTCAAAGAAACATCCACCCTCCCTGACCAAGGCTGGAAACAAGGAACCATTGTCAATGCCCTGGTTTTCAATCGGTAGCCACATTGTGAACTAGCGGAGTTTGACAGAATGATTTCCGCCATAACCAATCCACCTCCGTCTCCCCCCTCCAGAAGCAGGAGACAACACCGACATCCCGCGGCGAATACGGCCACGGCTAGTTCCAGTCGACAACAGTCTCCTCCGCAGCAGCAGCAGCAGCAACAAGTCGCTTTTGACCGTTTTCTATCGCTACAGCTGTGGCGAGTCAATACGATGCCTCAGTAAAGAGGGCACAGTAGGGGGCGTATGGGGTTGCTGACTGGCATCTGGCTGGTCCTTCCTCACTCCTCACATTCCAAGACAACCGACCCCAAAACACGGCGCCGGCGCCGAAGAGCGCAACGGCGACAGCACCGCCAATCCATGAGCGCCGAGTCATTCCAACATTTCAACAAGAATACCTACCTACCTATCTATACCTTAATGTCACGACACCCTTCAACCACATAAATAAACCGGCCCCGCTTCAACGAGAACGGCGGCGTTCCAGGCACCACCCCGTCTACATCATATCACATTTGATAATATTCATCATTTGAACCTTCCTTTTAAGAACGAATATGATACCATTTCTCTATTTTGCATCAACAAGACACCTGGGAGGACATCTTCAAAGACTTTTTTCATATGTCATGGTTAATGGCGGAAACAAATCCACGCCATACACCGCATACGATACCTTACTTATACCCCCTTTTTTTTTCTTCACCTACCTACGGACTACTAATGTTTGTTTTTTCATCATAATTCGCAATTGGGCAGGCAGCATATCGCCTATGCAATTACCTTCTACTTTTCACTTTTATTACTGTTTAATCTTTACTTTTGTACCTAAGTTTGTGCTAGGGGGGAGGGTCGTATGGCATAATCATGCCATGGAGAAAAGGATGGATAAGAGACCGCAGGGGAAGGAGGGAATGAGTGATGGAATGAATGGTGGACGAAGTTATGGGTAACTATATATGAATGAGAATAATGCGCATTTTTGGTCGAGCTTGTCTTAGAGGTCCACTGACTGATGGCTGACTATGGCATTAATCACACCAGGCTGGTTTTCCATCAAGAATTGATTCTGCGTCTGTATCTGATTTTTTCATCTAGATAGTCCATCCTGCTTTTGGGTTCATCCTCTGCTTTTGTCTTCCTCATCCATCACACGATATGTCGAAAACCTTTTACATTTTTGCCATTAATCGGAGCAGAAAAAAGAGAGTGACATGAGTCTCATCCGGATCTCTCACAAGCATCAACTAGTGGAAATGTAACAAAGACTATGATAACAACGACTGAAACAACCACAAGGGTGAAAAGAATATCAAGTGATGAATTAATCGCTATACAACCCTCCCAATCACCCCATATATCATCATTTTCATCTCATCTAGCCCGAGAGAAAATCTGTTCAAGCGGCAGAACCAATCTTGTTCAATGCCTTGAGGGAGCCAAGACTGAGGGCCAACCCTTGCGATCTGCTGCGTATCCTCAAGAAACCAGTAATGGGTCCGTCTTCGCCTTCCTTTTCGATGCTCAGGTTTGCTAGAGCGTCCTCGCCTGATAAGAAAAGCAAAGTTAGCGATGCTATTTCCGAAAGTGCTACGCGAATGACGAGAAATCTTACCGAAAACGCTTCTTGCGTAAAGGTTGGCGCTCAAGAACTGGCAATCACCCTTAAGACTGGCCTCTGGTGTCAAGCAGTTCATATTTGTGGACGCCATAAGCAGGTCCAGGAACTCACGTAGGCTCTTCGCCTTGCTGTTGATGTTGACCTTGTTCTCCCACTCAAACTCGGTCCACATGGTGCGGAACTGGGTCTCAGTGCAAGTGGCCGGTTGGATGTAATCCATGATGTCGACGTGCAAGTCGTTCAGGATGACCACGTGGGTATCAGTGGAGTGAGCACCCTCATACACAACGTTGCCAAAGATGACACCAGTATCTGTGGAGGAGACCTTGATGGTGCACTGAACGTTGTGGAAGTCGTGGGGTCCCAGATTCTGGCTTGTCGGCTTCTCCACAACCTTGAGGTCACCGAGAGTCGCGAACTCGACGGTAAGGTTCTGGAGGGTCTCAGTTGTTTGGTTGACAAGTAGTACGTCTAGTACAATGTCGAACTGGTGGACCTTGACATAGGCCTCAGCATAAACAGGGTCGGAGAAACCGGTAAGTTGGACAACGCGGCTAAGCTTGCCAGATAGGTCCTCAGCCGAGCTGTTGTCTCCACCAGTGGCACGCTCGAGATCGGCATCGAAAGCATCAGCCCCATCAGTGGCATTCTTCTTGGATAGCTGGCGGATTTGATAAACATCGTCCACCTGAGTGGCCGTCTTTGCCTTTTGGTGGGCCTCTTTTGCTGCGCGCTTCTTCTCCTCAACCTGGACCATCGCCCTGAACGCCTTCCTGGTATCCTCGAGATAAACGGTCTCCAACTCCTTGTGCGCGGTGAACTCGGCAAGGGAGCGCACACAGCTCATGATACGATCCACCGAATCTTCATCAATAGGGGCCTTGACGAACTGCGACTGACCAACACGAATGACGGAGATCATGATGAGCATAGCCTCAGCGCGGAGGGCGTTCGTGCGAGCCTCTTCCGAGGAGATCTCGGCATGACGCATGACAAGCTTGGTAAGGGTCGAGGCGAGAACAGTGGCAAGGTAGTAATCGCCGTCAAGGATAAGTTGCCTGAGAGGGGGCTTCGACGAAGCCTTGACAGCCTCCAGGCGTGCAGCAGCTGTAGACTGGCTGGTAAGGGCAGTCTCGGTAGCGTATGTGCCATCAGCAAGGACCTTGCGTGAGCCAGTCGGCGCTGCCCTTGAGCCATTGACCTGCTCCTTCTCCTTCTCCTCGGCACCACCATCAACATTATCCAGCAACCGTTGCTCGGATGCCAAGATCGGGATCTCACCCAGGCTTGCCCGAATTCTCTTCCATGCGTCCCTGATATCCTTCTCCTCAAGCGAGTACTCGCCGATAATCCAGAGAATACCGCGGTAGATCTTACCAGCGCGGACTTCACTCAGGGTATCTACCAGTCTCGCAATGATTGCTGGCCTGAGCTGAGGGAACTTCTCGACGACCTCCTTGACAAAGTTAATAACATCAACGGCGGAGTTGTTGTTAAAATCGGCAATAAAGTCCATGAGCAAGCCGACGACGCTAGCGGCGACTTCGGAGAACTTGATAGCGCATTGATGGATGGAGTGGATAAGAAGCTGGCGGTACTCGTTGTTCTTCTCGTACTCCTGGTCAACCGTCTTGGACAGCTCCTTCTTGAGCAAAAGCACGACTTCCTCCACGTTCTTGCTGGAGACCATCTCCAAAGCAATCTCGAGACCCTTCCTCCGCACATCGATATCCGTGCTAGAGAGAACGCGCAACACCTCCATGGTCAGGTTGTCCAGGACGCCGGGGTTCTTTTGGCGGAGTTGATCGACACGGTCCAGAACGATAAGCTTGACATTGTTATCCGCCTCCTTGATCGCAAGCTCAATGAACTTGCTGGCAGCAGCCTTGACAGCGACAGGGTTGTTGGTGAGAGCCGTCAACGACGAGGCCGCTTCGTAGATAACGGTCGAGGCACTAGCTTCCAAAAGGTCAAAAATAAGACGGAGGTAGCGCGCCTTGTTCTGGGTGTTGACAACAGCATCTTTCCTGATGAACTCCAACTCGGCCAACTGCAAAAGCTCATCTGCGTTGGGAATACCGTCAAAGACGGTGCTGAGATAGAGAAGAGCCTTGTCGTGGTCGATGCTGGCAAGGGCGGCGAAGCCATTCCGCTTGCAAGTTGGGTCGCTTTCGCCTTCGAGGAACGTGGAGATCAAGTCCGCAGCATCGGGAATAAGCGACGGGGAGTGCTGGTAAATGGAAGCGACAGCAAAGACGGCGTTCTTTCGGACATAGGCATGGCGATGTTCGAGACAGCCCCGGGCTGAGGAGAGCAAAGGCTCGAGAAGTTCGGCCTCCCGCAGCTTGCACAGGAAGCGCAGCGTGTTGCCTCGAATGTACTCGTTCGGGTGTTGCAAGTCGTTTCGGATGCCGTTACTGCGAGGCAATGGCTGGTCAGCTTGGAGGGGCCAGCATGCCCAGACGGACACGGAATGCCTTACCATACTAGGATGAACTCCTGCTTGAGCTTCCCTTGGGCATCAAGCTTGGGGCAGATCTCATAATAGAAGTATAGAAGCTTCTTCAGGGGCTTGGATTTAGAAGGCATTACGAATCGGATAATGTGCATGAGCAGTTGGGGCATGGGATCGCCATTGAGCATGATGGTAAGAATGCGCTTCATGGTCTCGATCTTGGTCTCGTCGGTGCCCTTTTCGAGCTGCGTCTTGAGCTCCTGCACGGTTGGGGTGCCGTCGACGGCATTGTCCTTGACCAAGCTGTACGCATTTTCGAGGAACGACATGTTGGAGAGCTGGCGGCGGCCGGGCCGTCTTTGAGATTAAAGTTGAGATTGAATTTGGTAGAAAGTAGCTGGCCGGGCGTCCTGAAGAGGAGTCGGGGATCGGAATTAGAGAGGGGCGGGTGTGGTAAGGTGTTGTTTGCCCCGTTGTAGGTTGGTGAGTGCTAGTAAATGGATGGACTGAGTGGCTGCCTCGAGCTCCTGAAGAGTGACGATGAGCTGGCCTTGGTGCTGGATGTGGTTTCCTCCCCCTGGACTGACAGGGTCGTGGTTGGCCGAAAATCAAGAGACGGCTGCGCAATGAAAGGGTTGTCTGGAGTGCGCCGGCGAGGTGAGAGAGCGGAGCATCACCTGTGCTTGTTGTTGAAGTCTGGAAGAGCCAGCGTGGATAGGACGGTCAATTCTATCGAGAGACGGCCCCTGGGAGATGTGGCATTCTGGCCGGCCGCAACAGCACACGGCGAAGCACGGACCCCCGACACCCTTACGGCCTCACCAAGCCTCCATCTCCTGGCCGAGTCTGCCATCTGCCAGCCTGGCAAAACAGTCGAATGATCACGTGTCGATGCTGCTCACCAGCTGCCAGACAGGCTCGTGAACCCGGAGTCAGCTTGGAGCCCAAACAATGCCCCTGGGCCAAGCTGGGGTCAAGTGTGGGGCCGTGTGCCCCGCCAATGTCACTGGAGCGTGGCCGCGCGGGCGCGACTTTCAAGGTTGTCCGTCCAAAAGCGACAGGAACCAAGCCGCGGGCTGCTTCTTTGCTTCTTGTCTTGCAAAGCCTAGAGGTACTACTGACAGAAGCAACAAACAGCCATGTCAGCCGCCAACGAACCCTTCTATCTGCGCTACTAGTTTGTACACCCCTACGGGATTTGATTCACATATTGAAAACACCATGCTAACAGCCGACTTAGCTCTGGCCACTCGGGCCGCTTCGGCCACGAGTTCCTAGGTGTGTTCAGCCATTGGCGCCTCGAGACGCAAGCCCCCGCGTTTCCACGACCACGATGCTAAACTACCACTATCTGACTACAGAGTTCGACTTCCGCGTCCTCGGAGACGGACGTAGCGCCACTGCCCGATATGCCAACAACTCCAACTACCGTAACGACAGTCTGATCAGGAAAGAGAGTAGGGAACACTGTTTAGTCGGCCGTGGATATCCATATACTGACGAGGATCTGTTCTAGTGTGCGTCAGCTCTCTGGTCATTGACGAGATCAAGCGCATCATCAAGGACAGCGAGATTATGAAGTACGACATCCTGTTCACCCTTTAATACAAACGACTTGGAGCGGCCGCTGACAGGCCAACAGGGAAGACGACGAGAAATGGCCAACCAAAAACAAAGACGGAAAGCAAGAGTTGGAGATCCGCCTCGGGAACGACCACATTTCATTCGAGGTGCGTCATGCCAGTGTCGGAATCGATCTCTGCAAAATGTTCAGAGCTAATACGGGAGATAGACTGCCAAGATTGGATCGATCAACGATGTTACGGACTCGGCCGACCCAGAAGGCTTGCGCGTCTTCTACTACCTCGTTCAGGACCTCAAGGCGCTGGTGTTCAGTCTCATTGCCTTGCACTTCAAGATCAAGCCCATCTAATCTTCCGACACGAACGAATACCCCGAGTTTGATATCCTTGGTCATCGAAAGGAGAGATTCTGTGGCATAATGCGGCGTTTTCTAAAGGCGTTCTTTTCTATCTATTAGCGGCGCAGATGGGTTTCTTCAAACTGGATTTAACATGGAAAATTTCGGGACTGGCACAATCGTATACATTATCGACCAACCGCCCCACTGGCCCCCGAACCTAAGAGTCGTCATGGTTGCCTGTGTCAGCTATTGACGACGACCAACCAAGCTGTGTGAGGCAAGATATCCGATGCAGTTGCCAGGCGGAGACCGAGTGATGGAACACCGACATCTCATTACGAAGCACACCAAAGGCATGCCGTTGTACGATTCGTACAACAAACTCGATTCGTACCTCTATGTGAAGAGAGACCTGCCATGGCTAGTCTTGAATCACGATTGATCAAGTGACAAAAGGTTGGGCTACCAACTTTGAAGCAGTAACAAGGCCCGCACATGTCAAAGTAAGAAGTTAATCGATCCAACTCTCCGACTTTTGGCTCTTATTGGCGGTAGGCCGGTTATGCTGTGTAACTTTTCGCTTGACGAGTAACGCGGGGTAGACTTTCATTCCGAGACACATCCAACGCGAAATGGCTTCAATTTATGGTAAATCCAAGTAGTACAAAATGCTTCGTGAAACTCGATCCATCCTGGAGCCCTTCGTCGTCGACGGCCCTGGCATGTGCGACGGATCGGGAAGGGTCTCTCGAGATGGAAGTTACCTGTGTGGGGCTACTGACGTGAAGGATCTCCACCGCGATAAGCTCCATCGAACCCCTGAAGCTTCCGTCGACACCGCCAAACTGCATGCCGAAGGACACCTCTTTGGCTCGGCAGCGCTTCTCCCAATCCCGCACTGCAAAGTGGAAGTCAACATCAACCCGCTTGGCAGCACGGCGTGTGGCAGCTGCATCGCATGCTGTACCTGTGTGTTGTTTTGGCGCCGAGAGGTACAATGGATCGCAAGCGAGCGACCCAAGAGGCGGGAGGCCGATACCGCCAGCCAGTTTTCATCTTTGTCTAGTGCCCATCAACCGCCCACCCACCCTCATCAATTAAGGTTGTAAGTGGAAAGTGGGAGCGGACCTGGGGCCATTGTAGAGGTAGTGCCCACCAACAAGGCGGGTAGGAGTCCGTGGAGTTTTGCTAGACAGAGACTTGACTTGTTGACGGCAGAACGCCATCACTCGACCCAGAAAATCGTCATTCCCTTGCCCTCATCTTTCCTCTCCCGCGAATATTATAACCTAGCTGCATCTCATTGCTACCACACCTACCAAACTACATAGCTGTCCAGCAATATCTCTTCCCGCTTGTCACCTGCCACCTGGTTTCGCATCTCAGCACGTATTTTTTCTTGGACATTGCTACTTAGACATTTTCCTCCTTTGGGAGTTCGAAACCCCGAGGTTCTTGGGTTTTCGGTTTTCTGGTGGTGATCGAGCCAATGAATTCTCAACAGCAGCGAACGCAAGTCAACTGCCGCCAATTTGCCAGCGCTTCTGTCGCCTCCTGCTTCTGGTTGACTGCTTCATCTTGCCTGTAAGACGTGTTCGTTCTTGCGATCTGAGTGGCGGACCGCTACACGTTGCATACCTACTACCTAACACACACTCACTGAATGGCACCCCGGACCAGACTCCAGTCGTCTTGTAATCCACTTCAGCTGCACTGGACCCTGGGGTTCCTCCACTCAGACATCTCTCCCGCCATCAAGGTTGTTTGATGGTAATAGTGACGGTCAGGTCGCACTACAGTCACCCCGTCGCGATATTGGTTGGGCCCGGGAACATCTATCTTGTCGCTTGGTTCAAGCCTGGCATCTAACTACACCTACAAGCTCCCACATCGACATCCAGACGCTTCGGCTTTGCAACTTTCGCAGAGATCACATCTCCCGCTCAGATCTTTGGTCTGACTCCTTCCTTGTCGTCCCCACCTGCCGCTGTCATCGACATTCCATCCCACTGCATCGTCGCAAAAGCCCTACTCCACCCGCAACACCGAGACGCAGGACAGACACGCCTGCCGACGCATCGCATCCGTCCTGCCATCAGCACAGCAGTCTACGTCGCAGTAGATCTTGGACGCCAGATCAGAGTCATATCGAACCGATTCACAAAAGCCCAACATGCCTAGGGTTGCGCCTTTCAACGACGCAATCGATCCCCCATCTCCACGCCTTTACCCATTTTCATCATGTCCCGATACCGATGACTCCCAAATGCGTTCGCAGTCACACCATCAGTATTTCTCACCACCCATGATACCCATGATAACATCACCAAGCACGGCCGATGTTATCGAAAGAACGGGACCGGCCGTATTGTCCCCGGAGAGTCAATCGGAGGTGAACCTTGATGTGGATATGGATCATGGATCCGAACGCATGCGGGACGACCGCCGGGACGCAGATGAGGCCCACAAGCAGCGGACCGAGATTGACGACGAAACTTCCGTGGCTGTTAGTGACCCCGCACATTCTGTCCATGTCGAACAACGTAACCGCACTATTACGGCGAACAGAGTGCCGACTAGCACGTCGGACATAAGGCCATTAAGGACATATGGGGTGAGCGGTGGACATAGGAATCGGAAACAAGGCGACGAGCTTCTTGCGCCGAACAATACAAGTCTTGGTCAAGTAGAAGAAGTCGACTTGACTGGCAATGACACACCTTGGATGCACGACTATGGACTCGCAGGGCTCAGCTACGAGTACTGCCAGACAAGATTGACACCGTCCACGCCGTCATCCTATCTTCGCCCAGGCAGTAAATTTTCGGGGATGCAAAAGTCGGAGAGATCACGTTATGACGTGGAGGTGGAAATCAAGCAGGTTGATCTCCGCGAGTCCTTCTTGTGCGGCTATCTGCGGATTCAAGGTACGTAGCGGGAGGTACCTCTTCTTGTGTTACAATCAAAAAGGCAAAGGTAAGGGGACGGAATTTGCTAACCGGGAGTCGCTTGTCTAGGTCTTACTGATACCCACCCGACATTGACGACATATTTTGAAGGTGAAATCATTGGCCCACATTATAGCTTCCTCACTCAACACCCACAATGGGGAGCAAATGACAGGATTGATATCTCGCATTGGAGCAAGTTTCTCGCGTTCAAACCTTACGCCAAGGTCGCCAAAAGGGGCGGCGTTCACATTAGGGATGTGGCACAGAAAGATAACATCTTCATGCGATGGAAGGAGCAGTTTCTGGTCCCGAACCACCGTGTTAGAACCATCAACGGGGCTAGTTTCGAGGGCTTTTACTACATCTGCTTCAACCAGATCCACGGGACAATTCAAGGAATCTACTTCCACAGCAAGAGCGAAAAGTAAGCCGTTACCACTGTTTGGTCAAAAGCATATGAGAGGACTGCTGCTAACGTTGTGCGTTTAATCGCAGGTTCCAACAATTAGAGCTGCATCATGTCGAAGATAAAGGGTGCTTTGGCGCTATGGAGTTCAGATGAGACGACGCAGGGACGTCACATTGGAAGGGCGGCAATATTCCGCGGCCTTCACAGGGCTGAGATTCGACCCAAGTCCTCGGGAATATGGTCTCAGGGACATGATCCCAAGACATAATTAAGCCCAGACAAAATGTGGTTTTGGGCGGGTAGGGTCGAATAAATCCTCAAAAGAAGCGACCCAACAGTGAATGAGGGCCACTCACCCGCGACCCAGGTGGACGCTTGTCTTTTTTTTGGGTTCTCATCTGCATCAGTCGGCTTTTTTGTCTTCATACCGTCGCATGATGTCATTTGCTTCTCATGTTGCTGTTATTGCTTATCTGGTTTGGGATCGGGGTCTGATACCAGTTGTTACTAATTTGACATGTTGTGCGTTTTTCTCAGGGGCGTGAGCGCAGTCTATTTTGACGGACAACAGAGACACTCGAAGGAGGACATCTACATACCACACACGCACGCATTGTTACGAGGAGTCAGCGAAGGGTCAAGGAAGTAACAGGGCCTGGGGTTTTAGTCTCATAAGCCATGATGAGGTTCTTTATCATTCATCAGGTGGAGGCATGGCGTATAAAGCGTAGAGTCAGCATGAACGGGAACCGAAGGTGGACGAATGCCAGTCAAAGCAGGATCCGCCATATCTCAGGCTGTCCGGTGCAGAGACTCATTTCTTGTACATGTCTAAATCTTCATGGGGGTATCTGAATGGAACACAACTGGAAGAGCGTACACATATGTGTTTCACATGCGTAGCCGTGCAACAAGCTGGCAAGGCAGAGTGTTGATATGTGAAATCAGTTTTTGAACCCCTTGAAGTAGGCGTTACGGAAGGGGTTCAGGTCGTCCGCCGTCTTGCCTTCTTCGACGGCCCGTTCTGCCTTGGCCTGCTCATATGCCTTGATGGCTGCAGCCTCAACTTGGGCATCGGGAATACGGCAGTATGTTATTAATCGTCGGGACCCTAGAATAAGATCACAATCAGTACATCTGCTAACATATCAAGATGAATATTAGCCAACTCACATTTGTTGAAGTCCTGCACACAAACAGCCACAACCTCCATATAAGGATGCTGCGGTACCGGAATCTCCTGATCCTGGTCATTCGCTGTCGGCATCCAGAACGACAGTCGGCCCCCATCCACCAGCGTCTGCGCCGAGAACTGCAGGATATCATCCAACATCAACAAAAAGCTGTATGGCTTCCTAGGCGGGATGAAATCCGGATCCTTGTACATCTCCATGCCCTTGGGGATCACCCACGGACACTTCTCCGGGTCCTTGACCCCCAACACCTTCAGCCCTTCGCGCACCCCGTAGGGCGGGTCGCACACTACCGCGTCGAATATCCTGCCGCTTACCCCGTCACTTTTTGGTTGTCCAGCGGGGGAGGAGGAAGAGGAGGAGGAGGAGGAGGAGGAGGAGGAGGAGGAGGCAGAAGTGGAAGTGCCAAGGGCAGATTTGCGTATAGGCGTGTTGGTCAAATCAGCAGTGAACATTCCGCCCAAGTTTTGGGTAAGGCCGTATTGCTCAAAGTTCCCCCTCAGGGTCCTCTTCTTCTCGTCACCTCGGATGCTGCGCCCGTCTATATCGGACCCAAACGTCAAAGCGCCGAATTGCGCGCAGGCAATCGGGAAGGAACCGGTGCCGACGAAGGGGTCGTAGATCAGTTTTCCCGGTGCCGCCAGGGCAATGTTGGCCGTGACCAGGGCTAGTTCGGCGTCCATGGAGGTCGTGGAGATGTATCTCCTCTTTTTGAGGTCCAACTTTTTGGGCAGCGTCTCCCGGGAAGAAGTACCCAGGTACCGACCAAAGTAGTAGTACTTTGGATCGGGGATGCCGAGAGGTGTAGAGTTCCATGGCCAGTCTTCAAACAGGATGAATTCATCGTCGGGGTTGCGCATCTTGATCGGGCCGGCGAATCCGAGGTAGGCGAAGGAGTTGATGATGGAGAGTTTTTGGTCGTTGGTGCGAGAGCCTTGGTAGGAGTCGATGGTGAACTTGAAGGAGCAGGACAAGTATTGGGACCATAAGGGCTCGGTGTGAGAGCGGACGGAGCTGTGGACTTCCGGGAGGGTGGCGCCGTGGCCCCAGAGCTCGTGGATGGAGATTACGAGGATGGAGCGAGCGATGAGGCGCCTGGCGGCACTGGAGGAGGGGAGGGAGACTATACAGAAGGGGGACTGTGTGTGGGTTGTTAGTTGAATGGTTCAAGTAGATGGGGCTGTGAGTTTATGGTGGGTTGAGAAGCAGAAATGTGTCAACTGCTTCTGGCCTGGCATGGACGTGTTCCGATTTAGGGAGTGAAGTTTGGAGACCTACCTCTAGACTGTATGAGATGACTTTGAGATCGATGCCTTCTACTATTGCTAGGGCCTCAATCTCGGGGAGACGAAAAGTCTCGTGAGACTGAGAGAAGCGGATGAGATATTCCATTTCGGGCATGATGGAGAGGATGGTTAGAGAGTTGTGGTAGGGTTCTCTGCTGTTCAATTATGACCCATAGTCTGCTGGAAAATGTGATGACAAAAATAGTGAACCTCTTTATGTCGTGTTATAGAAAATTGGTCTCGGCCAATAATCTGTTGTCACGGTGAGATTTTGTGAACAGTTGAAGTTGAAGTTACTCAAAAACACATAGGAGGGAGTGCTGTTTGATCTTTAGCGTGGTGTGGATCCATTGATAAGATCCCTGACTTGCAGATCTGGTAGGGCTGTGAGTGGTGCCCTGTCAGCTTGAAGTGGGGCCTGGGTATTTTGGTTTCACGGCAGGGGTCGGTACAGTCCATACCCCAGCTTTTGAATTTCCACTACAGTCGAGCAGCTTAGCCCCATACAGCATATGAACCTTAATCGCACCTTTGGCCGGCTTCAAACACGACAACAGAAAAATCGACGATCCATCCATACGGCACCGTAAAAGACTACATCAGAATCACCATGCTCTCGTTTCCGACGCCCTCAGTCTACCAGTCGTCGAAATGCTTCGTCACCTACGGGGTTATGGGCCATCTTGACCCTAATCAGCCACCAACCAAAAGCAAGCCATGGTCAACAGTTGCAAGCCAGGACTTCATCAACAGGGTATGTCACTCTCCTTTATGTTGGACAACATTCACTAATAACTATCCCCAGGTCGAACTCATCATACCTCAAGAAGCCTTTGAAGTTGTGCGGAAAATTTTGAATGAAAAAGCAGCACCTGAGTTTAAGCGGGTGGTCATGTCCTTGCACGACATCTTATCTGGTGACTTCTTTACTGAATACATCAAGAAGGGTAGGATAAGACCAATTTTCAAACCAAGCCAGTAGCGAAAGCTAACAAAGTATGCGCTAGGGAATGTTATGATGCTGTCGGAAGGGAGGAAAGGGATCGACAACGTTTTTACATTGAGAAATGGTACGCTACATTCGAATAGCAAACGAGTAAAGACTGCATTGAACGCTCTGCTAACATAATGATGCAGGTATCTTGACAATGTTATTGGACAAGGAAGCATATGAAAGAGCAGGTCTTGTTGGCAAGCCTGACGGAGTGAAAGGAAAGCGTGGTCTGAAGCCCCGGTGGGGTAAGTCTCTTCTTCCTAGCTGGAGTATACTAGTCCTTGATGGCTACTAACGAGGCCATAATTGCAGTCGTTGAAGTCGACCTTACGAGTTCGTCGATGGTCCCAGGCAAGAAAGGATTCGACAGACTGATCTATGCGAGCAAGAACGCTTTCAATACACCAGTCACTTGGCTATTCTGCAACCTTTCTTCCACCAGTAAGCACCTTGTCCAGTGACCTACGGCACACGCACCCACTAACGTCACTTCAGTCCCCAATCCAGATCCCCTCGCGTCACATTCGCCGACCAAGTGTGCAGCAGAGCCCAGTGTCCTGGAAAACCTCGACGCCATGCTGCCGACCCTGAAGCCTCCGGTTGACACAATCGGACCAGAGGGGAGAGAGGAACTCGAATACTTCTCTACCGAGCTCTATGAGTGGCTATCACTGGTTCGACTGCAGAGCCCCCGAATTCAGGTGGGCGACCAGGTTGATCCGTATCTTTGCCGATATCAGGTGCCTGGTGATGGCCAGCAAGGCAAAATCTGCAAGCTTACTTGGCAGGGCTTTCTTGCTCCGTCCTGGTGTCGGGAGATTCTCCTCAATCTCGTCGCTGAGCTCCCGTCAAAAACATGGTTCTCGTTCAGCACGACGACCTTCTCCAAGGGCATGGCTGGGGATAACTCTGAGATTTCTCTCTTTCGGCCCCAAGGAGCGCCGGGGGAATATGTAATGTGGGAGATCAAGAGCCATGAGTGAAAAGTAATTCGTATTTTTTTTGGCGAGATGTCTCATTCCTGTCTAGGTCCTAGGATGGCATCTTCCACCAACTGGCGCAATGCCGCCTGTCCCTCGGCAGTCTCAAAGTCCTCTCTCGAGGCAAGCTCTTCAATCCGCCTGCGGAACTCGGGATCCGGCTCCCCAGCATTCTCCGCCTCGTTCATTGTACCGATCTGTACTTGTAGACCCTCGGGAGCCGGGGGAAGGTCCGCTGGCGTGACTCCGTTTGTCGTGCCCTGGGCGGTGTTGGGGATGTTGGCCTCGCCTTCCAGGCCCCTGAGGTATTCTGCGACTTCGGGATAATCCTCTTCGGCCTCGATCTTCTCTCTCGCGGTCTGACCCTCGTCGTTCACGATGGTGGTGTTCAGCTTGAGCTCCTCGGCCAGGACCTTGGCAGCGGCGACGGTTTCGACGACAAAGAGCGCTGTCTCGCCATCTTCGTCCTTGAGGTCCACTGGGACTTTGAATTCGCCTACAAGAGTGCGCAAGAGGTCCAGGTGGTTGTAGCTGGCAGCGGCGTGAACGAGGGAGTAGCCGTGCTCGTCCTGACCCGAAGCCAGGGAGGGGTTCTCGCGAAGGAGCGCGACACACGCCTCCGGGTTATCGGCGGCGAGGAGGTATGGGTTGTTCGACATCTTGGGTGGGTGGATTCGGTCTTCGAGTCGGATTTGGATGTTCACGGGTATTAAAATAATGCGTAAAGGTATGTTTTGGCTACTACATGCACTAGGTACGCAGACTCGCAATCGAAGTCACAAGTATGTAGAGGACGGACCTGGGCGAGAGCTGTGGACAAAATTTTAGTGGAGACATGTCGAGCTAGGAATGCGGGGCACTCCAATCGATGGAATCCTACAGATCAATGTTCCCTCGAACCCCTGTCCTGGCGCCTCTTGTTCCCTTCGGCGTGTGATGCACCGCAGGCGCAGTTCTGGACCCCTGGAACTCCTCAGCTAACCCGAACCCTGCGCATACTCGCTTGCAAAACGCTGTAGGGTTGCCTCTACTGCCGTGAAAAATAGTGTACACTACAACCTGACGGACTTGTTGGCACAACCGGAAGGGACAGTTCATCCACCAGGTTCAGGAAAGTGGGAAAGTGAATTATCGGCAATGGTCTATACTGAGTGTGGTTGAGTTGGAGATCAATTTAAACAAGTTGGTGACAACGTCGATCAGCAAGCAATACGCCAATACTTAGTTGTACGCCAGTTGTACGAACAATAAGGAACTGAGCAGATCTCGAAAGAGTCTCGGCGAACCAAATCAGTCCAACCGACATCAAATACAGTACGTCAACAGGTTGGAGTTGCTACGGGCAGTAAACATGGATGAATATGGGACCATAGCCTTGATCGCCTGCGGCCCATTCCATGTGTTAGTGCAAAATCTACCAGGTCCCATGTCTTGTCTCCCTTTGTTGCAGTATCGCCGCCGTTCAAATGTATGACTGTCTCGGCGAAGTTGCGAACCGCAGACGTTGTAGGCAGCCTGTCAGCCCCAAATAATCATCTTATTTTCGCCATTATATTGGCCAAAAAGGAGTAATTTGGACCCAATTAGCTGATGTGGTTCTCTTGGTGGTAGTAGTGTAGTGACTAACGGATTGCATCACAATCTCTAGGGCTGAGTCGCAAAGCCACCTTCTTTTTTTTTTTTTGTCCCATCAAGCTCCTTCCATCCCAGGTCCTAGATGCGGTTTCCAGGACAGCTGCAACAGCTTCTCCCGCAGAAGGCGATTCACAGATTCGGCCGAGCACTTGACCCACGAAAGGCAGCAGCGACAGCAAAGAAATCCTCCCATTATTAAATCACCTCTATCACCTCACTCAACTGTGATCGCCATTTTGGTGCCTTTTCAAACATCACTCCTACGCTTTGGAACAGCTCTCTCTTTGCCAACCCTTTCCATTGCAAGGTCAAAGCCGGAAGCTTCTCGCTGTTATATCCACCCCAAAACTCAGTTCTTTCCTTACCCCCGCTATAAACTTCCCCAACCACACCCAGCGCTCTCACTGGCGCAAGTCCGCACCTCAACCTCATCACCACACCACAACCCAACCAACATGGACGAACCACTCACGGATCTCCGAGGCCCACTAGCCGCCAAATACACTGCTTCTACCGATTACAGCAAAATTGCAGACAAGCTTGAGGTCCCTCATGTCGCACAGGATGTTCACGAGGTTGCGACCTTAATCAACGGGCTCGAGAATGGCGCCAAGAAAAAGACCAGCTTTAAAGTGAAAAAAACGACTTACGAAGTTACCCAGTCGCGTGATCACATCCGTGTCGACTCGTGGCGCTTCCATGATTGGGACTACAAGAAACATGACCTACCCACATATGCCCGCGGTCTCTTCACCACCAGACACAAGGACGGAACACCTGAGATTACCACCCGTGGCTACGACAAGTTCTTCAACGTCGACGAGGTCACGGAGACCAAGTGGGAAAACATCAGGACCAGGACGCGGGGTCCCTACGAATTGACGCTGAAGGAGAACGGCTGCATCATCTTCGTCAGTGGTCTTGCCGACGACACATTGCTCGTCTGCAGCAAACACTCGACTGGCGACCGTAGTGATGTCGAAACCAGTCATGCCAGCGCTGGCGAGCGCAGGTTGGAGGAGCAGTTGGCACGCATTGGTAAGACAAAGGCCGATCTTGCACGGGAGTTGAGGAGACGGAACGTCACGGCTGTGGCAGAACTCTGCGACGACAGCTTTGAGGAGCACATTCTGGCGTACGGACCCGACAAGGCGGGCCTGTATTTGCATGGCATGAACCTCAACCTTCCCGAATTCATGACTTACCCCTCGCCTGTCGTTCAGAAATTCGCAGAGGACTGGGGCTTCATCAAAACCGGCCTGATCGTCATTGATACTATCGACGAGGTCAAGGCTTTCCTTGAGGAGGTAGCTGAAAGTGGCGCCCACGATGGCCGCGATGTAGAGGGTTTTGTCATTCGCTGCAAGATGTCTTACCAGCCTGGGCAGCAGCCCTTCCAGGATTGGTTCTTCAAGTACAAGTTCGAAGAGCCCTATCTAATGTATCGACAGTGGCGTGAGTGCACCAAGGCCATCATCGCAGGAAAGCCGCCAAAGTTCAAGAAGCACGTCAAAATTACCGAGGAGTATCTTCTCTACGCTCGTCAGCGTCTAGCTGGTGATCGGGAGCTGGCCAAGCGCTACAACCAAAACCACGGGATTATTGCTCTCCGAAACGATTTTCTCGCTTTCAAAAACCTCAAGGGTTCCGACGCTGCCAACTTCGAGGCCTTGCATGGGGGAGGAGCTGCCGCTGACGTTGAGAGCGATATCATCCTGGTCCCGATTGCCACCATCGGCTGCGGAAAGACAACTGTTGGTCTTGCTCTCACTCACTTGTTTGGCTGGGGTCACGTCCAAAACGACAACATCACCGGTAAAGCCCGGCCGCCTCGCTTTACCAAGGCTCTTCTCGACATTCTTGACGAAGGTGTCCCCGCAGTCTATGCCGACCGCAACAATGCGCAAAAGCATGAGCGTAAGCAGCTCATCACCGACGTCAAGATACAGCACGCCCGCGCCCGGCTTGTGGCGCTCCACTTCGTTCACAATAATCTCGAAAAAGTCCGCGAGGTTTGCCGGGATCGTGTCTTTGCACGAGGTGATAATCATCAAACCATCCAGGCCGCCTCAGATATGAACAAGGTTCGTGGCATCATGGAGGGATTCATCAACCGCTTCGAGCCTTGCGACCCAGAACAGAAGCCTGACTCTGAATTCGACGATATCATCGACCTTGATCCTTCGGCAGGAAGCAGACAAAACCTGGAGACTGTCATCAAGGAGCTCCATCGCATGTACCCCAAGTTCATGCCCAACATCCCCTCTGCAGCAGAAATGGACGAAGCCATCCAATATGCCCTCGAAGGCTACAAGCCTGATTTGCGTCACGTCATCCCCGACCGTAGTACCAAGAACAAGAACCAGCCTAAGCAGAACGGTCAGCAGCAACAGCAGAAGCAGAAAAAGAGACCCCTGGAGTACATGTCCGTCGACATGACGACCAAGGATGTGCTTAACACCCTTGAGAAGGCGTTTGCCGCTGCTGGCTCGGAGCAATCCCGCTTTTTCAAGCAGCTCCAGGGCACTCGCCGCGTACAACCCAAATTCCACGTCACTTTGATACACAGGGCTGGTGCCAAGGAGAATCCGCAGCTCTGGGATAGATATCTGCGCATGAACGAGCTTGAAGGACCCAACTTTCCAGACGGGAAGCTCGGAGAGATCGACGTCCAGCTTGAGCGTGTGGTTTATGACGACCGTATCATGGCTATCGTGGTTCGCTTGATCCCCAGACCCGGGGACGAACACGCCAATCCCGATAGCAGTGAGCCTGCAGAGCCAAAGTGGAAGTGCACAAACCGTGTTGCGCATATTACGGTTGGAACGAGAGATGATAGTGTCAAGCCAAGGGAGAGCAATGACTTGCTTGTCAAGTGGTTGGAGCATGGTACGGGAGCGGAGACCGGAATCTACGACCTGTTGATCGATGGTAAGCCCACGTTGCAGGGAGTTGTCAGGGGGGTTCTCTCGAGATAGGAGACCGAAGGGGCTTCATCATTGGCAACCAATGACCATAATTCCCATCGGCGCCGTGGACGTGGACATGGACATGGGCATGGACGTGGTCGAGGCGGTGGTGGCCACGGTCGGGGTAGAGGGTCACATAGGGGCAGGGGGCATTGACGTTACTTGTAGGAATCTGTTAGACGCAGGATGATGTTCACGAAATATGTCTTGGGGAAAATCATAGCTTTACGTACAACGGCGGGAACGAAAAGACGACGGAAGGAGAGCAGATTTGGGGCTTTCGAAACCAAAATATGCAATATAGCCAGGCTTGTAGCCTTCTCATCACCACAATTACATATCCACATCTGTACTTAACCAGACAACAAGACCATAACACTGGCACTTTATGCGCTGAAGCTATTCGTAACCTCCACAAACTTGGCCCACTGCCTCGCCGCTTCTCCGCTCTTGATAGCCCATCTCGCCCTCCTAATACCCTCCTTCCAACGCCCACCTCCTGGTCCACGCTTCTTGATAACCTGCCCGTCATCACCATGTCCCATATCACTCGTGTCCGCCTCGCAGATGCCCGACACCACGAACAGCGCCGCAGTGTTCATCAAAACAAAGTGCAAGATGGGATCATCATCCGGCATCTCATTGTTCAAAATCTTGCTCAAAATAGCCGCATTCTCAATCGGCTCCTTACCCGGCGACACCTCCGACAGCGGATGCGCCGGCAACCCAAAGTCGCTCGGGTGAAGCAAGAAGTGGTTCACCACCGGCTCGCCCTCTGGGTCCTCATCGGTGGGCTTGATCGTCCAGCAATGCGTCGGTCCAGCGCAGCTGATCTCGTCCAGCTCCTCATCGCCGCAAACTACCATGGCCTTGCGCGCCCCGCCCATCTTGAGCGCCTCAGCGAATACGGGACCGAGGTCCTTGCGCGCGCATCCAATCATTCGCGCCTCTACCAGTTTGTCCTTTCCACCTTCACCCGAGAAAACGGCCGGGTCGAGCGCGTCCAGCGGGTTCGCCAGAGGGCCGACCAGGTTGAAGATGGTGCGCCAGGGGAGCTGCGCGCGGATGGGGGCTACGTGGCGCATGCCCTGGTGGAAGACGGGCGCGAAGAGGAAGCCGTAGTTACATTGGGAGTAGAGCGAGCAGACGGTGTCGGGGCGGATTCGAGAAATTTGGGGTGGGCGGGGAGGGACGCAGGCCAAAAGGTCGGCCGAGCCGGACTTGGAGGTTGAGGCTTTGTTGCCGTGCTTGCCGACGAGTAGCAGGGAGGAGGCGAGGATGGAGGAAGTGGTGCTGATGTTGAAGGTGTTGTGGGAGTCGCCGCCTGTGCCTACAATGTCGCACTGGAATCGAGGAGGTGGTCAGTAAGGGAGCTAGTAGGGTGAGGAGGGAAAAGGGGACGGGACAACGAAAGGGACTGGGATGACTGAATGTGTAAGAGGAAAAACGTACGAGGCCGCCGTTGTAGGCTCCTTCTTGTCTGCCGCGCTTCTCAATGACTTGACGTAGTTCGTTGAGGTCGGTCTGGGCAGCGGCCTTCAGCATCACCTGGGCCGTTTTGGATAGCACTTCGGCACTGCGGTCCAGACCGGTGAAGTGCAGGCACATGAGCAGCGCGCCGGCCTGGACATCGGAGATTTGGTTGGTGAAGAAGTAAGAGATGGCATGGGCGATCTCGTCCGGCGTCACAGGGTCGGGGTGTCCGAGGGGCCAGAGACGGGTTAGTAGCTTCTTGATGTTGACATCCGGGAGGTCCTCAGCCGCAGTCGCGGTCGCCGGTGCCGCTTGTTGCTGTTGCGCCGACATGTTTCTGGAGATGTTGATGTGGAGTTTCTGCCGGGATCAGAATTGTTTGCCTGGTCGCAATAGCTGTCAGGCTGGTCAGGGAGGCCAATTGAATGATGCCGGCTTCCTGGGAGCTGTGGAAGGAGTAAAGTCTGGCTGTTGTTGACTCATTTCGTGGATCGGAGAGGCGCGGCGGGAATACCATCCAAGGTTTGGTGGGAATGACGGGCAGCTTTCTACAGTGTGCTTTGTTCTCCCCAATGATGGCATCGAATGCCGCCAGAGTGCCCCGCGACAACGGGCATCAGCGGGGCAGATATGCAGGCATTGAGCACCCCAGCAGCCGCAGATCACAACCGCAAATGAGCCTGAATGGGCTGGCAGAATTAGCGGGCGGTGAGTTGCTTCCAACTCTTGGCATTTGGAGTAAGATGCGGCAGGCAACTTTTTGATTTTACAGCGAGCGGGAGACCGGGTGGTCAGTGCGTTCCGGCATTGGCGACGCGGCGCCAAAATTTCGGGAACTCTGTTCGCCAGCAGCCCGGCCGCGATTACGGGGACTGGGACTTATCAATCCGGGGGACTGACGGAGCGCGAGATTGTTCACTCCTTTCACAAGTAAGTTCCGGCCCCCCGGAGATGGCCCCAGTCTGCGTCCTCTATGGTTAACACAATGTGATTCAAGAATGTCTCTCAGACTAAGTCGCCCGGCCGTCCGCGGCTTGGGTTCTGCCATCAAGTCTTCCAGAATCTCGTCCAGGTCGGCCGCCCTGTTGGTGCCCTCCACCTCCACATCCGCCTTCTCGACTGCCTCACCACAACGCGCCGCCGCCGCCGGTCACCTCAGGCTACCCGACGACTATGTGCCGCCCACCCAACCCCCGAGCGCCCGTCCCGTCGATACGCGCAAGTCGCAACTTCTGCGCACTTACACCTCGATGCTCCGCTCGACCCCCTTGATGCTCATCTTCCAACACAACAACCTGACCGCTATCGAGTGGGCTGCGATAAGGCGAGAGCTTAGCCTTGCCCTGAGCAACGTTCCAGTTCCAGAGGACGCTCCCGATATCACTTCCAAGATCCACCTCCAGGTTGTCCGCACGCGCATCTTCGATGTTGCGCTCAAGACCGTTGAGTTCTTCGACCCTTCTACAGTGGAGCCCACCACGGCTACAACAGCTACGGGCACCAAGGTTCCCGCTACATACAACCACGATCTGTCGAAGCATGCGTGGAAGGCTGTCAAAGAGGCGACCAAGAACACCGAGGCCGTTGAGAAGACCGTTTACGGCCAGCTCGCTCCTCTGCTCGTCGGACCTGTCGCCATCCTCACCCTGCCCTCCGTGTCGCCGGCGCATCTCGGCGCTGCCCTGAGCGTCCTCGCCCCTAGCCCCCCAGCCTTCCCTGCGCCCAGCAGGAAGAAGAACCCCGGTTATTATGACCTTACCTGCCAGTCTGGTCTGCAGAAGCTCCTGCTAGTCGGTGGCCGCATCGAGGGCAAGGCCTTCGACTACGACGGCATCAAGTGGGTTGGCGGCATCGAGAACGGAATCGAGGGTCTGCGCGCCCAGCTCGTGCACATGCTGCAGAGCGCCGGCATGGGTCTTACCAGCGTTTTGGAGGGTGCTGGCAAGAGCCTCTGGCTTACCATGGAGAGCCGCAGGAGTGTCTTGGAGGAGGAGCAGAACCCCAAGAAGGAGGGCGAGGGCGAGGAGGAGAAGAAAGAGTAGATCTGATCAGCGTGAAGTCGAGTGCGAACAACCGGAAATATCGGGGCCCAATTTACTCCACAAACACCAAAGGTCTGGGTGCTTTACATTTCTCAGGCTTGCCGGACCTAGTGATACGATGCTGCTACTTTATAAGAGATCAAGTACAAAAGATCTGGTGTACAATACAATGTAACAAAGACATATGTAAAAGCGCAAATCATCTGGCAGTGTCTCGTTTGTGTTTGATGCTGACTGGTGGGTTGACGATCTCTTCGGACAACGGTGCAGCTTCGGGTTCTTAGCAGAGGACCTTGATGATCAAGTGAGGTCTGTACCGGGCTAGCTAGGCTCGACCCCGCTGATGTTAAAGGCCCGGTGTAAGGGAGGTGGTCCCTGCAGTCGTTTGCTGGTGTACACCCCTGCACTCGCTTCCCTTCTGGTCATTGCTGCCTCCCAATGGTTCACTGACAGAATACCAAGACCATCAAGTGACCGTATGGAACTGGACTCTGCAACGCATAATTGCTAGATTGCCTTTGCATGGGCTGCTGTCTGTTACAAAAACCACTCACGACGGAATTTCAAGAATTGACCGTTGGGAAATCCTATACGACTGTATTCCTGTGCTGACATCACATTGCAGCGAACGAGGGCCGCATCGCGCCTCGACAGCTTGCAGTTGCATCTTCACCATGATCTTGGCCGCTTCTCACTAGAAAGGCGCCGCTGAGCTACCGATTCCTTCCCCTCCCGAAAGCTTCCCGCTCGTCAAACCCCATCAGTCACAAGCTATCTACGTATCTCGATCATCCCCGCTGTCTTCAACTCCACTCAACCTCTCATCAACCCACCCTTCAAGATACGGACTTGAGCATTGTGCCATTCCATCTCTCATCTCTCGTTCGCAGAGTATACATACATCGTCTTTTCCATACATACATCGTCCACGGCAATCTGCGTCAACTTGAACCCAATACCAAAACCAACTGCGGGCAGAGCAACAGCCACTTCCAAAATACAACCACTAACGAGCAACGGCCGGAACGAAGAGACGATAACGAGTTACGGGACCACCACGTAAGGATACGATACATACCTGACACAACGACACGCTCTTGCGAATCGAAACGTGCATTCCAATAATCGCACACGAGATTTCTTGACCTACTACACATCACAACTGTCTCAAGAAAGGCAAAACAAAGAACAACAAAACAATGGACTTCGCACCTTACCAAGCCGCACCCCCGGAGCATGGGCGCACCATCTCACCACCCGACTTCACCTCCTCCCCACGCACATCGTGGGACTACGGTCGCCGTTCTTCCTACTCCCCCGGCAGCGGAAACAAGTACCAACAGCGCCCAGCGCAAGCATCGCCTCCGCCACTTCTACACCCACAACCACATCGTGCTTGGTCGGGTGAGGGCATCAGCAGGTATCAAAGTCCGAGTGCTACTCCTGGCACCGCCAATGGGATCGGCAGTGGCATTGGGTTCAGCAGTAGGAACGGCAGTGGTGGAGGAGGAGGAGTAGGAGGAAGCATGGGCGAATATTTCAATGCGCTGGGCGCTCGAGAGGGGATGGTGTCCGAGTTTGATACGAGCTTGGGACTGAGGCTGGATTATGAGGCGTGTTTGGCGTATTTGGCGGTGCCGCCGCTGGGAGCGATTTTGCTGTTGATTTTGGAGCGGAAGAGTGATTATGTCAGGTGAGTGAAACAAGACCCATCTCTCGGTATGGTCGAGGAGTTAGCGTTGCTGACATGTGGAACTGGGGATTAGGTTCCACGCATGGCAGTCCAGTCTGCTTTTTACGGCATTGTTTGTGCTTCATTTGTTGATTTCTTGGTCGAGTTTCCTCAGCTGGCTGTTATTTCTGGCGGATTTGGCGTTGGTAGGATGGCTGGTTATTAATGCTTATAGGGACGCCGACACGTTAGACAGGTATGTCTTTCGGGATCCAAACAAGTGGACAAAAGCTGATTTGGTTTCCAGATACGAAGTACCGATTTTTGGGCCGATAGCAAGCGGGATCTTGGACGACGAGTAGACGACTGTGGTTATTGGGGCTCAAACGCATCAGGATCAGTCCGGCATCGTGGTTGTCCTGGGAGAGTTGATACTTGACACTTGACGAGAGGCGTGAATACGGCCTTCTCGTACTCTAATGTAATGCGCTGGTATATTTTTAATCCGATGAGGGATGTATCGAAACAATTCCTATGTTATCGAGCTGCTTCCCCGTAAGGGACAAGCTCAAGGGTTTTCGTCAACTCCGTTTAAGACTTCATGAACATCGAAATTGGATGAAGCACAGCAGATGAATGATCGTGCAGTGAAACGAGACTGAATTGAAACCGTGAACCTGGATGGCCGATGCCGCGTGGTTAGTCAGCTGTGGCTGGTTCACTCTGGGGTCAGAGTGGGGTCTAGAGCTGAAGTACATACTGTGGGGCGTTAGGTACCCGGCCTTGTTACGTCGCGCTTTTGCCTGCAGCCCAGCTCCTGGTCAACCACCGACAGCACTCGAAGCTCTGTGCCGCATGTCGACCACGCAACTGCCACCATCCACGCAGCACTGCACTACAAGCACGACCGACGGTCTCCCAACCACAACGCAAACAACGGCGATTTTCATCACGAACCACCACTACTACTTCACGTCGTCCTTTTCAAATTCCGTGGAGGTTACATACAGAGGATCAGTAACCCGATCTCTGCGCCCTTGCGACTTTCCTTACCGATACCCCACATTCGCAACCGCCTGCGTCAGCCATGTCGACCCTTGAGGAACTCGACGACCTCGATCGCCGTGAGCGCGAGGACAAGAAGAAGGATCAGGACAAGGATAAAAATAACAAGAAGGAGGGAGATGGCGATGCCGAGATGAAGGATGCCGAGCCCGAGGCCGATGACATCCTAGATGAGGAGATTCTGAGTTTGAGCACAGAGGACATCCTGATGCGGAAGCGCCTCCTCGAGAACGATGCCAGAATCATGAAGAGCGAATACCAGCGGTTATCACATGAGAGGGCTACCATGAAGGACAAGATCAAGGAGAACCAAGAAAAGATTGCCAACAACCGGTAAACATCCCCTACACTCCCCTAAGGCTTGCCTTCAGTAGCCGCCAAACCTCCCCTACTAACGCTGGCCTCATCAGACAACTTCCGTATCTCGTAGGAAATGTCGTTGAACTTTTGGACCTTGACCCGACCGCCGAGTCCTCCGAAGAGGGCGCCAACATCGACTTGGATGCCACGCGCGTGGGTAAATCGGCAGTCATCAAGACATCGACCAGACAGACCATCTTCCTCCCTCTCATCGGCTTGGTCGACCCCGAGAAGTTGAAGCCCGGCGATCTCATCGGTGTCAACAAGGATTCGTACCTTATTCTGGATACGTTGCCCGCCGAGTACGACAGCAGAGTCAAGGCCATGGAGGTCGACGAGAAACCTCAGGAGAAGTACACAGATGTCGGTGGTCTCGACAAGCAGATTGACGAACTTGTCGAGGCTATTGTGTGGCCTATGAAGGAAGCCGAACGGTTTAAGAAGATTGGTATCAAGGCGCCCAAGGGTATGTCTTTACCAAGATGGAGCAGAAATTCGCTGCTGTGGTATTGCTGCTAACTTCTGAAATAGGAGCCTTGATGTACGGACCTCCCGGAACAGGCAAGACTCTACTCGCCAGAGCTTGCGCCGCTCAGACAGATGCCACATTCCTCAAGCTTGCTGGCCCCCAGCTAGTGCAGATGTTTATAGGAGACGGTGCCAAGCTCGTAAGGGACTGCTTCGCCCTAGCAAAAGAGAAGGCCCCGTCAATTATCTTCATCGACGAGTTGGATGCCGTCGGTACCAAGCGTTTCGACAGCGAGAAGTCCGGCGATCGTGAAGTCCAGCGAACCATGTTGGAGCTCCTCAACCAGCTCGACGGTTTCGCTTCTGACGACCGTATCAAGGTTCTCGCCGCGACGAACCGTATCGACGTCCTCGACCCCGCTTTGCTTCGTTCCGGTCGTCTCGACCGCAAGATCGAGTTCCCTCTTCCGAACGAGGAGGCACGCGCACAGATTCTCAAGATTCATTCCAGGAAGATGAAGGTCAACCCTGGCGTTAACTGGGGCGAGTTGGCGCGCAGCACGGATGAGTTTGGCGGTGCCATGCTGAAGGCCGTGTGTGTCGAGGCTGGCATGATTGCCCTCCGTATGGGCAAAAACCAGATTGGACACGAACACTACGTTGACGCTATTTCTGAGGTGCAGGCCAAGAAGAAGGAAGTGAGTATTTTCCCTAAGAGAACCAATGCTTGTGTGCTGCTTACTGACCACGCGTTCAGACCGTCAACTTCTACGCTTAATGTTATTGCATTTCCTACCGTACTGAAAGCGACGACCGAACTACGGCAAACAACAAGGTCATGGACGGTTCATAGAAATTTGGCATGCAATAGAGCTAGCGTTGGGTGGGGCATGTCTTGTATCATAATGAAGCGTTTTACTCTGATGACTTGCCATGCCATGCAAATACTCGATAACCCAGAGGCTTGATGACTCTGATGAACAATGTTTGCTGGCCTTCTTGTTAACTTACTGTTATGTTGCCTACCCGGTACTCTCATTCTAGACGGTGAAACGGTTTCCAGTCCGCCGGTTTCGCTGCCCTGATATTGTCTTGGTAAAACTAAAATGTTAAGTATAGCATCAAACAGATTTCACGGGTTTCCGTATATGGTCCGTTGACAATGTGACCACCTGTTGTTTGATTTTGACCATACTTCAATATCATCTTGCATTTCGTCCTTGAGTTGCTACACCAGTGGTTTGCTGCTTCTATGACACTTCATTTATTTGTTTTCGAACGATTCTTCCATAATGTGGATTTGCTTACCTTTTTTTCGTGGCTCAAGATGTGAACTGTACAAAGTACAACAGATTGCAACTCGCTCCTAATAATCCAAAGCTTAGTCCTCAGAACTAACCCGATAAAGACCTGCAGCTTGAATGAAGATCCAGGTGTAGGTCGTTTGCCAGAAAGATCTCTCATGGTTTAAACATTGACTTTGAATTCTCACCACATTTTTTTCAGAATTCCGCATGATCCTGGCATCCACGTTAGAGCACCATCCCTCATAGTTGGTATCCGACAAACCCGAAGTACTCCGTTGGAACAACACGACCACTCTGCCTCTTCACTACCGCCAATACGTAGCATGTCAAAACTTGAAACGACCAAAACGAAATATCACTATAGGACGCCAGTGGATCCTGTAAAAACGACCCTCGAGATGCTCTAGTAACCTTGACATTCTTGGATCAGGCAGATGATTTGGGCTTTGACCAGATCATGGATGGATCACAACCTGTTTTTCTTTTTTCTTTTTTTTTCTTTCATTTTTGTTTTCTTCTTCTTTTTGTGGCACAGGTTATGATGTTGCGTGAGAAGAAACCATCGATGGATTATCTCCGTAAAACCTCATAGCGCTCTATAGGATCTAGAGAGAAACAGTATTCACGAATTTTTTGTCAGTTGTGAAGGATCGTGGTTCAGCGATGCTCGAGTGAACATCTGCCTCGCTGAGAAGTTCAGTGCAAGATGTGCCCTGGCATGCATCAATATCAGTCCATCCCGTTATTCCTGCCGAGTACAAACATCTTTTGAGACACTTGACAGTTCCCTGCACAGGTGACTGCAGAGCATAACGTGGCATCTCAATATCGGATGACCTCTCAAACGACCCTGAATTCTGCAAGCGTTGAGAGGTGACCCGAGATGAGTGGTGACTGAAACGGTGGTCGCAAATCCTCACAGCATCACACTCGGCTACCCGTCAGGTCCCCCCCTCCCCAACGAGTATCAGACTTCATTTCCGCAGATCACACTAATACAGAGTCATCGTGGGGTAGTAGACAAGATCAACAGAAGAAACAACAGCTTCCAAATACAAATTTCTGCCATCCATCTACCATCCAAATATTTGGCTCACGACAGCTTCTTCTGGATCTCTTTCTACTGATCGAGGGTTAGGAGAACAAGAGAGCTTAGCATGTTAGCGTGTCTTGGCGCCAATGGTCTGGGCCCAACACCAAAATGTCACTAGGGACGGCAGCATGACGTCATTGCTTTGGCACAGAAAAAGATGTTTTGGTTTTGGCCTGTGACACGATGATGTGACGGGGCTGGAGGATACAAGAGCAAACGATGATGCCGGCCTTCGTTTGTCGAAGGCAGAGAAGGGATGAGAGATTGACAGCAGACCAATGGCAAGACGGCAACAAGCTTCAACTAACAGCAATTCACGCGGGAGTTCAGGCGGCGACTGCCAATTACGTCATTGTATCGGAGCTTCCCCTCCCCTCTCACTCGTCCACCTTGCCTTCGCAGAGCATCGCATCTGTGTAGGGACCGAGACGATAGCTTGTTCCTGCCAGTTGTAGATCGAAACGGGGCTGTACAAAAAAACTCTGAAGCCGGTGGTGGATAATGAATGCCTGCCACTCTTGTTTTCTGTAGACATGCTCGTGTTCCTACCAAATACGTGACACTGGGCAGCTGCCAAATCGTGGTGCCAGTTGTGGCTTGTTTGTTGTGTTTTGTGAAAAGAACAAGGACGCGACACAATGCCTGGCACCAGTCGGGCAGGAGTGACGTCCATGACCGCCCCTCGTTTTCACTTGGATCTTCAGTCCCTTGGTTTTGACCAACGCAGCAGCTGCCTTCCTTCCTTCCTTTGTCTTCTGGAATCCCAGGGCACATCAACATCAAAACAAGTTCTGCCGATTTAACCTTCTCTTCTGTCGACTTCCTCTTTTGCTTTTTCTGAACTGGAACACGACTCAGCTTTTGATACCCCCAAGCACATACTCTCACCATCTGTGTGCATAATCTTCAAACAACAACCTCACTACCACGCCGTCTTCGTTGCTCACCCCGACAATAGTAACGTACCTTTAAACTCAGTCCGCGATGAGGATCGCAAAGACTTTCCTCTCCCTGGCCCTTGTGGCCGACGCTGTCTACGGCAGCTCGTGGTTTTCCAATGCTGGTGCGTAATCTCGCTTTTCTGATCTTAGCCGACACCCGCTGATTGTGATCTTTTCTTCACAGCCTACAACAAATGGCACGAGACTGAGCTCGAGAGATGGCTTTCCGACCACGATGTCCCCTATCCTACACCTGCGGACCGCAAGGAGCTTGAGAAGCTCGTCCAGTCCAACTGGGATGACCAGGTGGTCGCTCCTTACAAGGAGTGGGATGCTGCCAAGCTCACCGACTACCTGAAGCAGAAGGGAATCGAGACCAAGGACTCCGCCGGTGCCACCAAGGACTCTCTCATCGACCAGGTCAAGGGTGTCTGGTATGAGTCTGAGGACAAGGCTCACAACTCCTGGCTCAACGTGAAGGACTGGATTTTGGACTCGTGGACTGACAGCCAGCTCAAGGCCTTCTGCGACCGCCATGGCATCCCAGGTAAGTTTCATTATCTCGCATTTGATGCAAATCCGCTTTGAGGTACTGACAACATCACAGTCCCCCAGCCCCGTAAGCGTGATACCCTTCTTGAGAAGGCCCGTTCCAGCTACGAGACCATCGCTCAAAAGGCCGGCGAGACTGCTGCCTACCCTGGTAACTGGCTGTATGAGACCTGGTCTGAATCTGACTTGAAGGAGTGGCTTGATACCCATGGCATCCCTGCTCCTCAGCCCACTACCGTAAGTTGATATGCGTGAGTGCAGATCTTGACCAAGCATTAACCATCATTGTAGAGAGACAAGCTTATCGCTACTGTTCGCCGCAACTCCCGCCTTGCCTATCTCCGCATGAAGGAGCAACAGGCCAGTGCCACCTCCAGCGCCCAAGCTGCTTATGCGACCCTGACCGACAAGCTCATCGATGCCTGGAGCGAGTCCCAGCTCAAGGACTTCTGTGACAAGAACGGAATTCCCGTACCCCAGGGCACCAAGCTCAACCAGCTTCGTGCCCTTGTCCGCAAGCACCGCGCCGATCTCCTTGGTGATACCCTTTCTGCTTCTGCTTCTTCGGCTTTCGGTGCTGCTACCTCTAACATCGGCTCCAACTATGCCAAGGCCACTGATGCCGCTTCCCAGGCTGCTGCGGATGCTTTCGACAAGGCTATCAACACGTGGTCTGAGACTCGCCTCAAGGCCTATCTCGACGCTCGCGGTGTCCCCGTTCCCCAGGCTTCCAAGATTGATGAGCTCCGCGCCCTGGCCCGTAAGCATGCCCACAAGGCTGCTTCTGGTTACACTGCTTGGACCTTCGATGACTGGACCTACGACAACTTGAAGGACTATATTCTTGCCCACGGTGATGCCGCCGGCAAGAAGGTCGCCAATCAGGCCGGTGTTACCCGTGACCAGCTGCTCGCCGCTGCTCAATCTGGATATGCCTCTGCTTCCGCTGCTGGTGGCGATTCTTACGCCTCAGTTACTAGCTACCTCGCTAAGGCTACCGACTCTGCCAAGGCCCAGACCTTTGACACCTGGAGTGAAAGCGATCTCAAGGCTTACCTTGATAGCTATGGCGTAGTAAGTTGATATTACCCTTTCAATACGCAAATCAGTTATTAACACAATCTACCAGCCTGTCCCCCAAGGTTCTACTCTCAACGAGCTCCGTGCTCTGGCCCGCCGTCAGTGGACTTACTTCAAGTACGGAACCTCGACACCGACCGAGACCGTCTTTGCTAAGATCGGAGAGAGCGCGAAGGCCGGTTGGGATTGGATCAAGGGTCAGCTTCATATTGGTGCTGATGCTGCCCAGAAGCAGGCCATGAAGGCCGGCGACAAGGTCAAGGAAGGTGCTGATTCCTACCAGAAGGGCGCCGAGAAGGTTGGCGACAAGATCAAGGAGGAGCTCTAAGTTCACCTGATCTCGTGATACCCCATGTCTCCTATCAAAGAAATATTCGATACCTTCACCATACGGCGAAGGTACGCTCATGACTTGTGTGATGAAGTGACGAGGACTTTCACAACCTAATTTCAGAGGATGGAAATTTTGGGAATTATTTACCCCATTCGGAGGACGAAAATGACACAGACGGGGGAGTCATGGGCTGGTTGTAATGCAGTTTAGCATTTATCATGGAAGGTTGAGTGATTAGGAAGGTACAAAGGATTATTTCCAAGGCAGTCCTGGAGTTTGTCGTTATTTTGATATCAGTAACCCATGAAAATTTTATGCATCGGTTGTATCTTTGAAGATACCTTCATTGTGTCGATCTCGTGAAGCTCGTGGATTATGATATTGCCATGCAGACACTTACTCCTGCTTAAAATCAGTGTTTTTTCTTTTCTTTCTCAACAAAGTCGCTTGCGCTTTCGTAATGCCCCACAGTGTTGGCTGTTGAAGTCAGCTCAGACATACGCAGCGAAAGTGTAGAATGATACACACATCGGGTTCTGAGATGTAGTATAATTCAGGACAAGTGGATTGGAAGACCTGTTCTCAGCTTGAATTTGGTGAACCCCAGCAAAGCCATCCGATTATCTCTTGTACACGCCAACATAAAAACAGCTCCCCCTCATCCTGGACAAATTAGTTGAGATCTTTGACATTATACCGTGGGTATATACAACACTCCTACTACGCATCCAAGCGTCTTTCTAACACCTCTGATCTTGAGTTCTAGGCCATTCCTGAATAGAAATATCCAAATGGGACTCTAGCCGATGTCTTTTCGAATTGTTGTAATCCCCATCACACTTTTGCAACGGCCCCCTTTTTGTCCTTTTTTTTTTTTCTTGACGAGTGGTGGCAGCGGGCTGGTTTCCCTAAGCTGTTGGTTGGTCTCATCTACTTTGTCCTAAGACATGCCCCCTTACTCCTCGCCTAAGGGCAGAAAAAGGTATCAAAATTAAAAATAAAATGAAAATAAGAAAAAAAGAAATTTGAAAAGAAGAACTTCTGTACCTCCCCTTACCCTCTCTCTCTCTCTCTCTCTGTGCCCATCCCCGCTATTCCCCCTGACGGATAACCACCGTCTCCGGACTAGCAATATGCGTGGAACTTTCTCAAAGACGCCGGATACACTACTGGGCTGACTGGACCTGGACACACACACATGTTCTCTGCATAAGTTTCCGTTGCCGTTTACGTTTTCCTTTTGCATGCCGGAGATCTGAAGTCACTTAGCTAAGTCCGATCCATGGCAATTTCCTTTTTTGTGAGTCGGTGTTTTTATTTACGATCTTGAGAGGTTCAGTGGAAGCAATTCTCTTAATTGGGAACACGACAATTCACAGCAATGTTTCTAGCGAAGCATTTGTGGAATCAAAAACTGCGTGGTATTATTTTATTTTGATAGTGAAGCATAAACGTCTTGACGGCGGAAATTTTTCTATTTCTATTTATTTGCATAGTGATTTGGTGGTTTTTGTCATCCGTCTTCGTCATCAGCACTTCTGGGGATGGGTTGGTGGCGTAGTCGGTGGTGAAATGACCGTCAAGTGACTGTGCTGTGATATGCGTGGATAGAAGGGGTTGACGACATCCAAATGGTCTAATGAGGTGATGTATTTTGCGGCCAGGCGTAGAAACTACCTTCGCTTCTCGCTTCTTGCGACTCATGAGCGAAGCTTGAGGTTGGTCGTCCTCGTTTCTGCTTTCATCGTTCCACTCATCGCCTGCTATAATCATTGTAGATATGATGGTGGCTATGATGACCATGTTGTTGTTGTTGTTGCTGATGTTGATGCTGATGCTGATGCTGATGCTGATGCTGATGCTGCTGCTGCTGTATATGGGAATGAGTGCTCTGGACCGCCGTCGTGTACTGATGATGGGCATACGATGGATACGACGGGTATGCTGACTGAGGCTGCTGGTGGTGGTGATATTCCTGAGAGGTGCTAGCACTAGTAGTGGTAGCAAATCTCCCGCGGGCCAGCCAGTCCCCGATGAGATCGTCCGTCGTGGGTGCTTGATGGTGAACTCCCACTCCCGTTAATTGCTATTGCTCATGGTATTCGGTTGTTTGGTATTGTGTTGGAGGTGGGGGAGGGGCGTCTTTTTGTGGCACCGGAAAGTTTGTGTTAGTTTCCAATTGTTTATGTTGGTCAGGGGATCTCAGTGAGTACTGAATGAGGTCTTACATGATGAAAAGTCCGGCTCTGGTGACGGTGAGGGAGTGATGTAAACCAGATCTTCAATATCCTCTGCTTCTTCATACCCGAATGTGTTAACTTGTTGACAGCAACCGTAGTGATGATTGTTGTGGGGCATACCCTTGGCGTTGTAGGCGAGCTCTTCATCCTTTATCATTCCCTTCTTGGATGCCCGCTTCTCGAACCGGTTGATGTCTTTTGGATCCACGGGTCGCCCTCGGAGAATGAAGCGTGTTTGTTTTGGTGGGTTTTCATTTTCTCGTCGCCTCTTGGTCTTGATCATGGCCATGTATTCGGACGCCTTGGTGTACTTGGTGTCCAGGTTCCACTTTTTGATCTGCGTCTTATACTGCTTCTCGCTAACGATTATTGTTAGCTTTTCTTTTCTTTTCGTTTTTCTTTTGGAGATACACTTTTACAATCGTAAGCACAGACTTACGTTGCCTTGAAATTGTGTCTCGTATGCATCTCGTTCATGACATCCTTTAGCTTCATCGTCGTATACAGATGAGCTATCAGATCCCGGTATGGCTCCCAGTCCTCAGGTCTGGTTGGCCTAAAGACTGTACCAACAGCCATCACAGGGGATGGTGACAAGGATGATGACGATGTCCTGTCGTAGTTTGTCGTGGGTGAGTGAAACTCGGTGGTAGGGCTGAGGCCAGAGTAATGAAGTTGGAGGTAGAGTTGTTGCGCCATCATCAATTTGAATGGAGGACCCCGTCCGGGGATTTTATCGAGGCCGTCGGTGGCGATTGTCGTTATGTGAGTCTGGCAGATGATCGTTTGCTGTGCTTGGTGACCCTAGTTTCTTGTCGAGCAAGAGTGGATATGTCCCGGAGGATTTGTCGCGGCAGTTCGTGCGTGTATAGTAAAGATCTTACTCTTTGAGCTTGGTCCCATTCATGTGGTGTTGAATGGATGTTTTTGGTAGAAGTTCACAGCAGAAGAAACATGGACGATGGTGAGAAGCACTGGCAGGTCCCAAAGCTTATATCATTATAGACTTGATGGTCCAACATGGATGCTACTAGGTAAGACCGGAACGCACAAGGGCCCCGGCTATCACGATTGGCAAATTCTGTGAAATTTTTCTGCAACGCTGCTGATGAATAGTGTATTGATACTTCGGGCGGTCTCCCAGTTTGGGATAACAGCATGCCAATGATACGACAAGTCGGCTGTGAGAGGACATGGTCACAGGTCGAGAAAGGGGGGGGTATGTAGGCGAATGAAAGGGGGTGGCAAGCCGAAGTCGCTCCAGATGGGATAAGGCTGGAGCAATCCTTGGAAAGAAAGCCGGCGGAGTGTGCGATGTGGTGATGCAGATTGCAAAGAAATCAAAACATGATGCGGGGCGATGGGACGGCAGTTGGGCAGCTGGAAAATCAGACCCGGGGGTCGCTGAAATTGTTAACATGTTTGGTTTACAGGTATGCAAGCGCAGGTACAAGGGGTCACTGCCCCTGACCAACCACAGCATCCGCATCACAGGCTCCCCAGGAGCCCAGCTCTTTGCAATGTCCGGGTCTTTCCAGTGCGATGGGCCTGACAAGTTCTTCGGACACTGCCGAGGGGCAACACCCTACGACCCACATCCTTCCAATATGCCGTTTTTATGTGGAATTCGGTGACATTCTGGTGGCCAAATCGATGAAGGTGGTTTTCTCCCCACAAAAACCATCATCAAGCTTCCAGATGCTGTTGAGTCCGTTGGGCCAGAACCTGCGTCCACTTGACACCCACAACCGCTGATCTGATTTGACATTGTTACCATTCAGACGGCGGAGCTCGTTCCGAGCTGGTCGGCGAGCACAACAGCAGCGCATCATGGCCTGTCTTGTTTGCCATCGTGGTGTACACTAAACGACGTCGAGGATCATGGCTGACACTCAGCGGAGTCCTGCTTATCTCCAAGTTCATCACAACCAGGCATATCATGCATGAGTTAACGCGGCCCTGTCGTGTTGGCCTTGTGCTTCTCGAAGTCAACTGTCATCTTGACATTAGCCTGGGGTTGGGTTAACATTGTGCTTCTGGGCATTGATATTGACCACTCTCCCAGGTCTCCTGTCAGGTTATTCGAGGAGCGGTGATCCCACCATGGTGTTGTCGGTGGTTTTAAGCTTAAACGTCGTTTCCATGTTGTAAGACGACGACATCATATTCCGTTTTGAGATCCCCCGAGGTTAAGTACAACAGTTACACTACTATGGTACACTACAAACGTGGGTGGCTTCATATGATCGACGGCACGTCACAAAGGCGCCCACCATGGGCCATGCCGCCACGCCTTACTCACCCTTGGACTGTCCTCGGGTTCTACCGGCCAAAAGAAAATATTTGGAAGTCATGAAGAGCAGAACGACCCGCCATCAACACCTCTGCCGAGAGAAGAAGAAAAAACGGTTAGCGTGATACTTCCATCTCACAGAAAACTAGGATTTTATGCTGGTATGAGTGCTAATCTTCTGTAGGTGTCTGTCTTTTGCCACTGATCTACACTATCGGCGAACTCACAACAATTAACCTTTTCTTTCCCCGGCAGAGGTCAAGATCTATGGCTGCAAGGATCTTGTGCAAGACATCTCCGATTCAGGCCAGAACACATGAGCCAAGCAGAGCTCCGGTCTGGACCTGCGTAAGGGGGTACGACTTTGACAGCACGCAAGCGGCTCTTTAGACATAAGAGTTGCCCAAACCCTCCGTGTTCACAGAATGTGGCTATGATACTCAGTCAGACAACTGTCTTATAGGAGTCCTCAAGCTGTTCGCACCTGAAGATACGCGTGCCTGTCAGATGGATAGAGTACCCGTATCTCATGCATCCCTTCAAGACTGTATCTCCAGCCAGCCCCAGCCCTTCGTTTCTATATCACGTCTCGCGCTTATTAGCCGACGACCCCATCCACTTCGTGGCGCCTCTCACAACATCAATGTCCGGAAGGATTTCTATGGTTACCTCAACATGCAGTGTCTAGAATCCCCCAATGTTCCAGCATGGAAATGCTTAGGACAGCCATCGACACCGACATACAAGCGAATGGATTCACTTAAAAACATTTACCAAATATGGCATTTGACACAACGCCAGTAGGCTTCCACTATCACAGCAGTTAACTGGAGTAATCCGAGTCAAATCTGCTCCTGATGGTCAGTCTCCAAGGTGCTGATAACGAAGCCCGTTGTATCACGTACGATACATGAAAGGGTCTATCCGTTTCAACTGCCGGACACCGACTTCAACTCGTACCAACGGGTGTCACTGAGGTTGATAAGGCCGCCCTCGTACTCAACTAATGCTGACTTGCGGTAAGCAACCCATTTGGGAAGCTCAAACGTGGAGAGAATTGCACAATGGGACCAATCATACCTTGGGTGTCACAGAACTAAACGCTCCGGGTCGGGGGCTTAGGATGCACAAGTGCCACGCTGGTTTCGCTTCTGACATATATATCTAGATCACACCCGCTCATCACTGCCGCCGAAGCGATCTCTTCCAAGCTTTGCTGCCGAATCTCGATGCCGGAATCTGAGTGCTGCCATGGTGTATCCTCGAGATCAACTTCTGCAGACAGCCATCTCGAAAAAAGCGACAACAAAGATATCCGGGAGCGATTGCCGTTCACCAACATAACATGAGAAGTATGACTGACTACCTTACTATATAATCTCACTCGTATGATTAAGAATCTACAGACCCCCCTTTGGTACCAAGAACTCGACGACGCCGTCATCACGGCACCACCACCACCACCACCAGAAGAAGAAGCAAGCAAGCGAATCCATCCCGCTCCCACTTACCGAATTTTCGCACCTGGTCACCCCCGCATAGCCGGACGGGAGTAACATCAGCAAAGCGAAAAGCGCTGCAGTCAAGTAGTAGCCGCACCACGGGGAAACAACGCCGCAATGCTGCAGTGCTGCGTTGCTGTGTGGCTGAAAAACACTAGGCATTTTCGATCACGCTCGAGCACACCTAACAACCTCACATCAAGTATTGAGACCAACACCGGCTGTTCAATATTCACCAAAGAGATTTGTTCGCTACAAAGTATGCGAACTAATTATTTCAAATTCCCATTTTTACGACCAGCTCGCCAGGCTAGCGAGTTTTGCCTACCTCCAGGCTGTCATGATTACTGCCATATCTAATGCATGGTAGCAGTAGGATTCAAGCCCCAAGCCACTTGATGTGCGGGATGCGGATGTCTTGAAGGATTCACCAGGGGCATGGAAATCTTGAATTCCGCCCAGCGATCGAAGATCCAGGCGAAACGTCATTGTGCTTGTCAGACAATTGGATGCATGATTGGCTCCTCCGCTTCCTTCCGCTTCTTTAGGTAAGTTCTTTTTGAATATCAGCCGCACCTGCTTTGGACACTCGACCCATTTGACATGATTGCCTATCCGAACCTACCGCTGGAGGAAGGATCGATATCTGTTTAATCACAGAAGCAGTTGCATTATTCATTTTGCCGACAATTCTAATGACCTCAATTTGGGAAACAGGAGTGACGTTTGGGTGTATGTGATTATTCTATTGTTGAAGCATCAGATGCCCTTTTCCATTCCGCCACGAATCTCCCGGTGCAAGGTCTCTACCCTTTCAGGTACCCATGGACTCCGATTTTCCGTAAACCTCGAGCAGCCAGCACTAGCTATTATTATCATTATCTTCAAATCAAAGAGTCCTTCTCTCCATCGACTGCGTTTCAAGGGCCGCAAGGGTCTTGGCCTAAAAACCAAGGAAAGGGATGTTAGAATATGTCTTCTCATTGAATCTTATCTTGCTCAGCACACCAAAAGCTGCGTGAAGACTTACCATAACGGCACATGACCCCTCTCTCCTTGAACTCCCAGTCCAAGGCCATCCTACAGGCCAGTGCCTGGCCCTTGACGGTCCCGAACCGGAACTCCATAATTCTGCTGTGTGTGCGAGTGGTGGGAACAGCAGCATTTTCCTGAGGTTCTGCCTCAGGCTCAGCAGTGACTGGGTGAGCACGCTCACGCCAGTTAGTCGATGCGAGAGCTCGACCCTGGCGTCTCGCCGGGGCCTGAGCAGGTGGCTCGGCGTGAACGGAAGCAGCTGAGGGAGCGGGAGGTTGTCCTCCGCTCACAGGTACGTCGCAGAAGCCTTCCCAAAGGACTGAGATATCCTCCATATCGAATCGGCACTTGGTCCGAAAATACGATAGGAGAAATTTCTCATTCACAATGTCGGAAGGGCCCTCAACTTGTATGACCCTGGTAACGTGATCTCGCTCAGTAAAGGGTGCGGCCTTTACCTGGTTCCAGACTACATTCACAGGCATTCGACCCAGGATGCGGCCTGGGTTGGCGACCGCACCGCCCCAGCGGACAGTCGGATTGTCTCTTGTCTTGAAACGGTTGTAGAACCGCTCTATATGAGGACTGGTGTTAGTGATTGATTGAGGAAGGTGATGTGGAATGTAGGATGCTCACCCGCAGCGGCTCGAGTAAAGAAAACAACGGCAGCAGCAGCCTTCGAGTGACTGTCACTCCTCGGTGAGATGTGCAGCGAGTACACTTTGCCGATGTCGCGGATGTCGTCGAAGATATCCCGCACTGTGACGTTGAGTGGAAGCCCTGTAATGTACAGGGAACAATTTTGGTCGTCCGGGATGTCCGCGGACTTGTTTCTCTCATTGTTATAATCCCCCATATAGTTTTCCGAAAAGCCACGGGCTTTCCGCGCTTCCTTCTCCTCCTCAGTTAGAGGAGCACGGTCAACAAGGATCGCGTCCATGGGCCGAAATTCCCTCCGGGCTCGGGCGCCCTCATTGGACGGAGAGCCAGCCTGGGAGCGGCTGTTCTGGTTACTCATGTCGATAGGTGGTATATAACGTTGATGTGGCTTCGATATGGCTTTCTGTCGAGCAAGTCTGTCAATTAGCCTTAATTCATGAACAAGAGCCTCGCTCGAACAAGAGTACTATCGCACAAGCCCCATAGGGAAGAGAATTGATAACTTACTATGTTCCCAAGTGAACCTGGTATTCTCTCTGCTCAGTGTGAATTTCGAAAGCAAGAAGATCGTAACACGTCCTGAGACGTGATATCGAAGACGACGAGCGTCCTGAGCTGGAATCGAAAGGTGCAAGAATGTTCCTCTGGATGCTGCTGAATGCAGAGGAGATCAATTTTCTTCGTTTATTCCGGATGTCGCTCTGTTGTCAAGGCTCACAAGATCCGTCGTTAGGAGTTTCAAGTTGACAACTTGCAGGCAACTTGATGTCCCAAGGCTGGTCATGTTAAAGCAGCAAAAAAAGAGGAAGAGAATTGCTGACCCTGGGGGATTTTTTATACTCGAATTCCATGGTTCCCACATTTCAAAATCGACAGGTGAATGCGAGAACCAAATGGGCGTATCGTGAATGGTATAGGCATGGGATGAAAGCTCTTGGTGCCCATTCTGGATAGTGAATTGTAGTTTTCTGAAATTCTTGGTGGAGTTCCAGTCGCTCAGAAGGCCAAAGAATTTCTTGGACATCGAAAACGGATGGGACGAGAGCTTTTGATGCTCATTCATGGCAGTGAATTGTTCTTTTTTGGAATTCTTGGTGGAGTTCCTGCCCTTCAGAAGGGCAAAGAACATTCTTGGACGTGGTGAAGGCCACTTGGTGGCGTTCACACGAACGAAAATGTTGGAAAGAGCAGTGGGAAAGTTGTGATGAAAGATGAAATCTTCTCAAAAGGACGCGTGAAGGGCTATTTTTCATTGAAGCTGTCCAGTAGGTCAAGATGACAAAACCTGAAATGTTCGTTTGGTATCTTCTTCTCGTCGTGAGTGAAATCCGTAGCGCGTACGAAGATCCCCGGACCTTAACAGCTCTTCTGCCCCTGCCTCAGCCCAGCCCGCCGGCGTTTTGCTCTCCGTATACCTTGTTGGAGGGTATTGCGAATCCCATCTCTCCTACCATGGATGTGGATGTCGAGTCCAATCTGCGCTTGCTCTCGACTCGACATTCAAGGCTCGAAGGGGGCTAGCAAGTGAAAAGGGCATAACCATTCTTCCATTTTGTTAAGTTGATGTTCAGTACCATCTAAAGGCAATACAACTTCTGTAGGACATGAAGCTGGCACGGTTTATCCTTGCTAGGTAGTCCTGCTACCAATGTAGATTTTAAGCGGCTGCTCGGCTGTCTGGTGGCTCTTGGTCGCTCTTGCTGGGAAGCCTTGGTCTGCACAAATCTCAGTCGAAGTTGCTTAGAAATGGAGGTAGTCTGGCCACCTGTTTAACGTAACCTCAGTGGTCATTTTGCTCTGGTTCTCGCTATTACGTTCATTATATGGAAGGAACGACTACCGAGAAAAGTTGAACACAATAAGAGATCCATGCGCTAACAAACTTGCACCTAAGAAGCCGTCAACCAGGGCTGTTATATCGAGACACAAACCGAACTGTGTCATCGAAAGGGTTTCTGAAGACAACCCTATAGCCTCCAGTTTTCCAACCTTGTGTTGAGGTCCTCTTCCCCCGGCTTTCACCGTGGTCATTCAACAAGAGTAGCCGCTTTTGTCGCTTGCCGATGTGAATGATGTGTTGGTTCCGGTGTTAAGCCAGTCGGGTTACTAATAAATACCGGGTTGCTATAAACACCAGGCTGATCATGAAGAGTGCGTCCATCATAGAAAGTGGGCTCGTCTTAATCGGAGCAGCTGTCTACATCAGATTACTGGGGATTCAATGAAGTCCAGACTGTGTGTGACTTGGTAAGACAGCCTAGTATATGATCAGACTCGTCCCTAATCCACTGGTTATCTTCATTGATGATGCATTCTGTAATACAACGACAATTATTGTTGACAACCTCCCTAGAGGTCTGGGATGGTGTCGCCTTTCCAACACAAGCGAGGGACTTGGTACTGTTTGTCTTGAAATTAACGTTGCGGGCCATGTATTTTTCGTCGCATTGTCGGCTCACGCGGAACAGCCTTGACGAACGATTCAAGTGAGTAACTTGATGCAGAATTCGCCGTTTGCTGTGAAGATGCAGAGTTATAATGGAATGTCTGCAAAAGAAGACCAAGTATTAGCAAGAACAACTGTATGCAAACTCAGTACGCAACTAACTACTAGAGTACCGTCTTGATCGTCAAAAAGGAGGAAGGACGGCAATATTGTTAGGTAAGGGTTCCGAACTTCTCAGTAGCTAGAGGATATGTTCTTAAGAGATTTCCATCGTTCTTCTCATGAGAGCCGACAACACTCAAAATCCTCCTAGAAAAGCGCGGGGAAGAAATAATAAACAAATGTACCGTTACTAATGTCATATTTTGTCGTTGTGTTATGCGTAAGGTCCTTCCTATTGCTGGTCAAGCTCTACTCAATAAATATGGCTGGATGTTAAAGGAATCTGCAGACACAAAGGACGGTTACGCTTCTTTATACTTTTTGCGGAAGACTCTTCCTTCTTACTCATCTGCTCCTTAGATCGAAGTTTGCTTGTTCTATGACAACAGTTCTGCCCCTTAGTTTGTGAGTGACTCTCCAGTTCGACCTGACTAGGGTTGACTCTAGATTTCATTTGTGGGTGTCATCCACTGACTCCATTCCAGTCACAACGGGCTTCAGAACAGCAAATTGAAGGATCTTTGCTGACAGTTAAGGTAAAATACAAGGTAAAGGAATGAAAAGAATGAACTCATTGAGTCAAAAAGTACGCAGAGAAGTCGAGAGAGGAAGAGCATGACACTTTACCGAAATGACTTCCTTCACGGTAGTAATTGCTTCCTGGATCCGCTTCATGGAGCATCGATCGAAAGTGACAAAGGCAGAGGTGAAGATCACATAACACTCCTCGAAGAAAGATTAATTAGTGCTCGGCCATCAGATACGTATACAACGGGTGGGAGCATGCCGTAGGTTTGATGAAATCAGGACCAACGATGTTTATGTCATCTTGCCAATTGGAATGATGAAGTACCAACCACGATAAAATACTCATGTCGGCTGAAAAACTTGTCCAATATCAACCTTGCGACTTTATGCCATAGAACTAGATGGAGAAGGACAGTTAAACTTACACGTCGACGAAGGTAACCCCCAGTGAGCTTATCGGCCGAAAAAAAAAAAAAAAAAAAGATGGATACCCCACGTTTCGTTGTGTTGTCGTCTCTGAAGGATGTTTCTCGTACACGGTTTCCCAGGCAGTTGACTTTCACATGCCCAACACTGAGCCATACTTGAAACACCCCCCTTTGATCGACAGTGTCCAACGTACCTGAATCACAAAAAATTTCCGGCATATTTGTTTGGACAAAACAGCAATTCACCGCGTGATGAGTCCATCAAGGTTGTCGTCACGGCTTGGCATGCCCTGCCAAGGATTTCCGTGGGAAAGAGAGAGTCATCCTCTAGAAAGTTATACAGTGACTCCCTCATATCAACTTTGGTTCTTCCCCAAATCATGATGACTGCTGGGAGAAAACAAAGAAGATAACAGGCAGGCTCCACGTTTCCCCGAGCAAACTTGGGCGTCGTGGCACGCGACAGCTCGTCACGCAAGCCACGCTAGAAATGTCGGCAATTGAAGCGGTCCCGATGCGGCAACGCCGTAGCCCATCATTGAGTGTTCGCTCAACATTCCCCCGCTTGCCGGTCTCCGGCACCACATCACCGGTGGCGGGAAGCTTTCCCGCATCCTTCCCATGAAAGCTTTTACCCCAACCGGTCAAGACTTTCCGGAAGCGAACCAATGACTATGCGGCAAGTTGATGTGGTTAACCTTATTAAGTAGGACCGATTAGATAAGAAATGGTCCTTCTTACTGTATATTCGTTTCCACTGTCCGTCGAAAGTCCGGGGGATTATTTTATGCTTATTTCCATGACTTCCCATGTTCTACCCGCTAATCGCTTTGAGGGTGTCTGTTCCATTGTCAATATTAACAAATATAACAGCAAAAATGGCAAGGTCGATCGAAACCGCCCCGGAGAGAAACGGAGTTTGGGGAGAGGAGAAAAGGGAGGCGGTACCTTGCAGCAAGCCGACTTCGGATGAGTCCATCACGAGCGATGACGCTGGGACTGTCGATGAGATCGTACAAGACCAGCCACCAGCTCTTCCCTTTTCGAAGGCACGATGCATTGCCCTCGTGGCAACGGTTGCGGGAGCTAGTTTTCTGAACGTAAGTAGTCGAGTTGCCCTGGAGATTTCTTGTGTTGTTTTTGGTAATGACCATCTTCGCAGACTGTATCTGGCCAAGCAGTGGTCATTGTCCTGCCAACAATCGGACGGCACTTGGACATACCAGATTCTCGGCTGCAGTGGGTGGTATCTGCGTATAATCTTGCATTTGGCTGCTTCCTTCTGCTTTGGGGCCGCATTGCCGACATCTACGGCAAACGCAAGATCTTCATCTGGGGTTCTGCTTGGGTAGCCATCACTACCGTCATCAATCCGTTTTTGCCAAACGAGATCGCGTTCGATCTTTTTCGAGGTCTGCAAGGCTTGGTATGTTTGGCATGCGACTTTTCATGAAAACATGAACACAAACTGACATACCTTGCGGGAAAGGGGGCGGCGGCGAATGTGCCAACAGCCATTGGTATTCTAGGAACCACCTTTCCGCCTGGGAAGGCAAAGAACTATGCTTTTAGTTGCTATGGTATGTTCCACCGCCGCGTGTTTGCAGTCGCACAAAAACTAACAGCTTGTCCAACGACGATAGCCGCTGGAGCGCCACTCGGCGCCGTCTTTGGCAATCTGGTCGCTGGGCTCATTGCCGAGTATGCGTCATGGAAATGGGTGTTTGGTGTAATAGCCATCCTCGCGGCCATCATCACCGTGGCAGCCATTTTCGTGATCCCGCCACCCAAGCATACTCTACACCAAGATGGAGCATCTGTTAAGGGATCCGTGGACTGGATTGGAGCGTTCTTGATTACAGCCGGCCTTCTTGTCCTCCTCTTCGCGCTCACCGAAGGCAATGTAGTCGGGTGGAGGACTCCTTGGGTCCCGGTTCTGATTGTTGTTGCTGTTGCTCTGGTCGTTGTTTTTGTGCTCTGGCAGCAACACCTCGAGAAGACAGGCAAGCAGGCGCCGATCATGAAGGTGTCCATGTTCCACAGCAAGCGCTTCAGCGCGGCAATGCTGATCATGGGTCTGTTCTTCAGCAGCTTCAGTGGATGGTTGGTGTTTGCGACCTACTTCTACCAGGATTATCAAGGCCAATCCGTGATCCAGACAACACTTCGGTTCCTGCCAACCGGAGTCATGGGTCTGATTTGTGCCTTTGTCGTTTCGCAGTTGCTTTCCCGCGTGCCGACCTACATGATGCTGGCATTTGGCAACGCTTGTGTGGCCATCACTTGCATTCTCTTCGCCGCACCCATTCCTCCCCATACATCCTACTGGGCATGGTCATTCATAGGTATGATTTTGTCTGTCATCGGCGCGGACACGGCATGGCCGTGTTTGATACTATTCACGAGCCACTCGCTCCCACAAGCCGATCAGGCTCTGGGTGGCGCTCTTGTCAACGCTTGTGGGCAAATTGGTCGCGCGGTAGGGCTTGCTATTGCGACAGCCATTCAAACCGCAGTAATGGCTCAACAACGTGGTGTCAGTGTCGAAGACGCCGGATACATGAAAGAGTGGGAAGACGCATCTCTGGCCGGTATTAGGGCCGCCAACTGGTTCCATATGGCGTTGGGACTCTGCTCGCTCGCTGTCGTGTTAATAGCCTTTCGAGGCTCGGGCATCATTGGGAAAATTCCTGCAGGCAACGTCAAGAGAAACGAACAGTCAGCACAACCTGAAGCTGGACGAAAAGCAGCGGACGAGGAAATGGGGATCAGCGAATCTGATGACGCAAAGAGGATATCCCAATAGAGTCAGGTTGGGTTTATGTTATTTATTTTCTGTAAAAGATTGACAAGGGCCATCATTTGTGTACCTCTAGATTTGAAGATGATCTGTATGTGTCGGTGCATTCTTGTCCGGTTCGGTTGGACGAAGCAGTGTGTCTAACGATGCAGCGGTTTTCGGATCAAAGTTTGACGTCAAGTGCGTTTGTTGTAATTGCCGATGCAAGATGGATTTCCATCTACGTTAATAATCAAGGGAAAGTTAGACAAGGACGGTCGCAACGGGGGTAATGAGAGGGCGGGATGACGGAGTGTCAAGTACAGGTTCCGAGTTCGGTCCGCACCTTCCGGACTTCTGATTGTAGCCTCCATTTGCGGTGGCAGGAAGGAAGTGGAAGCACGGCGACAATGGATTGACGAAATATGGAACTTGATTGTACCTTCCTCAATTGCATGGAAATTTGCAATTGTGGCCTCGGACTTGATTTGGTTACGCTTCCATAATGCCAGCCCGGATTCCCTCGTTTCTTCGGCTCCGTCACTGTCACCAATTGCCGAGTTGGGTTTAATGACAATCCGTCGCATCTGAGGTCATCACCACTCATGAAAATAGCCATCACCACGATGCAAAGATGTTACCGGCATTGATCTCCATTACTACCACTAGATCAGCTACCCTTGTCGGGCGGAAGATGATATTCTTTCCCAGAAGATCTACATCATCATGAACCGCGCCCAATGTACAGATACTGCACCCATCAAGGATAACGATGGAGATGAAGTCCTAAACGAGAATCCTTTGTGGCAGTCTCCCAGTCTTTTGTGACTTCTCCCCGTCACGCTGCCACAGCCGCCGGGAGTTTCGTACTCCGGAAGGCAGTTTTTAAACATTTTTGATTAGGTCTACGTCCGATGTCTTGTTTATCATAGCGTCAATGACACCATCAAGAGTGAGGTAGTCTGACTAACCCCATGCTTCTTCTTATTTCAATATCCCTCGTTAATAGACTCCAAGTCATCATGATTACTCCCCCAACCCATCACCGTCATCGCCAGCCATTTCCACTTCATCCTGGACTCTGATCTACGGCCTGCGTTTGACACTTACAGCAGTGTGTGGCAAGGATAGACAGGCAGAGAGGACAGCAGACCAGCAGCCAGTATAGCACAGCAGCTGAAGATCACCGCCTCTTACCTAGTAACCTACCCTCAACAGCTACCCGGGGTAGGCCCATACGAGATTTCCTTTTTCAGCAACTTGCAGTTGAACCTCCCATACCATCTCGGCATCACTTCCGGTTGACACTCATACTCGTCTTCGCGCCTAGGCATGCCCAGTCACGGCTTTAGTGCCCTATCGTGAAATGGCATACCGCCTTTCTGTAGTGTGAGCCTGCGTGCAGGTTAGGCCGCACATATACCAGACCCAGCTTGAAGGCTCTGGGACTGAGACCGACAGTATGGTAGAGCAATGTCTATGGGTGTCGAGAGGATTACAACATGATTGTACACCACACCGAGACGAAAATACTTGCCTAACTTACCATCCAAGCGGTAAATTATAGACTTCCCACCGCTTTGGCACCATTTGCCCTTCCCCGAACTACTCCGAGTTTCTCCGACATCTCGCTCGTCGGACACTCTTACCCCTTTACTTCATTTGACCGCTTGAGTGGCAACAGCTGAAAGTCCTGGGACGTCAGTATGCATCGCCGTTAGAGCTGGTTCAGATATGGTCACCTCCACGGCTGATGCGCCGAATAATGACAGTCAAGATGCTGGAGCAAGATTGTTTGTCGGCAATAACCGTTGAATCACCCGAATGCCGAACGGCTAGGCACCTACCCTTTTGACTCGGATTCATCGATCTTGCTTTACTGTCAGCCTGTTCCAAGAGATCTCATCGGCTCAGCGGCTCACACGGCCGCAGCCCCTTCCCGATGTTTTGGTTCCTGTTCTAGACAGTCAGACAGTACGGCCCAGATAGACGGGCAGCCGCTAGACTTCCCCGCAAAAGAGGCTTGAGCTTGACTCTGATTTACAGCCACCTACGTAACTACCCGCTCTGACCAAACACAGAGAAAAAAGATTTGGTTTTGCTTTCTGTTCGCAGCTAGTTGTTGAAGTTGACCGCTGAATGTCTCACCAGCTACTTGCCTCTCACCTCTTTTTCTAATCGCCAGCATCACCATTCGAATCTACTTTCGTGTCTTAGTTATCAGATTAAGTCGCAAAAAGGCTGCCAATATCTGGAAAACGACCGGCGAGGTGCTGAGTTCTCGCTGGCACCGCTGTGTAGCCTGGTGGAGGGCAGGGCGGCCGGTCGGAGCGGCGGTGACTGTTACCTAGACAAGGCAACCTAGTCCAACTTTCCAACATCTTTCAACTGACGAGGGAAGAAAGGGGAAAAAAAAAAAAAAAAAAGAGGCGGACGGGGGGCAGGAGAAGGCGGCAGGCGGCGGCAAGGGCGGCGGCAAGGTGGCAGGCAGGTGAAGGCGACTTCCTGTGTCCAAGTCGAGTATTTCTGGGAAAGGAAGGTGCGAGCCACCCACTGCAATTCAATTTGAAGCCCGTAAGTCTACAAGCCAGTGTGAGAGACAAAAATGATGTTGTGGAACATGTAACGCTGGCAGACGTCGTCAACGTTGTGACACCAACGAGGATTCACTTTCCATTTGCCGGTTAGTCAAGGTAAGTAGAGGCAGCTTTCTTCTATTGTGTCGCCCTACTCTTCCGGAGCCTCTAGTCCGCTCTCCGCCCGGTATCATGATTCTGTAGTAGCATGTGAAACTAACGGACATGAACACAACGGAAACACAAGGACAAGTACGAGCAGATTGTTTTTTCAAGATACTCATGATAACCGGAAGAGAGCGGGGCTCCGGACATTTTGCCGAGTCAAGTTGTGATTGTCGAGTTGACAATTTCTTCTCCCGTATGAAGTTACACTATTGGACATTATTGCATCCTACTAGTGTATGTCCTCGGCTGTGTCCTTCTGTCCTTCTTTCACTCTGGGTCCTGGGACGAGCAATAACCAGGGCTGGACACTAAAATCAAGTTTGGTGCACTTTCATCAGAGGGAATACAAATTACGGTTTGGAGTTATCGAGTACTCCTCATGTGAGCATCCGATTCCAGCTTTGACTGGCCCACTGGCCGTCGGCACGTAAGTCAAAGGGCCTTTGTGCCGGTACTTGTATTAGGGTTGAGACGATAATTGACTGGAAGCCTGAGTAAATGTTCCGGTTCTTTGTCTTTGCTTCAGCTCGCTCAATGAAATTTCAACGAGCACAATCTACCTATGTGTGTATGTGTAAGTGTCGGATCATGGGCCGAAGATTCTGCTAGGGGTTCAGTCTTATCAATCAGTAGGTGATCACCGATTACAAAGTACTTGTGTCTGGAAGCGGGTTAGGCAAGAAATTGACAGGGGCAGTCACATAGTGCTTACGGTGGTACCGAGCGAAGGATGACTTGAATACTGTAGGTAGCTCATATCCTTTCCTTTTTTCATCAGCTGGCATAGAGTTTCCTCTCTCATTTGACGCTTAAATCATCTTCACTGGGTGGAAACCATGATGTAACTACCAGGTAGTATTGTGTGCGATTGGATTGGAACTAGTGCATAAGTAAAAGGTAGGTAAACACCTTGGAAATAGCCCTCCTGAAGTGAATTCTCTTGTTTCCTTGCCCACTTGTCGCTGTCCTATCGCTAGGCAACTCAAAACATCTTGAAAAGTAGTGAGTGAAAGGTCTACTGTAGTGGTTTCGGACGTTTGCTTGTGTAAAAAAAAAAAAGATGCTTTCGTCCATTCTTCCCTGTCTGGTCTGTGTGTCTGTATAAGGTGTTGTTTACGTATAATCAAGAAACAAGGAAAGCAAATAAAGCAAAAGTAGCCAAACGTTAGGAGAGTGGTATCGTCGAACATTAAAGAAATCAAGCTTAGTGCTGTAGCCGCCTTTTCTTCGTAAAACTCCTCATCTCAACACATAGCGCCCGGGTAATGCTTTTGTATACACAACGGAAGAAAATAAGGGGCTTGTGAAACTGAAAAGGAACATGTGACAATCTTCAATCGAGCTGAGGCGCGGGCATGACATCCATGGTCCTCAATTCCGGCTTCGACAGCTTCGCATAGCGGTTTTCCGCCAACAGCCTCTTGGTAGTGATGCGATCTGGATAGTTGCGCATGAACATGTTGGTGAAATGGGTGCCGTAATGGACGCCCTCCTCGGTCTGCTCAGGGGCGGTCCGCATGCCACCGCAACCCTCGTTGATAGGCTTGATGACAGCTTGGAAGGAAGGCTCATGGAAGTAAGCAATAACGAAACGCTCGCGAGTGTTGAGTCCCACCTTGTGCGGCGTCGCAGTCAGGTAGTTGTTCGTCAGGTACTGCATCATATCGCCAAGGATGACTGTGTGCACCCCTTCGACGGGCGGGATGTAGAACCACCCGTCTGCGTCCTCCTTATGGCCGGCGGCGGATTTCTGCCAGTTTGCAAACTTCTCGTCGTCCCGAGGGCGGCGGATGAAGAGACCACCAACGTCGTCCTGGGCGGCGATGACGAGAAGGCCGTAGTCCGTGTGCGAGCCGATGCCTCGGCCTTCCTTGCCCTTTCCATTGGTAGCGTTGCGGGGTGGGAAACTGACGTAAAAACAAAGCATTAGCGTATGAATTTCTCGTGTGAAACGATCAGCAAACGGCCCGCTCCTCTCCCGAAGTGGAGGGTTGGGGCGGCATGACAGGAGTAGAAGTCATCATGTTTGACGACTTACCGAAGGACCCTTGTATGATGCCAACCATCACGCGTGTACTGTGTGAGTGTACCGGGAGCAACACCCAGACCAAACTCGGCCAACTGGAGGATCTTCTCGCCCTCAAGCCCTAGGTTGTCGACGTATCGCATCATGGGCTCCTTCATTTCCACATCAGGCCAGGGACAAGGGCCGTGGCAGGGCCACTTTGCCCGCACGCGCGGCTCCTCCAGGTCGAGATCCTTGGTGATGGTGAAAATCTCCGAGTAGTCAGCGATGCCGTCCGTCACCTCCTCGCCGGATGCAATATAGCCGGCATAACTCTGCGAGTCAACACAAGCCGCCTTCTCGGCCGCAGGCTTCCGGAAGAAGCGCTTGCTGGCGGCCTTGGCGTCGTTCCATAGCTTCTTCTGCAGATCGCTCTGGGCGATTTGGATGATTCCCTCGTAGCGCCAAGTGTCAATGATGGCCTTGCCAAGTGCGCGGTCGCTAGCAGAGCCCGTGATCTTCTCTGGGAGTTCAAAGGTGTCGAGGTGGGCGACTTGGGCCTTGAAACTGGGTGGCATGGTCTTGCCCAAATCATCGCGAGCATGGATTTTGTCGGCAACGGTAGCGATCTTGCTCGATGATTGGATCCTTGGCTGCTTGTTGGGCTGACCAGCGACGTCGATATTGAAACCAGGCGGCATGGACATGCCATTGCCGGATCCAATATCGAGTGAGCCCAACGCGGCGGTACTAAGGCGAGCGCGGCTAGTGATGAGACGGCGGCCAAGAGGCAAAACAGAGCGGGTAGCGAGGCAACTCATCGTGGGAGAGTATGAGTAAGGTATGACTGTGTGAATGACAGGCGGTTGCAAACCAGATTCAAGGTAATGTGAGCGTGATACTAGAGCTCTCAAGCTCAGATTGCTTCGATGTCTGCGATGCTTGGGAAAAGTGATGATGATGCCGATGGTGATGATGAAGGGGATCTGAGGTGGTAGAGACGCCTTTCTTATATGTTCGAGTCCTACATCTATCGCCAGCGACCATTTGCGCCCTTACCTCGGTGCCAACATCCCCAGGCAACCAACAGGAGCCGCATATTGGGTGTTCCAGAATTTTCCAAAACTGATTGGACATCGTATATGGCAGGCGCGACGATGCAGGTTAGAAAGGCCGATCGAGAGCAAGCAGTGTAGTATCGGTAAGAGCTATATCATCAGCCCCCCCTGCTGTCTTTGCAGGACTCGAAAAAAAATCCGGGATGCGGCCGCCGTGTTACACGGCAATCTGCCGGGTTTTGATCGGATAAAGTTGCCAAACAGGGGGCTACACAACCATCATAAGGTTGTAGCCGACCAGCATAGCTGCTGCTCCCTATTCCCAAAGACATACTTGAAACCACCGCAATCGGACGGAGTGTCCTGTGATGGACCCCCTTTGGAACAAGTGCTTTACTGTTGAACACTGAACCTAGTCATCCTAATGAGTTGCTCGACTGCCGGTCCCACGCCGAATCGACCTGCCCCGTTCTCGGCGCAAATCTGTGGCCAGTAGGCTAGTACACGGAGTCGCGCAGCATCTCGTGGGGAGGTAGAATTGCTATGTGTCTGTGTTGCTGTGTAAACAAGTTGAGACATCAAATTGTCCATCACAGTCCCGTTGCTCATGCCGTTCTTGGGTTAATGCCTAGTCTGAAAACAAGGGGACGTGGTGGCACACCCAAGAAGACAGCAAGATACGGATGAGAGACTAGCAGCACCGGTACCGATACAGAGTTGCCCTCTGCTGCCTCGTTGCCACAGAGTGAAGGCTGGCTTTAGTAGTCAAGGCGTGAGGGTACTAACGCTGAGGTTTCGCACCGGCAGGCACAAAGTGCGTATGGCACAGAGACAGAGAAGCATCAGTGTTTCCCTATCGAAACCTAGCACCCAATGCACTTGTGGCATGCGTGGATCCTCAGTGACTGACTCTAGGCGGCGTTCGAGTGGCAAGTGAACGGTAATGTGGGGGAAATGGCCCGAACACAATAAACGAATGCAGCCAGCTATACGCAAGTACTCGAGTTGGCCAGCGGTTGCCTGAGCACAAAGTCGTGTGTCCAACTCACCTGAAAAGTAGGTGTAGGGTGCATGTTGACCAGTCATGGCCCGCCTGGGGCTAGTAGGCTCCTGCAAATCTGTCACCAGGCCGCCGGTGTGATATTTCCCCTCACGATCCGGAGACATGGACGTTGAAGCTTTTGGCCGGGGTTGCCGTCCGTCGGAAGAGCTGAAGTAGTTAGAGCTTCTGCATGATCTAAGCGGTAACAAAGCCAGAACCACCAGCGATCAAATTCTAGGCCCGTGGCTGTGTCCCGACGACCCCCGAAGTCCTGCTCGGTCGCGATTTTTCTAAGCGCGGTATTAGATGGTTGTGGGCTGGCGATTGGCCTCAATCTCCTATGGCCCTTTTATGGCCCCCCGAGCCCTTTCTCTTCTCTGCTGGGCAATCATGGCACTCTTCGGGTTTGGGAACCCCAAGAGGGTTTCGATATCTCGGCGCGCCCTAGTACGCGTCGTTGACGGCTCGGACATAATGTAAGCTCAAACATGCCCAGTCAGTGATCCCAATAGAGACTGCGTGAGCATGACAATGTCACCATGATTTTCTAGATGACCGAGATGGACTTCGCGCAGCTCACTCCCTTCCATTTCTCGAAAAGACCGTCGGTATTTGCAGGTGTATCGTACTGGAGTTCTGTGAACCGACGTGGTGCGCCTATGGTGACTCCTGGAAGAGGGCATCTTATCCTGGCGTTGCCTCGAACGTGACTGGCTGTCTCCGCCAAGGAAACCGTTCCTTCCCAATCCCAGCCGGATGCGTGGAACGATTGGCAAGGCTTGAACGAGCGAACACTCCCGAGAGAGGGCATACAGGTGACACATGCCACCTGTGATCGAGATCTTCGGTTTCGTGTTAAGCCTTGGAAAGCGATGGCTCTCGGATGGAATTCATTCACTAGAGGGAGGAAATCAGTTGGTCAGGCAAGGCGGAGGAGATGTCAACATCGTATCGTTTTGCAAGATTAGATATTAAGGTATACTAGCACCAAATATGAATGGATTCCCGTTCACCTCCTCTAGCAACGCTGTCCAGCTCTTGGTTGGCGTTGGAGTGTTGTAGTACGCTTCGCTCCCTTTCCGTCCATGGGGGTAAAATAGAGAGTTTGATGACTCATCGGGCCCGAGGTAACTGGGCATCCCATGGTCAGTCGATCTAATTAGAGTCCTGCAGACGACCGAGGACAAAAACTAGAACGTGAGCCAGCCCGGTCAAGATCGATCAGGTCAGGGCGAGATTCGGGCTGAAAAAGAGTATGGCATGTGCATTAGGTAGTCGTCGAGCCATTCCAGGGTGGATATGTCGTGTGCCATATGCCGTCGTCGTATGAGACGCTGGAAATATTGCTAATGAAGGTCGTTGGAAATGGAATAGAGGCAGTGGTGGTGGGTACCGTGACCGTGATCGAGATGGGGGACTCTGTCGACGTGGTACTCGGCGAAGGTCTTGTGCTTAAGCTAGACACGGACTTTGATGTATTAGACGCTGAAGGAGAGGGGGAGGTCGACGCGGCGGTAGAGTTCGATGTCTTGGATGTTGATGAAGGGGTTGCCGAGATGGTCCGATAGGACATCGTAACCGCAAAAGACAAGAAGGAGAATGGAGATATCGAGGATGCCGTGGCCGCCGTCGTGGCCGATATAGTTGGTACGACGTGGACGACGGTGGTGGTCAAAGTTAGAGTGGGTTCAGGTTGAATAGGCACCACGGAAACCGTTCTCGTGAGGGAGTTTGCGGGCGAGCGAGTGGACGACTGAGTGAGCGGTTGGTGAGCGGTTTGCACCACAGTCTTGGTCACGACCGGACCCCCAGGGCCATGTTCCGGACCCGACTCTCCGTTGATCGGGACTACCGAGTATGTTGCTCTCGGCAGCAAAGGCTTGGGAGAGCTGTCGTGCTCGATGAGAGGCAGAGCTTGACAGGCCGCAAGGAGGGCAACAAGCACGAGCGTGGGAAGATGGACCCAATGGACGCGCATTTTGATCTCATCTAGAGAGATCAAAGTACAGGGCTGATGACGGCGTGGGTGGGAGCACCGGGTTCCGACGATGCGGAATAGCTTCAAGGCCGTGGAAAGAGGGGGTAAACAAGGGAGGAGGGGAAGGACAGCAGACGTTAAAATTGACCTGAGTGAAAGAAGAACAAGAACACTCCAACCCGGCCAGCGATCACGGCCGCCTTTTTGAGAGATGCCGTTGGCGATATACCCTAGTATAGCGCCCGCTTAAGGTCCAAAATCGAATGGCTGGATCTCTTGGCGTGGAGGACTGTAAAACAATAGTGGCATCCCCATCCCGTGCTTGTGGTCCTCGAGGCTGGAACCCGACATCATGTTGGTCGAGTCCACCAAGTTGCAAATTGGGTGGTTGAAGCAATCCATACCTCTAGCTTCATGAGCAGCAGCAGTTGGCGCCGCCGAGCTTCCACTTCCTTTCCTTAGTTTGAACCCCAAGTTCATTCAAGGTTTAGTCGATCTCACCATGAGTGGACACGGTCTGAGAAGCGAACCGCCGGGCGCTCCCGCCTTTCAGTTCGTTAAGGTTGAAGTTGATCGGATCCACTCACGCAGCACCCTGCAGTTTCCACTTTACAGGCACGCGCTGCCACTGCGTAAGCCATGATTTGGAAGGTGCTAAGCCACACTGCATCACCCTGTACACTAGACATAGTGTACAGTAAGTACCATTTCCAACTTCCAACAGGTGTTCGAGGAATCACCGCCGCCGGCATATTACGACGCCTTCCACCTGACAATCCCAATCATCCATCACACCTAACGCAGGTACAATTATGTCGGTTTGCTTTTTGACTATCGTTCAGTTCCTTCCAAGCTAGGTACATAGGTACACAAGTCCATGCAAGGTTACAGCTTGACGAACCATGCTTCTTCGACAGTGTACCTACTCCCTTGAAATCGAAACGCCCGAGAGCGTCGCCGTCAAGGCTTTTTTTCTTCTTGGCGCCGGATGTGCGAACACCACCTTCCATCGGTAATAACGGGCTCCGAGCTTCGAATAACCTGGACGAGGCTCTTCCCAACATTTGCCTGTTAGGCATGCACAGAGTGGTTTATTGCGCGCCCCCGTCACCAACGTTGATGCCTCACCTACCGATGGGCAAAGCGAACTTGGCAATCCATTACCCGCAAGTTTTGGGGTTCATCCCATCTTTGCAATGAGCAACTATTGGGACATTGGAGGCCTCAACGGCAACTGCCTTGTCTGAGGTGTTGCTTAAGGTTCACAGCTTTTGCGGGACTACCTTACTTATCAAGATGGCTATCACAAGGTCATGCTTCCTTTCACGGTCAAGATGGCGAAGTGATTGCCCCTGGTAAGGAAAGCTCTTGGCCAAGGACGGTCGATCCATTCTGTTAAGGCTTCCGCTTTACTCAGCCACATCTGACGTACTAGTGCCCGTGTATGTCTTGCGCAGTCACTCCCATTCAGTGTGCGCCTGCACCATGCTTCGTAAGTAGGTAAGTAGATCACAGCTCGCCAAGTAGTAGTGTCTGTATAGGCGGCCAAGTTGGACGGCGCGGCGCAGACATAAATCTTGCCCCGATGGCTTGGATAAAGCCGCAATGTAGGGTAGGATGACGATTGCACGGCAAGCCCCCGTAGATTTTCTTCCGTCGGACTTCAACCCGCTTTGTTAAGTACCTATGTGTCAAACCCGATTGAACTATTTCTTTCTGCTTTGCTACCAGAGACGCGTGTCATCAAAAAACAATCTTCTTGAGTTTGCTTTCTTCACTTTCTCCATCTATCGGTTGAACACCAACCCCGCCCCGCCTTTTGTAACCATCACCTCTAGCCGAGCCAAGGCATCGCTTAACCAGCCAACAGAAATATCGACCATCATTGTGTTGGGAGCCGCACCCACAATGTCCTACCCAGGCTACCCTCCAGCGTCGCCTTATGGCCGTAAGTGGAAAAGAAAACAGCACTTGCATTTTTTTGTCTTCACGACTGACCCTGGACCACGCAGAGCCACCACCACAAGGAGGCGGATATTATCAGCAGCCTCCTCCTCAGCAGCATCATCAGCAACCTCCATATGGTGGACCTCCGCCTCATGCTCACTACAACACCTACCAGCAACCACAACAAGGATATGGACAACCACCGCCCGGGCCGCCGCCGGGGCAGTACGGCGCACCCCCTCCACAGCCCTATGGTGCTCCGGCTCATTCCCCACCACCCGGGACGTATGGTGCTCCTCCTCCCCCGAGCACCTCGTATTACCCGCCCGGGCCTCCGCAGGCCGGTTACGGCGCACCACCGCCTCACGGTTACGGACAGCCTCCCGGTCCGCCCCCTCAGCAATCCTATGGTGCCGTACCGCCCACACCCACAGCGTACCCGCCCCAGCCCTACGCCGTGCAGTACCCGCCGACACCACCTTCGCCCGGATATGGCCCTGCAATGACCATCCCATGGAACCCCGATCCGGACGCGGATAGGCTAAGGAAAGCCATGAAGGGATGGGGCACGGATGAAAAGGAGCTGATCCGGGTTCTGGCCGACAAGGACCCCTTCCAGATCAATATGCTCCGCGATGCGTTTCAACGGCGCCACCGCCGCGATCTTATCGCTGACATCAAGAGCGAGACGAGCAGCTGGTTTGAGGAAGGGCTCGTCATGCTTGCCCGGGGTCCTCTTCTCAATGACGTGCACATGCTGTTCAATGCCATGGATGGGGCAGGCACCAACGAAGACATCCTAAACGATATCCTCCTCCGCCGGTCCAACGCCGACCTGAAGTCTATCAAAGCCGAATTCAGTCGAGTTTTCCATCGGTCACTGGAGGAAATGGTGCGCGGCGAACTGAGCATGAAGACGGAACGGCACTTTATGATTGTGCTCGGTGCCACACGTGCAGAAGACGCGGCTCCAGTGATGAAGGCGGACATTGACCGCGACGTCGACGATCTCTACAACGCGACTGAGGGCAAGATTGGCACAGACGAGATGCGCGTATGCAGCATTCTGAGCTTGAGGAATGACAACCAGATCCGTGCCATTTCCTACGAATACAGGCAAAAGTACGCCAGGGATCTCGATACCGTGATCCAAAAGGTGAGTTGACTCTAGCGAACCGCTGCTACAACAACCAAAAGCCATTTAGGGAACAACAGCTAACAACCCCAGCAGGAGTTTTCGGGACACATGAAGGACGCCCTTCTCATCCAGCTACGCCACGGCACTGACAAGTACATGCTGCAGGCCCGGCTCCTCGAGGATGCCATGGCAGGAATGGGGACAAAAGACCGTCTTCTCACCAGCCGTCTGGTGCGGGCTCACTGGGATCGCAACAACATGCGAAATGTCAGGAACGCGTACGAGCAGCGTTACAAGAAGAAGTTGGCCAAGAGAGTGCAGGGGGAGACCAGCGGTGATTATCAGAGGCTTTTGATGGCGATTTGTGGAGAACCTATTTGAGGGGCGCGCGCAAAAAGTGTGTCGCCTTCAAAGTTCACTTCGCACCCAGCAGTGACTTTACTTTCACACCAAGCTTCGGCCGAGTGTGATATAATATTTAACCTTAATGAACACTGAGTTATAGTCATGATTGATGATTTTCTGGTCTGGCTGGAATTAGTAACACAGGAAGCGAGATTACAAGTGCTTGTCTGCCCGTTTGTTAGCTTGGTACCCAGAGGTACTCTGGTACACCGACGGGTCGGGATCTCTATCGAATCGTCCCAAACCTTCCACGCACTGGAGGAAAGGCATCCCGCAACAAGATCCAATACAGTCTATTTAATTTCGGAAAAAGCATCTTCACAGTATGAAAGCGCTTAAGGAAGTTGTGCCTAGGTTTCGAGCTAACGATTAGACAGTATCGGACTGTATGTGCATTACTTTGACCCATCCGAAGGACACTGCTGGCTTGACTCTCGGATGGAAATAATAATATGGATAAAAGAAGCGACGGCAAGTAACACTTGCACACAAGTATAGCGGAGTACAGGCTATAAGCGGCTCAGACAGTAGTGGTAGCTCTTCTCATCAACGTCAGCAAACGATATATTTTCCTTTTGGGAACCACATTTTCCAGACTCCTCCGAGTGCGTTGAATGTCAATTTGGGGTCTTTTCATTATTGTAAATAACAAACGACTGCCAAGGCGCATAGTGACATTTGTATCGACTCAGACAAACCCCTGCCAATTTCTACGTGACCCAAAATGAAAGCTTTACGTGGTGTGTAGCTCTGTGTTGATAGCAACGAGGACTGCAAATTACAGAATTTGTTACTAGCGAACGGTATAACGCTCGGGGTAGAAGTCCCAATGCTCTGGTCGAGGTCTGTGCCGCCGACTCGAGTCTACAAACGCATGAATTATAGTTAGTCACGACGGCAATGGGAGACAAACGAACACCGGGCAGCATCAAAGACCAGCACAACCAAATACGAAGAAAGGTTGTGTTCAGACCTAAATACTGCACCGAAAACACGGGCTGGAACAGGATAAGGAAGCACATCACATGCTTCGAGAACGGACAAGGGAGCGCGAGGAAAAGTTTCTGCTAGACTAGAGAATCATGATTAATTACTACCAACCAGGTATCATTTGCTGCAAATGAGCTTCATACATTAACTCACATAAGCCGACCTCGATTGTCCACGGTTGAAGTTCGGCAATTAGAAGTCACGGAAGTCTAACCCGTTTGGTAATTTGAAGGTAATCAACAGAGCTGTACTTTATACGGTAACAAAGGGTGGACCTCCGGTATAACTCGACAGTCGCAGGGTATCTCTCATATGTAGAGCTCAACGAGAAAAGGTCCTGGTTTCAGTGCATTATATACACAATGCTCAGGTAGATTGTTATGGGCTACGCAGAGATACACAGAGAATATATGTCCGCCACTAGGTCATCTTGTTGGGTTTCAAAGGCGGCTTCATATCAACTTAACATTGTGACATGTACAGGTATTACTGTGTAGAAGTTTTCCGTACAGGGGTCTGAGTTAAATGCCTGATAATCCTCGTAGCGGCTCATGTGGGTTCTCGAACTATTAAAACATCCAACCCATCCCCGGGACACGCACAAAAAAGGCAACAAGAAAAGATAGCTACCATCCAGCACCGGACCTCGGTATGGATGGAAACTGACGAATTGCTTGGCTACACAGACTCGCGACCCGGCAATTGATCATTACCTAACAACTTTACAACACCCGGGTTTTGGCAAAAATATACCAAACAAACGGCCGGTTAGGAAAGCTCGGGTCGGACCGTTCAGCAGCTAGTACCTACCTACCTCCGGCATACCTACCTCTAGGTCAACTCCTTCAACCCCGCGTCCCATCGTGGAGCTCTTTGGTCTCTACAATTTTCCGTCTGCGAAACACAGGCTACCTACACTACCTGTAGGCAAAAGGATATCCATCCATTGGTGATATATCTGTTGGATAATCAGAAACCAGTAGAAGAAAGATAACCCACGGACTGGTTGGCTTTGAGCCCCTGTGACCCCGCGTCGAATTCAGCGTCAACATGACAACCTCAACAGCCCCAGACGTCCCGCATTGGCGGCTGCAGGAACAGCTTCCGGAGTCAGCTGCACCGTTGTCACCACACCACGAGCCTCAAGCACCACCAAGAAGACCAACGGCGCCGGTAGCTCCAGACACACCACCGCAACCCGACGCGCCCAGAATCCCATTGCCCGCCCCGACCACAGGTTCATCGACAAGTGCAACCGCGATCGAGCCCCCGACCTCCAATGCCGCGCCGAGTCCCACTGCTAAGGCCGATCATCAGCACCTGGGGCTGCCGTCATGTACAGGACCCACAACCTCAACCGCGACATCAAGCAGCTCTGTCTCCAATTCCAGTTTATCCACATCTTCAGTGACAGCGAACATCCCTCAATACCCAAAAAACGGGACAGTCCCCGGTGGCGTAGACACGGCGGCGCCAGGTGGAAGCTTCCATAGCAGCGAGCAGCCAACGACCGCCACCACTGGAGCCCGGGGAGTGACGGTTGACGGGCCTCCGTCTGCACTAAATGGGCAGCCCCAGCAGTCCCAGAACCCGTCTCAGGTACCCGCTCCGTCGCCGATTCCTACCCCAGACGCGACAAATTCTGCCGCGACCTCGACCTCAACCTCGACACCTGCGAACGCAACTCTGTCTGCGACCGACCCTGCGACCACGACGATCCCGAGTACCACGATTACAGCCTCTGCTAGATCCAACTTCAGGGACCCCATTCGATGGAGAGACCCCATAACGATCCATTACGACAGTGACAGTGGCCACGCTCACCCGGCAAGACTCCACGCTCAGTCCGCGCATCCAGCATCAGCATCATCATCATCGCAATTGCCGCCGCCGTCGCAATTGAAGTACGAACTGTCCCGGCAACACATCGAGCATCATCCCGCATCGCAACCGGCAACTCAGTCACAACTTCCCGCCCAGGCACAATCACAATCTTCGGCCCAGCCTGCTCCAGCACAAGCCAGATCGCACCACGAACCCAACCGTTGCCCGCCGTCTCGATCCCATCCTCAAACTTACCATACGCAACCCCCGCTCCAGCCCGCCCCGGCGCCGGTGACCGCGACTCAACTCCCACCGCCTGCGCATTCCCCACGACAGTCATATCAATATCACCTTCAAGCCTCTCCATACCAATATCAAGCCCCGCCGCCCGCGCATCCTCAGCATCATTACCAGCATTCGTATCCTGTCGGGGCCCCTCTGCACCACCCTCCTCCTCCTCCTTCCCAACAGCAGCACCATCCATACGAGCACCCATATTCATCGCGTAACGACGGCTTGATCTCAAGACCTATCATCATGGACCCGCCTAGGTCGCGGCCCGTGAGCCAGCTGCCGCCACCGGCCGAGCCGATCTCTAGCTCTGGGTTCCCTTCGCCAGCTACAACTCACGCACACCTCAACAAGAAATTCGCAGACGATTGCACGCGGTTGACCTATGCAATCCAACAAAGCACACCCGAGGCCGTTCGGCGCGTTGTTCGAGATAATTGGGAGAAGTGTATGTTGGGTACCGAGTTTCACCAAGCTTTTATTGTAAGTCCACATGCTTTTACTTGCTTTGGCTTCACATCTTCAAGTCACCAAGCATCCAATCACATCGGGTTTACCTCACCATATCCCACCCACGTCAGAAGTGGATGAAGTACATCTCAGAGGTTATGTCCACATCACATGCTTCTAAGCCCTGCCTCAGCACACAGCGACCTTTGTCACGTAGGAGTGCACGCAAGTGGGATTGAATACACAAGCTTGGGGAAACTTGGGACAAGATACCTCATAATAAGATGTCGAGATCATGATATCTCCACAAAGTTCGCCGTAACCATCTCATCCCATCTTCCGTAGATAATCCGCCTACTTATAGGTTACACCTTCTATATATCTTCAAACTACTATCACTTGACCTCATTTCCCCCTTTACACTTCCATTACTCTACTACTAGAGGTAGCTCACTTTCAAGACCTTTTATCTGACCATATCTTTAGCTGAACGCATCAATACATCACGCTGTACCATCTATTACACGGCGCGCAGTTAGAGACTTCGGGCAAAAGATGGTTCTCGAGTCAAAGCACGAGTTAATCAGCCATTTCTCGACGGCTGATCTCGATGATATCGCCGACGCCATCATCAACAAGGCCAGCGAGGCCTTTCTGGACAAGTGCCTGAACGCACGACTCCTAACGATTGAGGCGAAACCTTTGATCACGGCCCTTGCCAAGGCTGAACGTCTTGGTTACAATCCTGCGGACATTGTGGAAGAGCAGCATGAGAGGGTCACGCCTACTTCGCAGGCTGCTCGGCCTCCTCCTCCACCCCAGTCAACCTACCCCGGCCGTTTGCAGTGTATGGGGTGCTACAGGGTTTTCACACATCAAGTTCCCTACGAATACGTAAGTGACCCCATACTCAAGATCCCCTCAGGAGAAGTTGTTAACGCAGGTTAATATAGCACACGTCGCGCCGACTCTGCACTGTACGCCCCCCGGCGAGCGTAAAGGGCTTCGAGTTTTCATGCCAGTATTGCGGCGAAGGGTTCACTAGAAGTGATGAACACCAATCGCACGAACGCGCTCGAACTTGCTTCCATACTGGGCCACCCTTAGCTCGAGGACCCGGGCGTCCTCCTCGCGCCGCTCCAGTCCCTTCGTCTATAGCACAGGCAACGCCAGCGGTCACTAGGACGATCGACCTGACTTCGGCTGGCTCGACACCCTCTGCCGAAACTCCCGCTGGAACCAAAACCCCTAACGCAGCCGACCCATACGGCCACTTAACTGAGGAGCAACTAGCGGCAATGGACGCCGACCTCAAGGAAGCAGAAGCGAAGTTTGCACCTAGATTTGCCGAAGCATACGCGATACCCGACGAGAATGAGCGGCGGATTAAGATCGAGGGACTCCGGAATAGCTTCGGTACCAAGCAATCGATGATTAGGAAGAAATACGGAGTCCGCCTTCGCCAACGCCGAACCAAAGCAGAAATCCAAGCAGAGGAGGAGCGAATGGGTCTCGAGAAGCTCAGGAAGAAGCAAAAGGCCGCGGCCCA